TAGAGGCCCCGCAACTTGACGATGGGCCACCGAAGGCCAATGGACCGATCAGTGAGCATGAGCCTGAGCGCCAGCGGAGACTGACGGCAGAAGTCACGTGTAAGACAGCATTTATTCTATATGTGCCTATACGTACCGGATTTCCCCAATGACGACGATCACGTGATAACTAACCTGTTATGGACGACTCATCGGGTGATGAGCCCAGACTCATCAGCGATGAGACCGGATAGCATCAGCGATGAGTCCCGAACTTATCGGGTGATGAGAGGAACCGGATATATAAGGACACCCCTTCGCACATGTATTGGTCCAGCGATAAGGTGACATCTGCGTTGTGCCGACAGCAAGAAGAGTATATTACTAATGAGCATGCGACATTGATTCTATGAACATAAACATCACACGATAGCCCTGTCAAACAAGAAATACAGACTAAAGTCCTGGACCATCATATAGCTGCTCAAAAAGTTCATTACCAGAAAAATCGACAGAGGACTTCTCGGACACGGTGGGAATATGACAGTAACGAACTATTCAAGCCGCGGGCCAGCCAGACTAAGAGGCCAGCGGGACTACGTGAATCGGTTTCATCTTGCCCCACAGCCGTCTCAGGACCGAAACGTCCCCGAGTTTTGCTCAAAAAAGGTGTCGCAGATTTGCTACTACTTGATTCACGCCAGAAACGGATTGTCGATCGCACTCATGTGGGCCGGCCGGGCCTTTTACGATGATGTTACTCGTGGGACATTCTGTCAGTGTTGACCGTAGTAGAAATTGGGGAAGATATATTCTAAGAACATACGTATTGGAAATTGGAAGTCTTCCCTTCACGGAGAGCGCCAGAAGCAAATTTACAAAATAGTCAGTGACTCGTTTCAGTCACGCACAGTTCAACCAGTGCCAGGGAAGTCCTTCCGGGTGACGATCGTTCGGGGAGATGGAGATTAATAGTTTCCCTACCGTTAGTCTATCACACTATAGCTTTCTTTTAATAATATCTTACTTGTCTCCACGATGGCATTTTCTATTATCGGAGATGATTTATACTCCTTTTAACGACGATTATACCGAACTAAATAGGAACGGACTCCGTATTAACTATAGGGGGAATAATAGTATATAATTTAGTCTAATTATAACGCTTAGAATACTCTGTACGTGGTTATTATAGTATTATATATATTATATTATAATAAATAAATTCCTTAGTCTTATAACTATCTATTATATAAATAGATAGATAGTCGGATCACTATTAAAATAGTAGTTTAATAATTGCTATATAGCGTTTTTAATTACTAGATTTAAGCTACGTAATAGTATTAATATATCTACCGATAAAAACCTATCCTAAATTCTATTTACTACCTAAATTAGGTAGATAACTCTATAGATAGGAGAGCGCTGATTTATTACTACTTATAAAATACTTATATCCGAGAGCGGCTTCTTTACCTCCCTACTATCCGGATAGTAGAATAATATATTAACCGATAACTCCTATTTTATTAATACTAACCTAACTCTATTTAAATATATCTTATATTATCTTTAATATAGGGTTCTCTTAATATTTTATAATACCGATAAAAGATATAACCATATATTATATCTAGCTATTTTTGAAGAGGTGTAAAGAATATACTTGGCAGGGTATAAAACCTGTCGATCAGGTAAAGAAACAAGGGGAAGGAGTAAGAGAAGCAGTATATCTTTATTATTGTCAAGACTGAATCTTGTCTTGCTAGCTAGATACGAGAGTATTAATTTATTATACAATATCTTCGTAACTCCACGTATTATCGATAATATAAACGATTAGGTCTCTGTTGTGTATCATGATTATTCTACTATAGAGTGGATTAAGTAACGAGTTCCGACTTTTTTTAGGGTTATATAATATTACCTGATTTACCCTTTCTATTAGTTAGGAATAACCTTATATCTTACTATCTTAGTAGACCCTTTATAATTATCCTCTTTCTTAAGGTTAGGTAGCCTTAATTAACGCGTTTATCTTATTATTATTATATAGACGCGTCGGCGCGATATCTTTTTATAAGGTTTTCGTTTATCTCACTATTAAGGCGATAAAGAGATTATATAGTTAACTAATAAATAAAGACGCGTTAAATTATATATTCAAGTCTTTATTTATATTTTCGAGTAATAACTCTTTTCTTCTTTTTTTCTCTCCTACGTTATATTAGGCCTCGTTAGCTATTTTTTATTGTTTCTATTATTTTCCGCTTTTTTTTTGTTACTATTACTATTATTATATCTCGTTATCGTTATTTAGATTAATTATTATACTAGCCGACGCGTTCTATTACTATTTCGTTTATTTTTTATGGTATATTAAGTAGTCCTTATAATTTTAGATAGTAATATATTTAATACTATTTAGATTCCCTCCGGGAATATTTATCTTAGTTCTAATAGCTCTAAAAATATATTCCTATACGAGCTATTAGCTATCGAGGGTATTCTATAATTATAAAATATCTTTTATTTTAATAGATTTAGTATTATATTGTAAAGAATATACTTGGCAGGGTATAAGGCCTGTCGATCAGGTAAAGAAACAAGGGGAGGAGTGAAAAAGCAGTATATCTTCATTACTGTCAAGACTGAATCTTGTCTTGCCAGCTGGATGCGAGAGTATCAATTTATCATACAACATCTTCATAACTCCACGCATCATCGATGATGTAAACGACTGGGTCTCTGTTGTGTATCGTGGTCATTCCACTGTAGAGTGGATCAAGTAACGAGTTCTGACTTCCTTCAGGATCATGTGATGTCACCTGATTCACCCCTTCCATCAGTTGGGAATAACCTCATGCCTCACCATCTTAGTAGACCCTTTACATATATATAGTTTATCTATAAAGGTTTATATTTAGGAAAGCGATCTCGTTCTCTCTTTTAAAGATATAGTTTCTTTTCCCTTTTAAGTAAATAAGGTTATATATCCTTCTTTCTATAGGCCTCGCTTCGGCTATATAGTTAAGGGAGTACCCTCACGACTACTATTAAAAGATCTCGGACCTAAGAATCAGGCAGTTAGTCCTCTAGTAGTCCGTTCGCGTATTATTATATCCGGCTTACCGATTACTACCCTCTTTAACCTAATATATTACTAGATAAGATTCAGGAAAGGATCGTATATATTATATAAGATAAAGGGCCGTACGAGTGTATATATCTAAATATATCCACGTGACTACTCGTACAGGAGATATCACGGGAACGTAACCTAGTCCCAGATATCACGTAAGTATCGATTAGATCTTCGATTCTGGTATAGCGATATCGCCACCAAGCAGAAATGTACTCTGCTATAGCGTAGTGAAAAATAGAAAACTAGTAAATCAATAGGAAATACTAGTATTATTTATTAGCCACTATAAAGAAAAACATAATATTTCAAGAATGTAATAGCCCTAGATACCACATATTTCATACTGTGACCGATATTATATAAGCCAATTACAGCACATACTACTGAGCTCGCCGCCCCACATACTACTGAGAGCTAAAGGGGGTGGTCCCCCTGACCTGTTTTCTGCATTCCTCTCCTTTCGACCAAGACTATCCCGGCTATGTCCCGAGTCATCGGGCTAGGCACGAAACTGGAAACCAGAGGCAACCAAATCATACCATGGACCACGCTGGCGCAAGTCACATGCAAAACTTCACGTCCCTACCCAGACATGCCTCTAGGATGGAAGGGCGAAACTCACTTGGTGTTCGTTGGGTAGATAGATACTTCGCCTTCAGTACTGAGAAATGCAAGATGGTATCCATCCACTTCCCGTTCCTTTTGAACGCCCTGTTTTTGTGGACGGTTTCGAAGGTCAGCAGCAACAACTAGGCGGACAGAGCATCTTTGACTCCACCTTGTGGACGGACACTGTTCTTAAACTGTCTGTCTTGGGGTGTCGGTAGGTGACGAGGGAAGAGAGGACGTCCAGAGCGTCGTTCCAAGGTTCTCGATGATATGACCAGCACCTACCACGTGACATTTCGGCTGGATATACTAAATCATCTCTGCATACGATTTGTACCAGCTGAGAACAATTTGCAAGCTTGTGTTGGTTCTGTTCTCTTAAATGAGTGGCATTGTGGTTATAAAGGATCTAAAATTCTCCAAACCGCCAAAGATATAGGCTACGGCTGTCGTCTATCCGTGAGACTCCCTAGTATGGAATAAGCGGAACGCCTAGAAAATCAAGCTGTCGAATCCACCGAATCATCATCTTCTCTTGTATGTCGGTCAGAGGTTTGGTGGTAATTGTACGCGAGGAATGATCGTATAGCCGACGGTATGGAACATTGAATTCTCGCGCAACGTCGGTGATTTTGGGGTTTTGTTGGTTTCGGATAGCTTCATGGCCTGTGATGCGTGATTCTACCTCAGAAAATGATTCAGCCATGGTAGGGAGGCATGGGAGGCGAGAGAAGTGGAAAATTGTGATTGGGATGGGGGAGCACCCACACCGCTTCGCGCTGTGGGTCGACTACAGGGCACGGAGAGCTTAGTGCACAGTCAGGGGATGCGCGGGGTTTTATTTTTCTGATGGCCCGACGCGTTGTCGTGGTTTTTGCTGCCGAGTCGTTGCGCCGCCAGTCACCTGGTTCATTGCGTATGTCCAGAGGGCAAGGCGATTACCCACTATTACGGATGAGGTCCGATCAAATGTAATCCAGGACCATCCTATTAGGAACGGCGTTGAGATCTTCCGCACCTCATTCAATTCGATCGTGATGGGAGGAGCATCCTACAGTCCCCAGGCGTTCTTGATGAGCTAGGTCGAGAAGGTATGTCCTTCTACCCTATTGCGTGAGCTTCTTTAACGAGCTCGAAGATCTCCAGACCCTCACACTTGATCTCCTTTTTGCACTCCAATCGCTTCATGCCTCGCGTCTCCTTCCTTCCGCTGGTAGGGACGAGAACCTACATGGCGGCTTGTCGAGGCTCAACACCGCCGTCAATGCCGACGGCTTTGATCTCAACCGTATCAAACCACTGTTGTATGCAGCGCTCGCTGATAACCCCGACGATTCTGTCATCTGGAATCAAGTCTATAGCGCGGTTGCCGAATCCACCCCGCCTCCCCGACCGATACCCTTGTCGATCCAAACAAACGCCATGGAGTCGAAACACGAGCGGCTTCGTGAACTCGTCAGAATTCTTCCAGAATGTGGACCCGGTCATTATGTTAGAACTCGAACGTCTCTATGTCGGACTCCACAATTTCCACAAAGCCTTCTTTGGAAACGTGCCAGACCTTGACATGGTCTTTGAGGCAATCTTCCGCAGATGTACAGAAGGCAACAATCCACTCTTCAAGGACCGGTGGAGTGGATGGCTGGCAGGCGCCAAAGAGAGCGACGTGCTGACTTGGTTTGTCGACTTAATCCCGAAGCTGGAAGCATTCGCAGGCGACCGCATTTCGACTCCGCCGGCTCAGCGAAAGCTGTTGGCGTAGCCGATGACACCGCTGGAGGGCTCCACCGGCAAGGGCAGTAAGGATATCGGCTTCGTCAATAGCGACATCACATACAATCCTGACTCTGAGGATTCGAGATATCGTTGGTCACACATCCTCGTTGCCGACGAATTAAAAAGCAATCCGAAGGCGGATAAAGCATCTATAGCATGGATTGATCTCAAGGTATGCGAGAGGTCCTCACTGCTCAAGACACCCGTCGTTTTGTCTTAGGTTTTACTCTGCGGATCTCAGATGAGGGTATGGGAGTTCGATAGGCTCGGGGGTACCGCCTCCGAGCAATTTGACATCAACAAGAAGGATGGTGGGCTACAGTTTGTGACCACAATACTCGGATTCCTCTGGATGAATGAAGACGGGCATGGATTCGACCCTACCATTATCACATCCGGCGCCGAACGATATATCGAGATCGAAAGAGACGGCCAGACAGAGCGTCTCATCATTGACGAGGTCATGAAGCGTGCACCTTGCGTCGCCAGCCGGGCGACAATCTGTTGGAAGGCCCATCTCAAAGGAGACCTGCAGACGCCGCTTGTGATCAAGGACTCATGGCAGTACATGGACCACGACGAAGAGGGCGAGCTCGTTCAAGAAGCGACTGAGAAAGGCTTGGTTAACGTTGCCCGATACTACCGCCACGAGACTGTACGTGTCCACGGTGTTATTGACGACATTCGAAGGAATGTTCAAAAGGGACTAGACGTCACGAAAGCCACGAATTATCGGCTGGGACGCCTGATGTTGCCGTCAAGTGCGAGCGCGTCAAATGTCTTGCGCAAAGGGCGAAGCAGCAGTACTGGCATGAAGCGGCTATCCAGCGAAACTGACGCCGTTCTGCCGTCGAGCAAGCGATCCTGTTAGTTATCTCCAACAAAGGCTAGTATCGACATACTGCCAAACAGAGTGCATCGGCGTATCATTCTTCGGGACTATGGAAAGCCTATCCATAAGGCGAGCTCCCATTCAGCCCTGCTTTCCGCCCTAGAACGGTGCATCGAAGGGCATGAGTCATTGCGCACGGCAGACATACTCCACAGAGACGTCTCCATCAACAATCTCATGATCAATGAGGACAACGCTAACTCCTGGCCCTCGTTCTTGGTTGACCTTGACCTCGCTATCAAGGAGGAACGAGATGGTGCCTCGGGAGCTCAGGGCAAGACTGGTACAAGGGCTTTCATGGCAATTGGGGCGCTTCTGAGCGAGCAGCATTCGTTCATGCACGACCTCGAGTCATTTTTATGGTTGCTTTTTTTGGATCCGCATCCACTACGACGCGCAAGGCAAATGCATTGGGCCAACTGGGTTGGACGATTGGAACTACGAGAATGATGACAAATTGGTTGCCTCCAAAAAGGGCGAGATTGCTGACGAGGAGGATTTTCTCAAGAAGGCAGAGAAACATTTCACGTGGTATGACCAGCCATTGATCTCATGGGTCAATAGATTGCGGAGGAAGGTATCCCCAAACGGTGGGAGGTGGAAGAGGCTGCAGCCGGAGCTCTATTCCTCGAAGAAGATCCTTCGCGATGCCCGGAAGGACCCGGGGGTGTTGGCGGAGGGATAGCCTTTACATGATGTCTTGATCTTCATCTAGTCATTCGTACATGCCACGGGCAGCGAGGAGGGTGACAGAAATGGAAATGGAGACAGAACCGAACCAGGGCACTGAGCGTGTTGGAGAACAAGCTCGCCCAGCAAGTGGTACGGTACAGGTCTGCCGCACCACCAATGAGCAGCGAACACATCTACAAAGCATCCGAGATGAGCTGATAGGTAAGTTGCTTCACTTGGGAAATCTCCGTTTCTCTTAATGGCTGTAGCTTAACCAAGATATACGATCTAATCGTTCCAACCTCAGCCGACTATTTCACGAAGCTGGTGATGAGGTATGGGAACCTCTTTTATCACGACTTTGATTCCTTTTTATCAAACAACAAGCACCATTTGCTTCTCGCTTTCAATCATCCACAATAGCAAAGAACACGTTTGTTGGTCACAATAGCTCAAACTGCTTCTTTTAGTTGGTATCGTAACACAGGCTCATTTAAGGCCGAGTTGCCCCAGACCCGCCTGAGACATTCCCATAAAATCAAGTCGGTAACCTCTAGTCAGTATCTCAAATGAGATGATGGTTTCACCATACTGAAGACGATGAAGAGCAACCTGGAAACGTTCTTCTACATCTTCATATGTCCTCGAAATTTCTTCCAAGCTCTTATCTTCTCGAAGACCTCTCCGCTGGGTAATTTTCTTCAATAATTGTTCGCCAAACCCAGCGAAATGTTCCATTGCATCTTGTCCAACTCGAATAATGACGATATCGTCCTGCCAAGATGACATGCGATTACTTCCTTGGTTGAGACATCCACACTCATTTTGTTGATATCTATCGACTCCAAAATCACGGAGTCGCTTATAGAACATCAAAAGGCAAGTAGCGGTGAGGTGCAGCTGCTGTAAAACAGACACGCATTCGTCGAGGTTATCGAGGTGAGTTCGGTGTCTCTCGAGATCACGAATGGCACAAGATACGCAGGCCATACACCGGCGCTTAGTGTTGTCGTTGAACTTCCCAGGAGCACTGACCGATATCTCAGTACACTGCCTCCAAAGTTTACTGTTTGTACATACCATCGTATGATATTGAGGTAGGTGCTAAGTGCATGAAATGACGCCAAAAGCACCTCCTGCAGTTGACATAGGCCATATCCCGTCCCTGAGACATTTCCTAATCGAAAGGTGGTGTCGCTATTGTGTGAGGATTGCTTGCGAATAGCATCGCAGAGTTGAAGGCACAGCAAATAGAATGGGTCAAGTTGTGGAGAGGAAACATAGGCGGAGCCGAGTAATGTATCTTGCAATGATCTCAGACCTTCTTCGAGTGTGCCAAGGTTAGCAACATCACTGGATTCCACCTTTTTTATGATATCCAGAACCACAGCCGTAGATTCAAAAAGTTGATCCTGGAGAGAACGTTGAGATCCAGCATCCATGTCGGTGGCGAAAGAAAACGGCAAGTAGGCTATTGTGGGAAAAAATTCCGTGGCGTAGATAGAGGTAACAACTAACGCAAATAAATATCGAGCAACAAAATTTATCAGCTATACGATCGTGTGTCGATGTTGCTGTGATGTGTTTATGGGAAAGAGGGGCTGCGATGTGCAGGCACTTATAATATATCCGTCACACCCCACCGCCTTTGAGAGCCATTAACCCGTTTGACCCATTTGCTTCGGCGCGAAGTGATTGGACATCAGCTTGCCGTAATACAAAAACCGCTTGAGTGCGAGCGCGTACATGTTGGCTCTTCTTCCCCCTTTCCACCGTTTCCACCATTTCCATAGCGACTCTGCGGTGATTTTATTTGCCAATATTGACTCCACCTGGGCGAAAGACTGCCCCGTCTCACGTCATCTGTCTCAGGGAGCACTAGGGGAAGCTGGGGAGAGCAGAACTCTGAGGAAGGGAGCAGAAGAGAGAGAGAATCAAATTGTCTGTCTGTAAGGTCTGTAGGAGAGAAGAAGAGAAGCTATCTACTGCCACCTACAGGTGCGCTGCGGGCGGTCAGGGAGGCGGTGGAGAACTGCTGGCAGAGCCCCAGTCCCAACACACCCCCACCATCGACACCGCAGACCTCAATCTTCATCGAATTCGCCCAAATCTCTCAAAAACGCAATAAAATCGATCAGCCTCTGATTCTAGTAGCCAATCAGAGCGCCAGAATACGTTAGTAATCAATCATGTGACCCAATAGGCCAATTTCATCATCATCATCATCATCATCATCATCATCATCATCTCTTTTCGCAAATTCGTCAATCAGTATCGTCGTTTTCGTCATTTTCATGCCAATTCATCAACGTCTTTGTCAATTTCGTCAGAATCGTCGTCATTGTAGTCAACTTCATGTCGGTCGGTCCCAGTTTCGTCATTCAGTGCTGTCGGGGGTTCAGTAAGAGTCAGAGATGCTTGGAACTTATCAAATTTGGCGACAGCGAGGGGTTTAGTCAACCCGTCAGCGATATTGTCGTCGTCGCTGATCAGAATAAGTTCGATGAGGCCCTCCTTCATCGCTTCTTTGACGAAGAAGTAGCGATTATCAATCCACTCCGTTGTTGACGAGTAGCCGTCCTTCTTCAGCAAGGCGACTGCATTATCAGAATCGGTCTTGATGCAGACCTTCTTCTCATCTCGTAGTCCCATCGAATTGGCCAATTTGGCAAGGAAAATCGCTTCTTTCGCTGCTGAGTCAAATGCATACAGTTCTGCGATGGTTGAGCTAGGGCAACAACCTTCTGCTTCGCCGATCGCCAGGAGATAGGCGTGTTGTTCATGAAGAAGATATACCCCTCGGTTGAGTGGCCATCGGTGCAGTCCTGATGCGAGGCGTCGACATAACCATGCAAATCATTCTCACCATCGTTGCTGGAGCTATTCAAAGCAATCCCAAGCTTCATCGTACCTCGCAGATAGCGAAACATGCCCTTGATGGCTGCAAGGTCTTCATCGCGAGGTGCTGCAGTCCTCTGCTGCAGTTTGTTAACCGCTAGCGCGAGGTCAGGGCGAGTCTTCGTCGACAACCAGCTCATCTTCCCAACATCTGTTGAATAGGCCTTGTTCGCATTGCTTTCGCCTGATGTTGTAGGGGCTTTGTAGCCACTCGATATCGGTAGCTTGCTCGTTTTCGCATTGGCGAAGCCACTCTCTGCCAATACCTTCTTTGCGTAGGCCTCCTGATTCACCCAGATAGTCCCATTCCGGCGGAAAAAATTGCAGCCGAGAAAGCGTGTCGGATCACCCAGTAGCTTGATGTTGAAGGATTGCATGAATTCGGCGATAAATTCATCAATGTCGGTTTCGGTAGGTGCTCCCTCGATAATATCGTCGACGTATATCAAGATGAAGCAGTTCTCACCCTTTTTGAACATGCAGGTGTCTTCGACCAATGGTATAAAGCCCAGTTCTCGCAATCGCTTCGTAAACGTTTCGTACCAGAGGTAAGCAGCTTGACGAAGGCCATACAGCGCTTGGTTCAACTGGCAGACCTTGCCCTAGACGGCGAAGCCTGTAGGCTGTTTCATGTAGACGATTCTCTCATCAATTGCTGCATTGAGGTATGCTGCTACCACATCAAATTGACGAATTGCGAGTCCTTTCGCTGCAGCCAATGAGAAGAACAGCTTAACTTCTTGGTCCGAAGCGACGGGAGCATATGAGATATCGAAATCGATTCCGGGTCGCTGTCGGTTACCGCAGACGACCCAACGCGCGCGGTATTCGGTGATGTTGGCATTCCAATCCTCTTTGGTATCAAAAACCCACTTGCCAGGCAAATTTCTGCCACGTTTTGGCATATCAATCAGGGTCCAGGCGTCCACCACCTCTAGTTCCTGCAGTTGATTCTGCATCGCCTGAAGCCATTCGTTGCTTTCGGGGCTGCTCATTGCTTCCGAATAGGTCTGAGGGACGACGATATCATAGACCTTCTTCGGGGTGTCGTCAATCGCAGTAAGGCCCACACCGAATTGATCGTCCGCGCCAAATAGATCTTCAGCAGAAAGTATACTGCTCGTGGCAGAGTCCCCTCTCTTTCCGTTTTGTGCCTTTTGCCTCCCAATCCTCCTCTTCAAAGCGAACCGACTGACGCTGACCTTTCGTCGATCGAGCAGAACGGCGGGGTATGATTGTGGAAGGGTCTTCGCGATCTCTCAACAACGGTCTTGGTTCCCGCGGGGGAGCAGGTTCTGCTGTCATCATCGGTTCTCGCTCGGGTTCAGGCGATAGGCGTAAGGGCTCAGCTCAGATTGGTCGATTTTCGGTTCGAGGAGGGTTCGGCGTAGGTGGAGGAGGTGGAGGGGACGATATCTTCATCGATCGGGCGATTCGCTGCGTTGGAATTTCTGGTGGGGAAGAACTGAGGTGTAGCGCGCCTGGCATGGTTCTTGTGAGGTCAGTCATGCTGTCTTCGACAGTTTGGAAGCTAGCAGCATCAGAGGTAGGGCAAAGAGGGTCAGAAGGGAGTGTCAAATCCTCAATTTCATCAAGATCGACAGTTCTGGTAGGGGATAGAAGCAAGTCTTCATCCAAAGGTTCATCCAAGTCGACAAAATCGGTCTGAGTCGACTGCTGCGAGGTAGGGTTGCGAGGTTCTCTGAGACGGACCACTTTCGGTTGCTGCTGCGGTCTGAAGTCTGCTTCTCTGATAGCTGATTCGTCATCATTCATTCTGATCTGACCAATAGGAGGCTCTCAGAAGACGACATCTCGATGTCGATAGACTTGCTGTTTCTTGGGGTCCCAAATCCGGAAGATATGGCCATTATCCCCTTCATAACCGACGAGGTAGCCTATCCAGGCACGTGGTTCCATTTTCGCTGATTTGATTCGTCGTTCGGGAGGGATGTTGATATAGGCTTTGGCATACCAACTGCGTAGAAAGGTTAAATTGACCTCTGCTAGCCCTGGAAGACCCAAACTCTCTCTCCACATCTGCGTAGGGGCCTGGTTTTCGCCTGGTTTTCGCCTGGTTTTCGCATCCTATTCAGGATATAGCATGCTGCGGTGACTGCTTCGGTCCAGAGAGTCGTCGGGGCCTTCGCATCGATGATAAGGGTCCTCACTGTCTGTATCAGGTAGTGGCCAGTGAACTCCGCAATACCATTCTGCTCAGGTGCGTAAGCCACGCTGGGGGCAAGCGTCATATGCATCTCTTTGGCCCAGGCAAAGAATTTGTTGAATTCGGGGCCATTATCAGTTTGCCAGGTCTTCACCCACTTGCCTGATTTGGCATGGATCGCCTTCGCCCAGTCGATCAATGCTGGCGAGGCTTTGTCCTACGTCATCAAGAAGATAGCGAATCGACAGCGAGAGTAATCGTCGGTGATAACCAAAGCGTATTGATGACCTGAGAAAGAGATAGGCTTGACGAATTGGACGGCCACATGCACCAAATCGAGTGCCTTCTTTCTCTGCTCGCTGGCGAATATCATGAGAAATGATCTTCTTCGATTTCGCTAATCTGCAGGCCTCGCAGTCGAATATCTCTTCGCCAGCGACGACGTCGTTGATATTGGTCAAATCGTTCTGATTGGTTCTCCTCTTTGGGATGCCAGCATGAGCAAGTCGGCGATGCGCCAATTCAGCTGAAATTGCTGCTGCAGCTATGCTGATTGCCGAATATGCATGCGTAGCGCCCGTGAGGTAAAGAAAGGGAATATCGTCAATTCGCTTCGCATAGCCAATAACCTTTCGGTTGTCCGATAGGTCATGCAGAGTCAAATCTATGTCGTTGTAGCCAATGCGGTCCTCCCGATTCGTCTTGCCAGTAGCCCATAGGCTATATTCGCATTCTGGATTGTAGACGCAGGGGAAGGTGATGTAATTGACTGATCCATCGTTCTGAAGTAGGCCAATACGAGCAGTTCCGGTCCCTATGGCAACCGCGTTGTTCCCTCCTGCTGTTCGCCAGGAATATGGGGTCTCGTGGGGTTGATATGGTTTGAAATCAATGAGATATGCGGCATCTCCACAAATGTGGCGAGAAGCGCCAGTATCAACGATCCACTTGGTGTCTTCTCTGCCTATCGGCTTCGTCTTCATTGACCGAATTGTCTCAACTGGCTTTACTTGGATAGCCATTCCGTTGTAGTACATCGCATTCGTAGCGAGTTCTTTCGGTTGAGAGTTCTCATTCTCCTTCTGGGGTTGTTGAGAAGAGGGCTGAGAAGGCTTGTGGCTAACCCAGACATCATCGCCGGGGACCCAATCAGTAGGTCGTTGTTCAGGGTGAAGATACCAGCATCGTCGTGGGCCATGGCCTCTTCGTTTGCAATGAATGCAGCGACCCTGCTCATCTTGCTGGTTCTCAGCATTGTCCATTTGACGTTCCCAATCTGCTGCGCTCGTTGCTTTCGGTGGAAACCCTTTCTTGTCTGTTCTGTTGCTATTTTTGTTCGAATCCTGGTTGGATAGGCTCGCATTGTGGTTGGGTTGTTGCTCTTCGCCAAGTTGACATCTCCTTCCACTCGCATACCGGCCAGTTCTTTGAGGGAAACGTTGCAGAGATCGTTAAAATCCTTCAATTCGAATTCTGCCCAAATATCCTTCTTGCTGTCGAATTCATCGGATTTCCTACTGATGACGCTCTGTAGCTCTTGCCTCATCTGGGAGATCATCAGGGAAGCGACGATGTAGGGATGTATAGGCACGTTCGCCTCCGAGCAGCGGGCCATGCCTCGCTGCATCGCCTTGATATACATCTCAGGCGATCCAAAGTCAGAACGGACAGGGCGACAAACGTTGTGTAGAGCTCGTTGGATAGCGACGCTGCCTGCCCCACGTAGGGAGTCCTTCACCACCTTCATGAAGCTATCGGCGAATCGAACTGGGGTGCCACTGCTTCGAATTGTCGATACAAATTGCACAGCCATGTTGTTGGCCAACCATGCGGCCACTTGGATTGAGGTCTCTGCCCATTCTTCGCCGCGGGGGTCTCCCACTGATGGGCGAGGGATTCCGGAGTCGATCAGCTTCTCTAATCTGACACCAGTCAGTTTGGTAGTGATTCGTTCTAACCACTCATCAAAATCATCTGCATTCTGTAGGGGTTCACGGAGTTGGGGGAGGGTAAATGAGTCCTTGGCAGGCAACCCTGTCAACTGGGTGCATGCTACTTCAACACTTCCCTTGCCCCACTGGTCCCAGTCATCAAATGTAGGGGCCATGTCGTCAAATTCGTTCAAATCAGTATCGTAGTCGATGAAAAATGTCGAACCTGCGTTCCAGGCGTTGGTTCACAAAGAGGCGTTAACCGCTTCGACCGGTGGGGGGTAGAGGGGTCAGAGGCAGTCGAAATACTGCTCTCTGATTCGTCAAATCAAATCGGATGTCGAATCCTCAGATCAGTTCTGATACCCAGCTGCACCAGCGAAATAGGCCTTTCGCCTAGATCTGGTACACAGCCGGGCTCATAACCTCTCAGAGAGCACTAGGGAAGCTGGAGAAAGCAGAACACTACTGAGAACAGAAGAGAGAGAGGAAATCGTTGTTCATAGAGAGAAGAGAAGAAGCGAAGCTATCAGCTACCTACACCTGCTGCGAAGGCGGTCTGGAAGGCGGTGGAGAAAGACTGGCAGAACACCTCCCAACAAAAGATCAGGGCTATTTTAGATTGGGAGTATGCGGGATTCTTCCCGCAATTCCTTTTCTTTGAGGCCCCTTTTTTTACAAGTGACTTGGATATTTCTCTGCAATAGCCGATGGAGTTGATGACGTCCCGAGATTACTGCGATTTCCGGAGACGACTGAGCAGTGAAAAACATCAACTTGCCTGAATCCTTGTCCTATACCCAAATAGCATGGAATCCCTACAATCAAGTGTTGGAATTTTGGAAAAATGTATCAGGTACCAAAGGAATCTTTCTTGCTGGAATTACTTTTCCATGTCAGGTTGCCGCCGAATTAAAGATATGTTTTACGCTTTGATCAAGTTTTCCCGGGAAGAAGTCCAGGTTCTATTCAAGTGCACTGGTGTACGAAGCTCAGCAAGCGGCGATCGTCACTTGCCCAAAATTCGTAGGGAATGCTATTTTATCTATTGAAGTCCCCGGGGGCAGTAGATACTGCCTGCTTATTCAGTTTCAGTCACTATCTCACTATGGGCATAATAGCTTCTTGATTGATCAAGGTCATGAAATCCTTGACGCCGCATACATGATACGAGTTATAAATAGAAGTGAATGAATTGTAAGTGCAGAATAAAAAAAAAAAAAAAAACTGAAGTCAATACCTACTGCAAGTGCCCATTTTGGAGCCTTTGTGCATTGTCTCTTGTAAACGGCGGACCTGTGAATTACTGCATCCGGTTAGAAGTAACCGAATATGGATTAGCGCGGGTTCGGACAGTAGCCGAGAAACAATTCGTATGTCCATGGGGGAATCTGTTTTCGAATATTGCTGTAATTCTAATTTGGGGACTGAGTTTGTATTGATGCCCTTTGGAACTTCGCGGCATTATGAGAACCATAACTTATCTGTCACTGGCGCTCAACGCCATGATGATACCAAATTGAGTATGTTAATTTTACGAATCTTCAATAGTCAAGGTCTGCGTGTCGAAAATAGCCTCTAGCAGTCTCTTTTCGATACACCACGGTCAAACCAGCACAATTCTACTTTCCACAGAGAGGACGCTGTTTAAACATTTACTCATCATTGAAGTCACAATTAGGCGCTCTTTCCAGGCCCTGTTCATTCAATCCGATCTAAATCTTAGTGCTATCAATCACTTGAGAATCAACGGTAGCCGTGACAGCATTCCTCACAAACAAATGGCGTGGTGATGAAGAGAAGGTGCGTGAAGTTTGCAAGCCAGCTGGTTATGCTGTAGATGATGCTACCACAACTTCGGAGTACCCAGAGATTTTACGAGGAGGGCCAAATTCTGGAGGTTGTACTGTGAGAGCTCTCCACAGCCACTTAGCCTATGTATTAGTAGACCCCAGCAACTTGTCACGGTCTAGTTTCCGGAAAATAAGTATTCCCGGAAGTCAAATGGAATGGACCTCACATTCAAGACACAAGGAAACATTGAGGGGGTTTATCGGGGTTATCGGGAAGAGCCCTGGGCTTTTCTCGTTATTAAAGCCGTTTTCGCTGAGTACTTTGTGTCATCTCCGAATAGCGTCGTCAACCTTGCGTATCACGGGACTGAACAATTGAATCTCTTGAGTGGATTTTGTTAACAGTCTCACATTCTTAAATATACTGGGCGGTACAAATAAGTAACAAGAGTGACCAAACACGATACATTGCAGAAACAGATTTATAGCTGGTATCCCATTGCTGTAAAGTCAAGGCCTGGATAGATTATAGGAAGTTGCGAAAGCAATTTAAAACCAGAACTTTATCGGTTAATATTTGTTACGGTTGGAAGGTCTAGACAATCAGTACGACTAGGTGGCAAGTCTATTGAACTGTCTAGATTCAGGAAAGCTTGCAGTTGCATCCAGGACTACCTGGGAATATTCTGCCGTTCGCAGCGCAAAACTGCTGGATGCAATATTTTTTGGTTGTCAGGTGATTCTATCGAAAACCATGAATCAGGTCAGGTGTCTGTCCCATGGCTGGTCTAAACTTTGCTATTGTTCCGGTGGCTAAACGATCCGCTCGGGTGAGTTGCGGGTGACCCGAGCCTAAATGTTAAGAGTTGAAGGTTCATGCGTGAATGCGACCCACGGTTGGCTCAGCCACTTATATGAAATAGCTATCTGTTTTCTTATTGTATTTTTGGAGATTTATTGGGTCTTGTATGGTGTTCTGGGTCCACGTCTTCGTGACTCAAACTTACGATTTGGCGCACTCTATGTTTTTGTTTTCATCTTCTAGAACCTTGAATTTGTGTGGGATTACGCTTCGTAATTCTTTGCCAAGTTTTCATCATCGAGAAAAACTATCTGTCTTTCTCACCTTCTAGGCCACTCTTTGTTCTTTTCTTATCTTCTAGACCCTCGTAGACTTTGAAAGTATGTAGAATTACCTTCGGTCTTTCATCATCGACCAATCTATCGGTGTCTTTCTCACTTTCCAAGTTCATGTCCTCATTCGTAATGATGATAGTATTTGGCATCCGAGGCTCCGAGTCTCCAAGTACATAAACCTCTCTTGCCCCAGTCCAATCATCTGCACACTCACTTACCATAACCTCTATCATATCGTATAATTTCTTGCAGCATTACCGCTTATTCAACAGCCACGATGCCTGAACCTCCCGAAATCTTCCGTCGGCCATCGCGTGATGACCCACCCCGTCCTCCTGAGCCTCGACTCGGCTTGAAACAAGACGACATTGATAAGGCCGAACTTAACAGAATAGCCGAGCAGGCGGCAGTGACAGCTACTGAGAGCTTCAAGCCCGCAACACTGCAAGGTGTTAAAGACCCTGCCATTGAGAAATGGACCTCGCCTCTGGCCGACCTGTCACGCCAAAATCTTCCCAATATTTCTGGCAAGTCAGAGAAGAGACTGAGAAGTGTCGTCGAGCGCGACATCGTCTCGGACCCGAATCAGTACCCTTGGTGCACCATCGGCAAAGTCTTTGTCGGATGGAACAGCAACTTTGCCAGTCCAATCTGGACGGGTTCCGGCTGTCTCATCGGCAAGAATATCATATTGACAGCTAGCCACGTCGCTCCTTGGGGCAAGCCAGGATGGTGGATGCGATTCGTCCCAGCATATGATGAAGGGGTGGAGCGATTTGGTTCTTCTTATATCTCAGAGTTTCGGGGAGTGAAGAACACCAACAACGTCGAAGGGCTGGACTACGTCGTCTGCCTGCTGTACGATCCACTCGGTGGTACATGCGGCTGGATGGGGAGCCAGTGGTGGGGAAATGATAGCGAGTACGAGCGCCGCCGTTGGATCAGCGTGGGGTATCCAGGCAATTCCCTGAACGCTCAGGTACCCATGGTTGAGAAAAACATCGCTGTCAACGACGTGGACAATGACCAGGACGGCAAAAAGCTCGAGACAAATAACCTTTTTTCCTCGCCCGGTTGGTCTGGAGGGCCGATGTGGAATTTCCTTGGTGCAGACTCAGCGTCAGATCCCAGAGTTGTCGGTGTGATGAGCGGGTGGGAGAAGGAGTCATTCCTCTGGTGGACTATCGAGGAAGATGATGTTTCGGCGGGCGGAGCGTATATGACGAACCTTGTGATCTGGGCAGAGAGGAACTGGCCGAGCTCATAAATGGGTTGTGCACGTTTCCAAGGTGGTACTTCACCCGTATTCAGCATCATTTCAGAGAGTATCAAAAGCAGTCGAGTGCAAGTGCCCCACACTCAGTCGAAATGTCCCACTCATTTGCTTGTTCGCTGTTGCTTTGTCTTTTCTCACCCACCACCGTCTAATAGTTGGATTTGCTTTCAGTCTGACCATGCCACATCGTGGATAAATGGATTCCATGCAATTTGCAAATTGTCGAGAAAAGTGGAGGCCATACTTACCGCCACCCCCTCAGTTTCCTTTGTATTTCTTGCCGGTACTGCGGCATTTCTGTTGATTTCACCGATTTCGCAACCGCTCTTCGGCATTTCGCGAGGAGTATCTTCCATCCTCCTCATCTTACACTCCTTCTCTTCGATCAATTCAGTCTAGTCAATTCATCCTGATTGGTTAAATTCCATTGCATTTCCCCACTTAGCGCATACAAGATCATACTGTACTGGCTTGCTCAGACAGGTAGCGTTTACATTCGAGCAAAACATGCACGTGAAATTTCTTACACGGTGGTATGTAGTCGGTTGGAGTCACTTGACCTTTCGTCTCTTTAGTTTTATTTGTTGCAACCTCTCTGCCCTCAGTAACTAGGCGATAAAAGAACTCCGGAGGCTAATGTTCGAGAGTAATTCATGGCTGAATGGCCATAGAAATAAGACTAGCCAAGGAGGGGTGGTTAAAGAAGGGGTGGTCAAAGATGGTGGATCAGGTGGGGCCAGTAAAGCATATGCCCAACAGTTGAGTCTCAAGAACCATCGTTTATGAACCGCTGCCCCAATGTTCGGTTGGGAAATGTATCAATGAGAAACTCTTTCTTGGCCCCACCGCCAAGGCCTTAGCGCAGATCATTCATTTATTGAGCGGCCCGCATTAAATATTGGGCGCAGTAAAATGCGCCGTGTATGTGACAGCGTCTAGCCACGTAATATTACACATTCGTACGAAAAGAAAAGTTCGTGGAAATTCCATGGAAACCTATGGTGGATCTCTGCCAATCATGTGGGGAATGCCACCTTGGCGCCAAGTACCCCTGCTGGGAGACCGCCATTCTCCTCCTGTGCGGCGTGTGCTAGTCATCACTTCTGAGGGGTGTCTCTTTGGCTCAGAGAGCCTCATAACGAATAATATCATTGGCAAACGCCTGTCTCGACCAGTTTTTGGTTGTTTGCAGGCAAGCAGCACCCTTAACGGCAGCTGATGGCGTAGGCCTCATATGGTCACTCACCTGATGTCTGTCAATTGCAGTAGGCCCAGCGATATGAGACCGAGTTCACTCGTTAGTCATAATAATTACCGGGTTCAACAAGACATTTGATACGTGGGATGATACATGTATGTACATGGGTGTATATATTTAAGGTAGCTTGTCTTTGCCCTGAAACGAAGGAAGTGAGAGGAAGCGAAACTGTTGCACGTGCCCCCTTACGTGACGGGACTTGCTTATTTTCGTGAAGATTTGTGAGACTGCCAACGCCTATACAAAAATTGAAGCGAAATTTCACCGAAATCGCAATGATTGGCTTGCCGTGTTTCTTATTGGACGAATGCTTTCAGTGCCATTAGACAATGCCTACCGGAAACGACTCTGGTTTCCCGTCCTTCGTGCAATCCGCATCTTTGTTGATTATTGTAGCTTTTTAGCTTTTTTTTTGCTCACTTCGACTCCAGTCGGGGTATTGGGTTTTCGGTGCTACTTGGCTTTCGAGGATGCGTTCGCGCTGCCATGATTTAATTAAATCTTATCGAATTCGGCTGCGCTTTTCCGGAACTTTAAACATGCTAAACATGGTAGAACCCATGTAGCCACTGTTCCTCTTCTCGTGAGGATCGTATCCTTATGATGAGAGGCGGTGTTTAAGCTCTTGGTCCAGCATTGTAGACATCATCCCTCTCTTGCAGAGATTCTCGTCTTATTATTGGTGTTGTGATGATGCGCATAGCAGCTGTGTGATAGTGGGACTAGTACCGAAATCCCGACCAGTTGCATACTTTACACATTACTGGCAGAACAGGGTTGTTTTGAGTGCAATTTATGGGGTTGGATGGGTTTGCACTACTATGATTCAAGTCGCTCCTATCGGATTCAGTTTCTTGTCTTCCGCAACTTTAACCACGCAATGGCCTATGCGGCCAGAGCTGTCGCACTCTCGCTACGCGCGATACCGTCCACTATTACCTCATGAAACAAAGAAACTAGCTTCACTCTCTTAGTCCCCTATTATCATATCATGTACACTGAGGATCCACGTCTGCTACTTTCGCTTAACAACCTTCGCTTATTCTAATAAGTTTGGGTAATTTCCGTAATAGTCATCCGTCACGGGTTGGTGGAGCAGCATTCCTTGCGAAGGCAAAGTGTGTCCTCAAACCCCTTACACATTGTACCAGTAGTCCTTCCAGCCCCCTATACAGTCAAGCTGTTGTAGCAGCGTGCCTGGTGTCGTCGACCACGCGGGGACATCCACACACTTGCCACTCTGGAGATTGATCAGCCATTTTGCACCAACCTCATTGCCGACGCCCGGGTCCACGCTCTCCCACTGTTGGTTTTTGTCGCTGGGATCGCAAGGATACTGCGCGATCAGCGCTCCATTTGCAGTGGACCCTTCGGAGATCCCCAGACACATCCCGCTGCTGAGGTTCCTGATCGAGAAGATCCGCGGCGAGTAAAAAGGGAACTTCTCATATTTCTGCTCGAGCCCATTATTGCACGCCGCCTGCTGCACCAGCCCGCCGCTCGTGTAATCCTGCACGGCCATGCACAAGTTGTTCCATCGGCTGACGATTGTGTCGCGCTGCAGGACTAGTTGCACGTCGGCGGGGTCGACGACGTGTCCGGTCCACTGCGGCAGGAGGTAGTAGGAGCCGAAGTGCTCACCCAGATGAAAGCTGTAGAAGATAGGATGTATCAAGTCACGCTGGACCATAGGGATCAGCTTAGGCACATCCTTGCGCAGCTGGTCGTTGACGATCCAGTTGCACGCGTCGTTGTTGTCGGTCAAGGTGTCCCAACTGTCGACTGTACCATCGATTAGGTAGCCGGTGTTGTCTGGGAAGATGTAGTAGATGACGCTACCGTCGACGCCGTCTACGCACCACCCTGGAGTATTATTGACGTTCACGTCGATGCTAGCCCGAATAACTGGGTCGGTATCAGCGTGCGGCATGGTTGCCCGAGGCTTGACCGGGCTGGGTACGCTGCCCCAGGGCATCCAGGCTAGCTTGACCCCGAATCGTCGCATGGGGCGCGTCGACATGTGCTGCAGGATGTTGTCGATGTTGTTCAAAGCCCCGACGCCGTTGAACCAGTCGGCCAGATCGATCACTTTATCTGTTATGTCAGGTATAGCGACGGGTAGAGTTGTGTCTTGAGTAACAAGCAGTGGATGGTTTGGTGCGGTAGCCATGGCCATAGCCATTGGCAAGGCTCCCGCAATTAAGCGAATAAGTTGAGTCCACATCTTGCTGTGTCTGATGGCTATGCGATTGCGGAAGTTTATTTGTCCGAGACCGTGTCCGCACGTCTGGTGAATTGAAAAGCAAAACCAAAGGCGATATGCCGTCAAACTGCGTTGACGGGTGAATATATACACTCATTGTACGTGATACATTGACCACACTAGGATGTGTTGGAATGTACAGGGCGCTGAGCGTTATCTTGTCATCATGATGACGACTACATTGTGTGGTGAGGTTCGTAGACGTCAAAGAGCGAAAAAGTCTCGCATCCAGCAAGGAAGAACCCTGGATTTACGAACTGCGAAGATGTCAAAGACGCCAAGGATATGGAGGAGCAGCTGACGCGGGAATTACTGCTCAACCCACTCAATGTTGATGTGGCAATTGCGGCAATCCTGGTCATAATACGCGTATATGCGGGAAGGCGCGGGTTTCTAAGCTTCCGCACAGCCTATGGGCGCCTTACCCATGTCTAGACCTCGGCGTGGACATGCCCACAGACCCATCGGAGCTAAAAAGCTGTCCATGGCTGTAATATATACGTATTTTACACCTTTTTTATTAGTATTATTAAATGTATTTGACTATAATTCCATCACAATCTGAAAATCCTGTCCATGGACACATTTTGCTTGTCCATGGACAGGATATTGCCGAGATCTACCCATGTCCATGGGCCGGCAGGATTAGAGGAGGTATTCTAGAGCTAATACATTAAGTGAAGTGATATTTCTATTAGAATGATCTATTCTTTGTCGCTCATTTTAAGTTAAATTTCTTGACGGTATCTTATCGCTTCCTGCCACCAGCATTTAACATAGCTGGGCTGCGCCACAGCTGTTCTGCACAAACTCGTGCGATAAAATTAATTTTAGCTCCTCACGTATCCATATCGAGATGCGGGAGACACGTCGAGTGGACCCTTCACCCACCCGCGCGGGTAAAGGGTCCCGGCCCGTTCCACCTGCAGAGGTTTCCTTGCTGGTCAGACGCACTGAACACTCCCTCACCCGCCAAGACCAAAATTTGTCTACTTCACCCACGTTGGACAAATAAAACCGATGAGGTATTCCTAAATATACTAGTTATATAGTTAAGGGGGCTCAGCTGAGCGATACCAGGGACAAGTTGAGCTTTGATTGATTGATTGATTGATTGTAACATATACAGGATCTGTCAGGCGGTAAACCCGATTTGCTGGTAAGAACACTATGGACCTATAGCTTGGACAACTTATGTCACTTCATACGTGTCGAAACATTGAGTGGTAACTTGTGACAAAGCAAGCGAAGAGTCACGAATCCCACATTTCTCAAAAATTATGTTGTGTATGGTAAATGGGTTTCTTGGCAATCTCGGCGTTGTATCCACCCAGTATCGGCACATTGAGCAGGTATTTCAAACAGCCCTCGAGCACACTCAGCGTTGTATCCACGATTTATGCATTTTTGGGTAACCCATGGGTTACCCAAAACATGGCTCGGGTTTCTATGGGTCGGGTTTTGGTCAAGGCTTAATCCTCATGGGTTCATGGGTATGAGTTTGGGTCAAGACTAATAACAATGGCCGGGTATGTCCAGGCCTAATTCTCTCAACTTCCTGGCACGTACAATTAGGCAATATGATAATAATAAATACTTGAACTGCATGTTCTCTGCATTCCAGACTTCTACGCATGCGGAAATGCCTTTTATTTTAATACCTCTTTCGTCACTCCAAGGTCATAGTATATAATGATGCATTAATTAGCCACGAGTATACTATATATTGTAACCTAGACCGTCCTAAGCATTGAAGACTGCAAGTAAATTCAAAGGAATCTATTACTATATATTCCACAACTCTCGCCGTTGCTATCTAAACCAACATCGCAATCCAAGCCTGGGAAGCAGCCCTTTCTTGCTGTCGTTCACAGATGACTACATAAGTAGCCTGGGCGCAAACCACTTTCAACGGGACATTTTGCCATCTGCACATTTCGTACAATCAAGTTTCTATTCTTCTCCCACCACCACAACACTGGCGTTGTCGGTAGGCGTAGCTCGTCATTCGTCGCTCAGAATCACATCCGGAGCAGCCAAGATCATGGCCCAGGTCATCTATAACGAAAACGGCAGCACGGGCGGATCGCCCCCACTGACAACAGTCTCTACGCGCCTAATGCCACCTTCAATGTTGCAGGGCCGGGCAACCTCAGTCTGGGAAGCAGCCCTTTCTTCTACTGGAACACGAAAGCCGACGGGACTGGGAATATTTTTGGTCAAGGTTCCAACATTTTCCCGAACCAGACCACCAATCTGACCCTCTTCGCCATCTGGGGTGTGACGACGGGACTAACTAACAGTGGTGTGACGACAAATTTCAACTTCTTCTACGATCCGAGCCTCGGCGGCGCGGGAGGCATCGAACCTGTGCGCATTAATCAACTGCTTGCGGCCGGTACCGGCCGCAAGCCAGTCATTGAAAATGATTTCGACTGGTTACAGGCGCAGTTCGCTGGTGTCGACATGACGAAGGCCCAGCCCTTTCCGATCCCCGTCCAGGTGACGGCCGTAGTCCTAAGCGGTTACAGCGCGAGCTGGGGCTGGCCGTTGTCCATGAACGCAGGCAAAAACCCGGCTACACTCTTGCGCTGCATGGCTATCACGGAAGTGTCCGAGACATTCATGTTGGCGCAGGACAAGGGCTGGGGCTTCTCCAACGGCGTCTGCGACGAGGAGAGCTGCGGCGAGGCTCTCTCGCTCTTCCTGGCCGTGCGGTTCCAGCTCTCGCAGGGCCTGGGCACGACCTGGTTCATGAACCGCATGCCGTCGACCTGGCTCAACACCTCGCTTCCGGCAAGCAACCCAGCCTCGACGGAATTCGACGCAAACACGGGCACGCACTACGGCTCGCGGCAGGACTACGTCGGCAGCGTCAAGCCGTGGACTGGCAACGGCCCGGCCACCGGCTGCTGCATGGCCTTTCTCTATTACCTGTTCCACCAGCTCCAGTTCACCTCGATCCCGCAAATCATCGCTGCTGCGCCGGGCGTGGATTCCAGCAACAACGGCCCTTGCAGCAACAACGTGATTGGTGGCTCTTGCCTCGAAGGCTCAACTTCCCGTATTGCACTCCTGGCACCAGGTGTCATCATCAAATGTCCACGATTCTCTTGGTGGCATTCTAAGGCAGCGGTGGATAAATGGTTCGTTCGGGACATGAAGCGGAGTTTTGAGGTGGAAGAACGACTTCTGCAAATCCTAGGACTACATCCAAGAATAATAGAGTCTGTTAGCCCCCAACTTCTTGTGATCAGTGATTGACTTCTTCCTAGGTTCAAGGGCGTCTCAGATGACCCATTTGGATTGTTATTTACTGAAGCAAGTGATGGAAATCTACAAAACTACATTGACCAGCACCATGCTAGCATCGATATGTCACTACGATTCAAATGGCGCACGCAAGCCGCGGAGGCGATCCAATTCATTTATCAAAAAGGTGTGATACACTCTGATCTTCGACCTGAGAACTTTTTGTTGCACACTGTGGCCGGAAACGAGGTCGATCTTCTGCTCTGTGACTTTGGGGGGGTCAACAAATGGAGAAATTGATGGTCGGCATCTCCCTACGCCGGATTTTTTAATCCCTGCAATCCGCCGGAATCGACGAAAAGCACGGACATTTTCAGCCTCGGATCCATCTACTATACGATAATGACTGGCCATTGGCCCTACAGGTCTCCAGGTCCATTCAAGTCTCTGGAGGAGATGGAGAAATGCCAAGAATTGGTTGACGATCTGTTTGTCTCCAAAAGGTACCCGCCGGTTGACGGACTGGCAGCTGGACCTGTGATACAACGATGCTGGACAGGAGAATACTCTGATTTGAGGGAACTCATTGAAGACCAGCGTTGGCAGTTTGAGACTCTGGTGCGGTGAAAGGGAATAACATAATTTCAATGCACTCGTGAAGTATGCGGTTATACTGTACTGAACCAAATACAACCATCTGAACTAGCGTGTCATAATCAATAACCCTTCGAGATGAGCCATCGACCCTCCACTTCCGGCCGCTGCGCACAACCTCCCTCTCGTAAACCTCTCTGTCATCGCAAGCTCGAATTCCGAGATCTCCGCTCCCTCATCGAAAAGCTCCTTGCGGCGCGGCACCGGCGAGATCTGTCCACAAAGCAAAGCCAGCATACGCTGCTGCTTTGATTCTCCTTCTCCTTCTTCTCCTTCTCGTCCCCTGATTGGCTCACTCGAATCACCGAGTCCTTGAATCACCAAGTTGGCCAGGTCATGTGCGCTCCCGCACCGTCCCCGGCTTCCCTGTTCACCAAGGACCTCGCATCACCAAGGAGCGCCTCTCCTGGTCACCACTCTCTTTGGCTGGCCAAACCGTTCGTCGAGCTCGTTTAGAATCACTTCCGTACAGGCCTTTACAGTGCATACTTAAGAGGGCTCTAGCACCAAATTTTGGCTGGTTGGCTGACTGGCTGCTTCGCTGCCTGGCCCGCCTATTAAATGCCGCTAGTAATTCCTGTACGGCCTGGCCAAAGTGGTCTGGCAGTACAGAAGGAAATGTTCTGACCAGTAGCCAAATAATGATGAGTGTTAGATTGACCACGATAAACTTAGGTGTCCTCAAAAATTGTCGGACTGAAAGGTTGCAATCTTCGAGCAACAAACAACTCAGAAACAAGTGAGACCGCAAAAGACCCCCAAAGGTATGAAGAAAATGTTTCAGTAAACCCGCATCGCTGATCCATCTGTGACATCTCGAATCCTCTTCGACAACGGTGGATAGGAAACCTGATAAACCTGGGAATTAGAATGTACATACGTTCTGGGTGGAAATTAATTTGCGTACTTTAGCTTCCAGTTTCCGTGTTTTTTTAGACCACTTTCATAAAAAGAGAATAAATAGTCGGTCGCATCAGTGGGGTAAAGCGTAATCGTTCAATGCCCCGACCCGATGCCGAGGTCAGCCTGTCCTGATCCCAGGTAGGAAAATATATAAATAGACGATCATGTGATTTCAACTGTGTGGGTTCGAGATGGCGTTGTATCATATCAAATCCGACGATTTATTGTGCGAGAATGATGGACTGCAGTTAATCAATCCACATAGAAAGGGTTAACTCATCGCTTCTAGGAAATAAAGATCAAGAATGAAGTGTATCTGGCTTGAACAGTGCTCACCTGCAGATTTTCAATTCTTGCCACTGCAAGTTGGACATGCAATACCGTTCACGACCTTACGGCCTCCGCAAGTTTCACATGGAGCCATCTTCGTCGTTCAGGTGAAGCTTAGGTAGAGAAGTCGATTTTAGATGACCAGGGCGGTGACTTCAACGCGTGTGAGGCAAAACACGGTCAGTTCCGTGAGCGAGAGTTGATGGTCTCGCTGCCCAACGGCGGGCGAGTCTGCTTGGTATTTATCATATGATGGCTGGTCTCGCGTTCCGCACTTGCAGCCAATTACATTTTCCCACAATACTGACTAATCACAGCAAAGGTTAACTAGACACCTCACTCTTTTTCTGCGCCATCCTCAACAATGTCAAATACACAACCCCAGTGTGCTTGTTCAGCCTTCTTTGCAACAGAGGATAATCTACAACAGCATCTTGCAGAATACCGGGTCAGTGCCCCGTAATCCAACTCAATCCTCTCAGCTAACTTCTTGCAGTCCCGCGAACAGCGCTTACAAGCCGAACTCGAAAGGTGCCGAACCCATTCGAGGACTGATGGCGATGATGGTCGAGACAAGAACGACAATCGAGGCGAATGCGAGGACGACCCATATTATTATGTCAAAGCGGCCGGAAATCCGATGGGTACAATAAGGGAGAGTGGAGCTCCCAAGGAGCATTTCTGTCCATCCTGTGAACGAGCGAAACCATTTCCGAAAATGCAGGGACTCCGGCGACATTTCCAACAACGCAAGTACTATCCTTTCTGTCAGGCTGCTTGCTGTTAATTCCTCAGGCGCAGATGTCGCATGCGAGGAAGTGTGTGTGTGCTGCTTTAAAGTCTTCAGGCTCGTGAGCGAGTTCATTAGACATGCAAACAGGCATGATGACGAAGATGAACGAAAGCGGGCCTATATCAAGAAAACATGCGATGAGTTATGCGAACGATCCGACAAACAACTGGCTCTCGCAATGACCCAGTGTCGATCAGCAGTTGTAGGGAAGAAAAGGACATGGGAGATGGCAGCCTTGGACTCAGAGATGTCGAGGGCTCGCGCCGAGTTCGACGGGATTAAGACAACGGCATTGGATCAACCCCATCTCCAAATCAATGAAAGTGACGGCCTTCACTTGCTCGGCTCGGCTTGCATTGAACCATCTGCACACCCAATCCCGATGCAGTCGCATATAGAATTACCGCGACTGGCGGCCATGACCGAACCCGTTAATACTAGCAGCTCTCGGGACATGCCAACAGAGGAAGTTTACTTCAACCATGGAGAAGGGCAAACCCAAGGTCTTGACTTGCTACAAGATTTTGATGCTCCTATCCTTCAGATTATGAACAGTGTCCCAGCATTGACGAACAAGTGGACGGCTGAAAATTATGGTACTATAGGTACAAACACAGAAGCTGCAGTGTATCATGAACTATGAGGGCTATCTTTCTGTGCTTCCGGAACCCTCAAACTTGAAGTTCAGTCCGATATTTGCGCTCAGAATTTCCAAGTTCTTGACTTTTTGTTCCAGACCCACCGAGTATGGAAGGGTCATTTTCGCCCAGTTGGCGATCACTTCATCTGTAGCAAAAAGAAACGTAATGGCATAACCTTTCTCGATCTGGAAGCCGAGTCTAGCATCTAGAATCACTCTGCGCTCGTTAGAGCAGGAGACTAATATACGGCTCTTTTGTACTTACAAGCCACCATCTGGAAATTCCTTCACCTCAGGCCTAGAGCCCACGCGATCCAGCTCGGATTGGGGAATCTCATATAAGGATCTTCTCCCCTTCGTAGTCATCAAGTCATGAAGATGCGAAAGGGTATAATACTCCACCCGCGATCCTTTGGCCCACAAATGCACCGTTAGAACACGGCAGCCAGCTTTTGGGCCCCCCCTCCTGAAGCATTCAACGTGGCCAGGGAAGTCTTCATATCTCAGCCAGTGTCCGAGGCTACACCGTTCGAGGGAGGCTTCGAGTATAGATCGGATGCGCTGCAGATGATTAGACCATAGAAATGGAAATATCTCATTCCGCTTACTTCGTCAAAGGCAAATTGCTTGCAAAAATCCATACCATATTCGGTGAGGTATGGGAAGCCCTGCTTCTCCATGTCCAAAACGCGGTCGCCAACCGTTGAGTCGTTTAAATCAAAAAACCCCTTCTCAAGAAGAGACCTCATTGCCACATCTAGCGTAAATGTGGTTGATGCCATAACTGGGACTGGCACTGCTGTGCCTGAAGCTGATGTAAACCAGCGCGGGGCATTCGCTGGTCGGTTGAAGCCGTGCGGAAATTTAATTTTTCCGGAGAAATCCTGCTCACCCCCACTTCGGCAGCGGGCATTCCCGTCTTACCTAACTAGTCCGGTTTTGCGTTTTGGTAAGCCAGGGATCACAGCTGTGTGCTACCATTCTGCTCCGTACAGGGATCACAGTTTCGTGATACCCCCCCCCCCCCCCCCCCCCCCTTCCAACTAGAAGCAAACTGTCAGGGATCACAGGGATCACAGGTTTGTGATCAACGCTCCTATTGGTCACCAAGTCTAACGGCGCCATTACGCTGGTGCTTCCGATGCGCCTAGATTGAACAGGACACAGAGCTGTCGGTTCCTAAGACACCACCACAATTTAGTGTCTCGAAGCAAAGGTGACGCCACCAACTGAATGATTTCTGAATTTATCCAATTGAGAACGGGTACTTCATCGTATATCATGCATGCACCGTGCAGACTCATGCAGCTAAATGCCGAATACGTGAGGAGAAGCAACATTTACTTGAGCAGCGAGTATAGACTCCGGGCCCAAGTCACGAAGCATATATGATCCGCGAATTCTCATGTCTTCGACTTCAGATAACCCATCCAAATTCAGTTTCTCTTTATTACCCACAGCTACGAATATCATCCTTTCGATTCTCTTATACTCAATGAACGCCATGAGCGGAGGTGGTTCATACTACAGCCCTTCCCAGGCGACACTTTTAGACGTCTTCTTCCCTGGTCTTGGTATGACCTCTGCGTCCACGCAGCAGCTGTTTGCCGGCAACACGGACAGCTACACTCGTCTATTTTGTACTCTGGGAATATTAGTCCTCTTCGCCCGCTATGCAGTCCGCTATTTTTGGGATCTAGTGAGAAGCTACTTCAGTTCGTATAAACTTTCCGTTGTGATAGGACGAGTCTGACAGTCAGCAGCTTCGACACTTCATGTCTCATATTATGACGAAGCATACGATATGCTGGTCGATTGGATAGCTCAGCAACCATTCGTCCACAATGCTCAGTCATTAATAGCTCGTGTGCGATCTCCACAGCGGACAATCATCCAAAACCAAGCAAAGAAAAAACCTCTGACGTTTTCTCCCTGGGATGGGTCTTTTCCTTTCTGGTATAAAGGGCATCTGCTCATCCTTCATTGCGCGGTCAAGGACCATCGAGAAGACATTTATATCTCCTCTATTGGCCTTTACCCAAACATTCTCAAAGAGCTTGTTGAAGAGTGTCGAGGAACATATCTCAACAACATTAACAAAAAAATCACCGTCTTTGAGCACCGTGAAGGGGACTGGAAGAAAACGAGGCTGAGAGCAATTCGACCCATCTCTACAGTTATCATGGACAAGAAAGTTCAGGATGATCTTCTGAGAGATGTGAAGGACTTTCTGGATGAAGATACACAAAAATGGTACGCCGACCGCGGAATCCCCTACCAACGAGGCTACCTTTTACATGGACCTCCCGGGACCGGAAAATCCAGCTTCAGTCTCTCACTGGCGGGGGAATATGAACTGGATATTTATACGCTTCAACTGTCAGGTATTTCTGACAGCAAGCTGATGAAGCTGTTTGCTGAGCTTCCGCCGCACTGTATCGTTCTCCTGGAAGATGTCGATGTCGCCGGGATGGGCCGAAGAGATGATGTGGATACAGATCAGGAGAACAATCCAGGCCCTGGAGTTACCCTATCCGGCCTTCTCAATGTTCTTGATGGTGTGTCATCTCAAGAAGGTCGGGTGCTCATCATGACGACCAATCATATCGAACACCTTGACGAAGCACTTATTCGGCCTGGCCGGGCGGACAAAAAAGTGTATTTCAAGCTTGCCGATAGGAAAATTTCCGCTCAACTTTTTCACACAGTCTTCAAGCAGACGCCTGACCACAAGCAAGCCAAGAAACAATTCGGCGGCGAGACAATTGAGAGGCTTGCTAACAACTTTGCTTCCAAGGTGCCAGATGAAGTTTTCAGTCCAGCCGATGTTTTGTCGTTTCTATTGGAGCAGAAAAACTCACCCTTTGATGCTGTTGCTGAAGTTGAAAACTGGGTGGCGAAGGCGAAGACAGCGAGCCCACTGAAGAGAGAGGGTTCTTGGGTAGAAGAAGGGCGCTAAGAACAAGCAAGAGAGGACAAGCGCAACAGAGAGGCAAACGAGCATTTTCCCAAGTATACCATCCCGACGGCATTTGGTTTGTGGACAGGACTTACCTCGCCAATTGGGTGTTGGTTGGAATGCTTGAGGCGTTTCACTATTTTTCATGTCAACGGGCTATTTCCCGGCCCATTAGTTATTTTGCTACCCTGCCAGTTTTGTTTCTTACCCCGTCGATCTTCGACCACCGCTTTTTCCAATCGTTTCCTATAGTTTCACTCCTTATTTTTGAACGCATTTATCAACTGCAACCTTTACAGGTCATCTCAAAACTGGTGTCACCACTTATACTCTTTGTCAGTTTCCTAAATTCCGATTACTAATCTGCACTAGTCCATGTTGGGAGTTTGTCCGGAGTGTTTCTGTATATGGGTCCCGTATCGTTTCATACGGGAATTACCTAATGCCATCGTGGTGTGTATTCACTTGTAATTATAATACGCCTGACACCTCCATACCCCCACCTTGAAACCCTTCTCCCTTGGTTCGGGAGACCTTAACAATCAATCACGAGTGGTCATAGCAGGATGGCTCCAAACCCAGCCCCTTCAAAGCATGAGCTTATCTATGACATGATCCACAGTGGAGAACTATCTGTATCGCAGATGGCACAAGCTGCCGGCTGCAGCAAGCATCCTGAGAATCTCTTCCAATATACGGCTGTTTGGCAGCGTCAAGGCGCCTCCTAACAAAGGCGGACGGCCACGAAGCCTCACTCCATATATGCTAGAAGCTCTATGCGATCACCTGCTCGAAAAGCCCAACCTATATCTTGACGAGATGGGGATTTTTTCCATGGGACGAATTCGATGTCCAAGCAACAAAATCTAGCATCAGCCGCGCTCTTGCATCGAAAGGCTGGTCAAAAAAGACTGCGCGCGTCAAGGCTAGAGAGCGCAATAAAGACCTACGTGATGAGTACTTTCACTTTATCTCAGATTTCCATTCGTATCACCTTGTCTACGTGGATGAATCTGGATGTGATAAAAGAATAGGCTTCAGGCGAACGGGTTGGTCCCCACTAGGAACGACACCAGTTCAAGTGTCCAAATTCCATCGTGATCAACGATATCAGATACTGCCTGCATACGCTCAAGATGGCATTGTTTTCTCTGGAGCGTTCCAAGGTTCGACTGATGCATCCGTCTTTGAGGATTTTATTGAGCAGCTTCTCCAGCATTGTGGGAAATGGCCTGAGCCGAGATCCGTGTTAGTCATGGACAACGCATCCTTTCACCACTCAGAACGGATAGGGCAGATGTGTTCAGACGCTGGTGTGAAGCTGGTATATCTACCTCCGTATTCTCCAGACCTGAATCCCATCGAGGAGTTCTTTGCGGAGTTAAAAGCCTTTATTCGGCGACATTGGCCATCTTACGAAGATAACCCGGATCAAGGATTCGATAACTTTCTCGAGTAGTGTGTTGACGTGGTAGGAGCAAGGGAGGAGAGCGCCCAGGGACACTTCCGGCACGCAGGCCTAACCGTTGAGGTATAGCCTCTCCATTATCATAACTCCTCTATAGTGATTCTTGAAATCAGTTTGTCCAATGCACTCTGATTAACACTTTTACCGCCCCACTTCCGAGGCATTAGTGCAGAATATCTATTGAACAGCCAGCATTATATTGCGGCCCTCTAAAAAAATGCGGATAGTGTGCTAAATCGTCATTTTACATCAAACTACACCGTTAAGATCTGCATGTTAAATAGTGAATCTTGATACGAGAGATAAATTCCGATAAAAAACATTAAGAATCGATGAAAACTAACCCTTCGTATTCACGCGGCTGCTCCTATTTAGTGCGGTCAATTAATGATCTGCGCTAATGACTGGGCAGAGTGTCCCACAGAGAGTTTCTTAGTGTTTATTAGTCAAACCGATCTCGAGCATCGCTGAAGCAATAACTTCTAGACTTCACTCTCATTATTGGGGCTTTCTGTGCATACAGTCACCAGCGAAATCTGTTTCCTCCCTAAAGAGGGCTTCTCTTCTGTCGAGACCCACTGCCAAGGGCCTAGCGCAGATCTTTAGTTGATTGACCGACAATAATTTGAGGGCCCTTGAACAATACACAATGTATGATACTGTATTCTCGCCGTACGATTAGATCCGCGGCTGAATATTAGGCGGTGGAACGTTGATTACAGGGGTATTAGATAAACACATTTTACGGTGGTCCTCAACTTAGGGCCGGCCAAGTCGATAAAAGATCCGTGCAGGCCTTCGCCGCAGTGGGTCTTGACAGAAGAAAAGCTGTGCTTGGGGAGGAAGCAGATTTCGCCAGCGACTATATCATCCGAGGTGCCAAGGAGTTATTTGAAACTATTTTTACCACTCTCACTATTTTCGAATCCTAACATCAAGGTCCACCAAAGACCCAACCCATAAATTCTCGGATGACGTTGAATAGGCAACAATGCTGGACTCAGAGACAATTCTTCGGAACGGAATTATATTAGACCGACTTCGGCTTCCCCCTTAACAGGACTCAGGCGGATGCTGCTTGGCCCAGAAGCCAGTGTTCACTTCGCTTCCTTCAACAAGATGACCGAACACGATCCCAGCGAAAAATACGGGCTTCGCCCGATCACCATCACACGTTGGAAATATTCCGATAAACGTAAACCACTCACAGAAGAACAAAAGAGGCAAAACCGAGAAAACGAACGCAATACTCAACTGCAAGAGGAATACAACGATTTACGGCAAAGTCTTATCAACGTCCTTGATGATAAAATATTTCTTGCCGATAGCCTTGGGCTCATAGCTTCTCAGATCTCACGAAGGGCGTTAGACGTCCCACGCCAGAGTCTTGAGTACGAGGATGTGAACGAAGAGCTCCCTTTGTCAGAAAGGAAGAAAAACATCAGAAGCCGGCTTATCGATGCTAGCTTAACTTTACCGACGGATATGAAAATACTCAGCACTCTCAATCAAGTCCTCTTGAGCCGAAGTTTCTGGCGATTGGATCAACCCGAGCCGAACACTCCAGATATCTTATATCGCGTAATCCAGTCAAACAGCCATAGTCGATATGACGAACGTCTTGGTTTCCGTTCTTCAAGGCAACCATTCACGCTACCTTCTGATCACGGAGGCCCTCTGCACGAAAGCTCATTGGTCGATAAGGACATTCTAAAAAATCACTGCGAGGGGAATCGACCTTCAGACCTCATTGCGATGTCTGATAGCCCAGCGAGAATATTACGTTTTATCAAAGGCTGGGGTTTCAACGACCGAAGAGGAGAAATTATAGCCGTGATTGATGCCTCGAAGCTTCTTGCTATGAGAGTACTGTTCAGTCGCACAACTACTCTGGCTGAGAGATTGGGGGTGGAGTCTTGGGCTCGCTCTCGGAACAAAGGTCTCAAATGGATAAATCCAAATTATTGGGTTGCTTATCGGTGGGTGCCGACTGAGTGTATAGACTGCATCTCGGTCGAATCGCTGGAAAGTGCTTGCAACGAGCATGGAATTGGTAAGTAACACGGGGCCCGAGAATGACATATGCTTATGAACGAAGGAGAATTTGATTTCGATCAGCAGCTTTCAATGGATGATCTACTCCGCAAGAAAATGGAAAACTTAAGTGTTTGAGCTGCACTTTGTGAAGCCGGGATATGTTGCATCCTTCTCACGGTTTTATCGTCTGTGGTAGTACACTACCTCTCACAGATCGCTACTATGGATGTTGAATTATGACAATTGATCATTGTTATAAGGCCGTTTACAAGATTGACCATATTTAGCTAGCCCAGTAGATTGCGATACGACGCATAGAAGCGGGATGAAAGTACGACACATGTACTAGAACCCTTATTCTTTGTTCTGGAGATCTATCGGTGGTGACACTTGTTTCAGGAATATAGTATGAAGAGGTATGTAAGATAACACACAGATAGAGTCTTTAACCACCCGCCAAGGCGAAGGCCAGTAAGATATCCCAAATGTGTCGACCCATCTTCTCTGACATCCAATTCCTCCATGTCACGGAGAACTTTCTCAATATACTCACCGGCGGCGCTCAATTTCATAATAAGTGCGATGGCACGATGGACCTCGAGAAGCCGGGCGGAAGGAGGGTCAATTGTACGATTGGGACTCAGGGTCAGCGTGCGGGTGACAGGAAATAAAGGGTCACTTAAGAAAGGACTCTGCTCTGTCGAGTCAACCCTATATTGGTGTGGTGTTCCAGTGCGTTCGAAATATATCTGAAATTCGCCGAATAATCGGTGGTAGTCCAGCGTCAAGGTGAGGGCGTTTATGGGGCTGTCGATCTTTGGACCATCGATAAGATGGCCGATACCAGGGTCGAATATATCTAAGATTCGGAGAATTTTTTTTTGAATCACTCTGGGCGCCACATTAGTGGTGGCGAAGTCGTACGTTGCAGATTGGACCTACCAAATCCAAGTCTCCGGATGCCACTGTAGTCAGACAGTGCGGTAGAATGTGGGCAACCTCCAGGTACTGAAATTGGTCACTTGATTCGTTCTTCAGCAGGTTCCCGTCATCGTCTGCACAGTGTTCTTTATCCTGAGTGAACCGTTTTCTGGCTTCAGCTCTGTCGAATTTCCGGGACACTACACAGCGGTGGCGATCGCGTACAAGGCAGCTCTGTCATAAAACTGATACACGCTGTCTTGTCCCGGTCGGGGTTGAGCTCTGCAACGACGATAACGATGTGGGTGTTGGTTGTGGTGTCTTGACAGATGAGGCCCTGACTGCAATTGATAATCAACATATGCTCATTATAGTTACCGTCATACAACCGAGGAAGCAACACACGGGGTAGTAGAAAATTTTCAACGATATACTCAGCGAAGTTTTCCAGAGCTTCGTGGACGTTGTTTATTTGTTCAGGTTCCCATGAAGAGAAACCGTCGAAGTATGATAAGGTGTGAGTAATGTCGGAAGGTCCTTTTTCCAAACAATGGTCCTCGTAGATGTATGAAAGGAAGAAAGTCAAAAAAGTATCTGGAGACGCAACGTGTTCGAGGGTAGCCTGGATAAGTGTCGCAGGCTAATAGCCCTTCCGAACGGTTTTTTCGAGGCCATACTGACGTACAAGCCCGATCACAAGGTTCCTGGCCGACTCGTGCTGTTGTGATGTTAATGACAAGGGTATTGAGAAATCCAGAACTCCCTCTAGAGAGGACTGGTGACGGTGCGTTGCCATCGTAGTAGTTTCTTGGAGTCTTGACTCGAGAAGACCGCGAGGAAGGATGACTGAGGCACGTGATAAGATGACTCATACCAAGATCAAATTCGGGCCGACACAAGCTCCGTGTGTTTAGAATATGAAAACTGGAGCTTATTTAATTTAGTGGGTTGTCCGCAAAGCCATCCGTACAAATGTAACATGGATGTAGGTGTATCAGGTGGTAAACCGATGGTATGAAAGTACACACCGAAACCATGCGGAGAGATAAACGTAGTATGTAGTATGCCGGTGTGGGCTGTCCTCTATTCAGCAACATATCTAGACTAAATTACTATTATTTTTCATTGCAAGTGACGTCTCCGCATCGTTTCACCCAAAGGCCGATGTCGCGTACGAACCGCCGGGCTGCACCTACTTTCACGCCATGCTTGACAAAAAAACCTGGGTCTTGATCTTCATAAATCTGCATGAGATCAAGACAATTTTCGAGAGTCACGTCGCGTGCTTTGGTGAGATTATCCCTGAAAGTCTCGTTGCTCACCCGTGACTGTTGCCATTCGATATATTTCTCGACAGCGACGTCAAGCAAACCATGAACCATGATTGATTCAGCGCAGCCTGGCTTAGCAGACGTGGTGTCATTAGCAGGGGTAGGCATCAATTGTTCAGATGTTCCAGCTGGGAGGACATTGATATTGATCGGAGGACACATCGACGCGACTGTAGAACTATCCGTGGTTTTCTTCCGCTTTTCAAGTCGTTGGTTGTCCTCAGCATACAGCTGCTCGCGAAGGCTATCTGGTATATCATCATGGGTCTCGAGGACTCCTCCTTGCTCCACGTATTTAACAAGGTCCTTCAGATGGTGTGTCTTCAATCTATAGTGTCTTTTGCCCTCTGGATCTTGCCAGCAATATTGTCCTTCGTGGTGACATGGAGGCCCAGGGCATCGCATAACACGATACACCTCGCGCCAGACGGAATGTTGGCCGGAGACCTGCTCGGCGTCAATCTGAGCGTCTCGGTCAGCAAGCATCCGCTTGGTAACCGATGATTTTCCTCTCTTATCAGTTCTAGAAGGAAGAGGCCCACTATCATCCATGTAGTTAATCGATATCTGGAGTCTAGGCTTCTTGCCACGACGATACAGATGGCCCACGCTAGCAGCTGCTTTTCCACCGCTGTCCAATCAATACGAGTGCCTTCGAAGCGTTTCGTAAGATCACGTTGGGAACGGTCATTTACAGATAACACCAGGGAGGTATCATCTAGTCTGACTCGTCGGCTGCGGGCTATCTTTCGTCGTAGAATACTTCCAGCGTCTTCCTTGATCTGTTCCCAATAAGAACTGGGCGGGAGAGTCAGGCCTTGTTCCGTATCCTTCACCACAACTCGATTGTTCAATTTAGCCCTCCACTCGATCTGGTAGTGAATACAGTCTGGAGAGTGTTCATCCCACGCACTTCCATCTTCATGTTCAACCGCTGCATGAAAACTCGGTTGGTCGGGCGGATGTTGGTGCAAGGAGGTTGAACGTTCACCAACTATGTTCTCGGCATCGGGTGAAGGGCAGATTACTGATGGCGTCCATTCGCGGTCCAAGTAACCAGGGGTGGGGGCATACGAGGGGGTCCGTTCCCAGAGATCAGGAAGTTCAGGTCGGTAGGCATCATCATTATTGAAAGGAGTGTAAGTCATCCCCCAAAGGCAGAAGATGCCACTGAGGAGTCTAGCAACATCATTGTGTGTTAGCTTCTACCAAGGGGGTGTCACAGAACGCAAAGTAAAGAGAACTGCGGCTGACAGGCTGAGAATGCTGATAAGCAGGTTCATGAGTACTCTGCGTGTAAGCAAGGTTATGTAAGTCACTATTGGCAATGTCTGGTAACGAGTAAGCCCCCTAGACTGTCACTTCAATATTGGAGTGGTAGAGGCAAGTGACACCTGGCCAGGTTCTCGAGGCACTCTCAGTCTCTAGCGTTTGACTTGTTTGCATCACCATGGAACATTCAAGCTGCCTTGAATTGAGAACGAAGTTACGATACATAGCCATGTATTATAATCAACGTAACTGCTTGTATTGATACTGATACAGGAATATTATTATTCCCAGGCTATACCTAATATAGACTAGGGAGGCTTGGCGTTGAGGTTCGAGAAACAATCAAAGAGTGTAGGTGGTGACACCAATTTCGGGACGACCTGTATGTAGGCGATGGCTTGGAGCTCTATCTGGCTAATGCTCACCGAGTATAAAAGCAAGCCATGGCTGACCTCGTTTACTGCCACCCGTGGTTTTTGTTGGCTGTACTTAGTGCCTGAGGCGTAAACTGTTATCGAATTATTCTGTGAAACCACAGGGTGTCCCGGCACCGCATTTATAGGAAAAGATGTCCAGAGTTCGTTTATTAAATCCTACAGTATGCAGTAGTATCAGACATACGGTGGTTCCAGACCATGAGCCAATCATTGGGTAAACAAAAAGGTGTTACAAGCTTATTCACACCTGTGCGACTGCAGCGCAGCTTTAACCTCATCAGATCCAGATAGAATTGACCTACAAGAACCTTACAATATGAACATGATTTCCTCTCTATGTTCTCTAATAATAAAAACCGGCATATAATTAGAGTATTTACAGGTGAGCAATATTTAATCTGTTTCCTCACAATTTGTAGACTTCACTGCCTTCTCCAGGTCCTGGTCCGTCATAATCTTTGGGGTTGGGTAGTGTGAACCCTATGAAGTTAGTCTTATGCCGCAGAGCTGAGATTACGCGACATTACCAATTGGGAAGTAAGGAATGTCCAAAACCCAGAAGAGTCAGAGCATAGGATATGTACTTGGCCCGTTTCCCGGAGGCGAATACCCACGCATACATCCACGCCACACATCTTACTATATTCGTATGCCCTTTTCATCAGGTTTGTCTTACGACGGCATTGTTTTTGGCGTATCAATTTTCTCTTTGCGGTGTAATTGGAGTCGATGGAGTTTCTAGCAGCCATTGCGAGTAGCTACTTTAAGGAATTGTTATGAATGAATGTACAGTAGCCTTAGGCAAAATGCATAGAAAATGAACGCAATTATAAGATATGCCCGTTGAAAGAGCTAAATAAATACAAATGCAAGAAATACGCGAAGGAGAAGTTTCAGTTTCTGGACAGACAGAAGACGATAATTCTCTTTCGCAATAGAAGGGAAGCCGTGGTGTTCGCATGTTGTGGCCAATGACTCGCCCACGAACCCCACTTCAGGCCATTTTTGGATTAACGGGGCTTCCAGAGGGGTTGACATCGCTGATTCGTATAACGTAATCCACAAGCGAGCTGATCACCCCAAATTAGTAAATATGATTGTCTATCTCAACAACAAAGATTTGGTTCTTTTTGATATTAATGATAGAGATATATTAACCGCCTTATGTGCAACAGAACTATTATTATAGTGCTAATATAGAAAGAGCTTCAAAAAAGAGTTCTGCAAATCCAATATTTTATCATATCTGTTCTATTCCCCTTGAATTTTTAGTGAACAAGAATGTCCAAGACAGGAAGGAAATACGATATATTTGAGAAGACCTATATATCGATCAAATCCTATACCAGTTGGCTTGTACATACACGATTCTTCAAGTATATACCCCACCCTAGTTTGTACTCGTTAGGACACAATCGTCTTTAACCAAGACTCAAGTCGGAACCAACTCACCGATAAAAGATCTTCATTGTCTTCTCCCATCGCGTCGTGGGCCATATTCCAGACTATGATCGAGGATATGAATTATTGATCTAGCTTTTGTTAGCCTACTAAGCTAGGTAGCATATTTAGTTAGACATTACCAATGATTCCCAGAGACGATAGAACGTAGCACGGTATCAACAATTCGTTCATCGTACTGGAATTCAGAAATATACTGTTGAATGCCTTCTGGGTTCCAGCCACCACGTTGGGCGCCTCGGAGAGTAGGTCTTTGATCCTGAACGAGTTTTAACCTCCCACAAACTGCTGCAGGTGTACGTGTGCATTCTGGTGGTTGTACGGAGACTTGCAGGTAAGACCCCAGGAAAATCCCTCGTATCATCGCTTGATGACGGGTCAAGATACTTGCGATTTGATAGTCCCGGTACCCTCTCATAGCAAGATGGAGGGCAATAATTGTCTCTTCAATCGTCCACCAATTCCCAGCCATGGTTGTTCTGGCATGTTACTGGGGAAATCTCACTCAGGAGCCTCTTCCTATTAAATAAAAATTCGCTCGTCCCATTATCGCAGGCTTGCTGTGGCACTTCGAACTCTGGTAGCGCCGCGAGCTGCGTCGTAACTACGCCAGCTGCACTGTAGCTGCGCCATCTGCCGTAGATCCCAATTATAGATAAAAGGAGAACCTGTTGGACCCGATATGGCGTAAATCAAGCAATCTCTTTAAGCAAACTGATTTGACTTTGTAAATGAAGTATGTCCCGAAGACCGAACAAAGGAGACCCATGCCACTGTTGAGGTCGGGCTCGGTGGGGAGATCGTGAGCGCGTACGAGTGCAGCCCACGAAAGGCTCGACCATATATTCGCGCAGGTGCGGCATGATCAGTGGATTGAGAAGCAACAGCTTATGAACTAAAACATGAAGACCACGACAAAGCCCCTCTCCGCCTGTCCGGAAGTATACCTAATCCAGGAGCCAGACCGCAGGACTATCCTCACCCTCGACTCAACCTGGGCAATGCTCACAATACATGGGAGAGGTAAGGCATTATGAAGAGTGAGAAGCGCACTGCTAAGAGCAACCCACCCAAGACCACGAGGTAACTCATGTCCAGATTTGCGCCTCTTATTAGGACCAGCATTGTAAGAAGTCCTAGGGCATAGTGCTTCATTGGCTTACAATAGCGGTGACAAATATGGACCCCGTATTCATGCACATAAATCACACAAGCAGCGATCGCAAGCTATGTGATGGTCAATGACCATGATTTCCATGAAATTTCTCACTACTGGAGAGTGACTGTGCCACCTGAAGAAGGCGTCTAATGATTAGCTGACAACGTAAGCAGCTGGAAGGCGGCTTGAGCTCTGTGAGGGGTGACTGTGCCGCTACGAATCGGAATGCCGGGCGGGTAGTGGGGCGAAGAAATCGCAATCGCCTGATGTCGACACTTGGTTATCCCAATTGGTGTGTGTCTCTTGCGCACGGTGCTACAAATTCGGTTAATACTTTATTTTTACTTATTCCTTATATTGAATGCTATGGAGACAGTAGACTCATAAAGTGTATGACCGATCCAGAGCCGGTGCTATACTTCAGTATTTCTATTCGAGCTCAGAAAACCCGTTGTCATGTCAAAGCTTGCACGGTTTAAAGTGCATTGTCATTGATCGTGTCGCAGGATGTGAGCCACTTAAATAAGCCATACATTCAACCATATTTTGTCTAGTTTAGCTCGTAGGTTTCATGCCACGACTTCCTTCCAAATCCGAAGAAACAGAAATACTCAGAAATGTTTTCACTTGGCGATGCTATGATTTCCTCTGATACAAGGGCATGCTATGTGTTTAAAAACTACATACCTGAGGTGTCATTTCAACGCGTCCGTCTTCTCTAGTGAACAGATATAATCGTGGTCTTTTCACTGCAGCAGCTACCTGCCGTGCAAAAAATGTATTCGCCAACACATCAGGACCCTTCAAGCTCGGTTAAGTTAGTAATTCTTGACCTATTGCTAGTATCCGTGTTTCCTCTCCTAGTGAATTGGTTATTCGATAAAAGACAGATGTCGAAAGCGGCAGAGCTCCTGAGAAATCCTGCTCGTAGAAACAGATCTTTCTTAGATTACACCTGTAATTACAACGATGCGAATAATGGCATAGATGTGTCGAATATGGCGCACAAAATGCAGTATTAGTTTGCCACTGCTCACCACCGAATCCACGAGCAAAGTCGTATTGCAATTGAAAATGTGCTTGGGTTGAATATCACTTGGATTTGTCGCGTGAAGCAGCATGGCAAGGGGCATGGCATCATTAACGCGAAGAGCCATCGGTTCACCACTACGCATCAGGGGTAGGATCAAAATTTCCTTTTCATGAGAGATCCGGTAACCATCCGTCCGATGACCTTGGACATGATCAATTGGGCATGTCTCAACCCCCAGAATATAAGGGCATAACTATGTTGCAAGATACCATCCAACTCGGCGATGAGCATCTCGTAGTGCGGGGCCAGAAATAGTCGCGTCACGCATTGGCATCATTAGCAATTTGGCTGCATAGTGGTCGGTGGTATGGGCAACATGAAGGTTTTTACGTCGGACAAAAATGGAATCGAACAAGAACCGATCAGCCAAGTAGATCAAAAGTAGCCGAGATACGTCAAGGCGAGGGGTTACATGGGAGGGAAGAACAACCTGACATGGCCGGACCCCGTCTGTTCCGATACTTTTTGCCAGAGCGTCGTCCATGCTGATAATTCTTGTTGACTCTTCGCCCGTGACGACAACAGCTTCGTTTGCAGCCTTCGGCATACCCAGATCCAATGGACTATCCCTAAATGCCCAAACATAACAGTTGCAACGGTCGCGCAGACCTATTCCTAATGTGGCTTTCAGATATGGAGTCATAATAAGGCCAACTGACAGCCGTCCCCCGCTAAGCACTTTGACCTTTTCCCAGACCCCACGTAGCCCATCGGTAAGCACAAGGGCGCGAACATGTATCTAACCTGTTATTAAACGCAAGAGATGCATGCAATAACTCGGGATGCATTTCGATCATGGATGCTACCTTTTCGCAACATATCTCATATGCCTTGGCGTCATGGATTGCTTCTTCGTAAAAAATGGTGGCTTGGCGAAAAGCAGTTTATGAATATTGCAAAGGACTGCTGAACAACTTTTTCAATGGGGAACTTTCGCCTTTCCCAACAGACGGTGGGGGCACCTGTTTCCAGAACAATTCACCACTGTCTTGCGATGCTAATGTTTTGTAGGCGTCAAAGACCAACACGGTCTCTGGCGCCTCAGAACCAGCAGTTATAATCTTGTCCATCTGCTGCTCGGCCAATTTGGTATTCCGGTCTTCCGTATGACGATGGAAGTCTAGAAGAAGATGGATGATGTCGCCCAATACATCCTGGGAAGGAGAAATCGTGCTGAAAATTATATCGTGGGATCGGCAAAGACGACGTAGTTGAGTCTTCTCGGTGTGTTGCCATGTTTCCAGGTGGGCGATGGATACGACCGGGCGGGTTTTTCTCTGATCATTCATCCGATATTCCCCAATTATTTCGGGTGGAATATTCAAATACAGAATATGTGTGTAGGCTTTTAGATCAGCTGGTGTGCAGATCCATTCACCATTTGCGTCATCCATAGCCCAGAGCATAGCGTGCCCGGCAACAATGGCAGTCTTCCGACAGGGAGAGCTTTCCTACTCGATCTTGCCGATGACACGTTCGCGAAGATAGGTCTTCTATTTGTCATCCAATTTCTGAAATGCTTCAAGTCCCCTAGGCGCCACGTCTGCAATGACTTGGCTGCCATCGTAAAATGTGAATTCATCACGACTGAGGCTTTGCTCCAGAACAGCCGCTAGAACTAGCGGTGTATAACAAAGGTGGGATGAGAAATAGACTGATAGAAAAAAACAAAAAAGGTCATATAGGTATCAAAAGGTGAAAAAAAAAAAGCGAGACGAATTGAAAAAAAAAATCAAAATCAATAAGTAGATAGGGCGAATTAGCAGTAATAGATCGTCGTGGGCTCGGGTTCAAGGCCAGCAATTGTGCCACAAGAAATATTTTCTTCACTCCGCAGGACGTATATCGCGGGCTAAGGAAAATGGGCCAGACTCGTCGGAGAAAGCGGCTTACTCGCTGCAATGTCTTTTGAGCGATTTTGTGACGGCGAGCCACTTCAGCGACTGTCCGATCCTTGCTTGGGTTGACCACTTCACATACGGAGCTTCAGTGAGGCGAATTGCAGATCAATGCAGTCGTTTTGAAAAAGCACCATCGCGAAGTGTACTGTGCCAGCATGTATAAATAAACGGGAGCGACATCGAGGCCAGAGAGAAGAACTAATGGCCGAAACACAAAACCATCGCGCTGGGCCCGTATGACTGAGAAGAGAACATCAGAAGTCTCGCTTAGTTTGGCCTAATTTGTGCAAGTCGGCGTTCCTGAAGCTCTTCGCGAAGTCGTTCTTGGTGCCAGGATAGTTGTGATTGTCGTGGAAGATCCAGCATGTTTAGCCACAGGTGCAACGTTGTTTAACCTATTAAATGCATAGGAGAATCGGCAGAAGGGCAGATATTGGTTGGTAAGAAAAGTATTAAAGAATGGTTGACCCGATATCAGCAACAGGGCCCCATGTGATGCAAGTTGTTATCATCGGATAGGGAATATCTTTTCTCCTACTTAGGTGCCGCCTCCCACGTCTACGAAGATGGCCTCTTCTTGTATTGATGACGACGCCCGCCTTGCATGCTTGTATCAATGTTCGGACTCTTAGCTAGTACAATTCAGCATCATATCGATCAAGCCAAATATATCCCCTCTGTGTCATCTAAATACAATAGCCAAAATTGCTAATAATAAATTTGAAATTGCTACCCGTATTGAGTCCGACCATAGTGGACGCTTATTCGATAAAACGTAGTCAACTTTGAGAATCTCGAACTACGTATAGAATTCGGTATCTCGTGGTTAGTGTCTACTTCAACTCCTCGGATCAAGTAACCTAAGTGTTTTACTCTTACAATAGCTATCATCAATAAACGATTAATGCGGTTTGTGCTACTGGTAAAAAGCTATTTCGATGGGTAGACTTCCAAACATTAGTATACAAGCCATCAGTAGGTAGACAACAACCATAAAACGAGACTTGAACAAACACTTCAAGAACATTATTTGCTTCAGAAACCACATCTGTATATACCTAATGGTAGTAGGCGTGTGGTCCGACTTCGGGGCATCAATTAATATTCGTAAAGCAGCCATCCCACGAAACCTAGGTAATATATCGCCAGAGCCCAGAGCTTAGATAACGGGGTACTGATTACTGCATTTCTTGAAGCTCGTTCCACCAAAGGCGTCGTAGGCACTACAGTATTAATCTCTTTGATCACACCACTAAATTAGTCTGGTCCATTTCAAACGCACAACATTAATGATGGCGTGGCCTAGCCTATTATGTTATTGTCTTGCGTTTAACTCAAGCAGTCTTCGCTCTTCGTAGTCAGCATGGTCAGCAAGAGTATAGTAAACGCACATATAGCAATCCATCCCACTTCTAGGGCCCCACAACGTCCCCTGTACAAAAATTCTATTGTTGGTCATGTGATATCAAGTGTGCGCAGAATATAAACTTCGGTCCTCTTTTCGGCCAATGACCCGAAGGCTGAGCTCTTTCACCCCAATTTAGCCTGCCCTGTGCCTTTCACTTCCCCGGGCTACTATGGATCGTTTACCAAATGAGATGCGCCTCCTCATTGCGACAAATTTGAACCAACAAAGTCTCATGGCGCTTAGTCGTACAAGCAAGAGTAATCATGACCTGCTCCGGTCCAAGCTTGAAGGATACAAGCTCATGAAAGCCTTGCTTGATGGGAAAGATGGCCTGTCCCTGTCCCTAACGCGCCAGCCCTTTATTGATCTTTCTGTCCGACATAAAGATCTTTCACTTCTTCACGTCGCAGTAGCCCAAGGGAACCAGAATATCGCCGAATGGCTTATCTCAAAGTACCCTCCCTTTCTTGGTGCCCAAGATGATACTGGGATAACTGCCCTTATGTCAGCTGTTTGCTGGGGAGAAATGGACATAGTTAAATCCCTTGTCGATAAGGGCACTTGTGTCAATATCCGGAATCATCACGGCCGAACTGCTCTCCATTTTGCAGCGGAAGACGGCAATGACCCTATGGTCAAGTTTCTTCTGAAGAAAGGGACAAACCCCTTCCTAGCCGATAAAGATGGATGGTCTGCCCTTCTTCTCGCAGTCCGGGAAGACCATATCTCAGTTGTTGCGCAGTTGGTTAGGCCAGGTTCAGGAATCAAGGAAGCAAACATCTCCGGAGAAAATGCCTTACATCTTGGCGTAAGCAACGGGAATATGGACATAGTGCGGTTGCTGCTGAGAAATGGCGCCGAGTCTCAGGCCGACAAGGATGGCAACACACCTCTCCACCGGGCGGCTCGACAGAATAATCGTGATATTATACGACTACTAGTCCTCAGTGGAGCTGATCTCACGGTTGAAAATTCCCAAAAAGAGACTCCCTTGCAATTGATATCTCAGTACCATCAAGATCATATGGAAGATTTGTTGGGAAGTATATCAAGTTGAGAATGATAGAAACTTAGTTTGATCAATGAACACCCACAGTCGAGGTCGAAGACATTAGCTTTCTTTCCCAGTATCCCTTTTAAACCACGCCGAACTTGATACCTGGTTAGGTCCACGTAGAGGGCAGGGTCTTGTCAGATATCGAGGGTATTCAGAAGCAAGGAATTCCACCGATTCGTGAAGTAACTCACCAATTCATTGTCCCCGAGTTAATACTGAGACTACAGGCAAAATAAATAAACTATGTGAGAAACTCGAGGATAGAACAAGTCGCAGGAGCTGGGATGTGCTCGATTAGACAAATTCAAAAAGCGGATGAGAGAAGAAGAGGAACTATGCTATCGGCAGCGAGCTGAGACCCTTAAAGATAGAATATTTTACCCAAATATTAAGGGAAAACCATTGTTTATCATTTTCTTGCAATAGTTCGCCCTTCTAGTAGCCAGTTGTGCTTGCCTACAAGACATACGGCAGAACCCGAGGCTACTATCACCGCGTATGACTGATGCTGTCAAAGAGAAACCCACCAGTATGCACAGCTCGATTTCCCTCTATTTGCGCATGATGGTATTAGGGAATTATGTATCAAGTACCATTTTTGGAAGCACAAATATTAGACAACCTGTCATCAAATAAGTATTCAATGTTTTTGGTTTCCGCAATCAACTCTCAGGATTATCAGCGAAGCTCCAGTACCTTGTCACGTAATGCTTGTGTCAAACGAATCGCGACTTTATGTCCCAGCTTTTTCTTAAAATAGCCTTATTCGGATGTCTATCTAACAGTTTCCTTTTGTGTCACTGGGATTTATTCCACCCCTTGACTTAATATGGGTCGTTGCCTTGTTCATTTAATAATGACGTATGGCTGTAATTAACATTCTTCATGAAGAACTATCCTCTGGGGTACTTGGTAGCAGACGCGCTTTCCCGAAACTTTGTTTTGGTTAGAGTAAGCGTGCAAGATAAAATCGCTGGTACCACTACTACAACGGGTAGCGCAAGGAGACAGTCTTTCTTCCTACCTGAGAGGAACCGAATTAAACAAGAGTATTGATTAAGGTTGCGGTGATTCTCAACGACACGAATGAAGAACCTCGCTGGAAGAACGGCCGACCTGGATCTCGCGCCCCATCAACATTCTTTTATGGCAAAGTTCGAATGAGACTGCAAGGGCTATCAAATTCTTGTACTGTAATACACAAAAACCACTATGAGTAGAAACTTGGTGGACGAATGTAGGAGAGGTACTAAGCCAGTATGAGCACAGACCCCACTTCGCCTACCCTGGAGTTGCCCAACACACACCCCTTTTGGTTGGTATTTTTGGTAACTCGTAGCCGTCCCTCAAGTCGGACCCACAGCATTTTTAGTTCATATCTTTTGACACCCGCCCCACACCCCCTATATTATACAATATTCTGCCTGTCAAAAAAAATAATGAATTTGCCTAATAAGGTGTATACCAACCCTGTATAGCTTCATCACGATGTGGCATACCCTCTGAGAGATGCTCCAAATGCTTTAATTCCAACTGCTGCTATGCCTCTTGTGCTGTTTCTATCAAAATAGCCTTGGTTTCGTCGTGATTCCGCATATACATTAAATCAGGGCGAACCTTATAATATTGGCTTTAACAATGCCCAGAGGTTTTCAATTGGATTGAGATCTGGCGAATGAGACGGCCAATCCATAACCTCGATTCGCATCTCTTCGAGAGCCTCGCGCACAATATATGCAGTGTGGGTTGGGGCATCATCATGCTGAAAAATGCCATCTTCGTTCGATAACAAAAACGGCGATATAGATCCTCAATAATGAACCGAGTAACACATCCACGCTCTGTAATCCCCAAACTAATGGCATTAAGTCAGTACATCGGAAAGAAAAAGAAGCCCAAAACATCTGCTTCACTTGTTTCCCACGATGTGGCAACCCTTGACATTGTCCTTCTTTTGGCTGTTCTTTTGACCAATTTAAAGTCCATTCTCTTTGGGCACCAATCCCACGCTGGTCTTGCACGCTGGACTTTCTTAATTACCCCAATCGCACGACCTTCCAGAATCCATGAGATGTCTGACCTCAACCAACCGAATCAATCATTGTCTCAGGATGCATTCACCCCATCGGTGACGACTGGAGTGTGGCAATTGCTGAGAGTGCCTACTATCGCAGAGGCGACTGTTTCAGCAAACGAACTTTACGGCCCAGCGAATACATAACCACGCAGAAAGGGAGCAACCCACATCCCACGACTCAATAGAGAAAGGCTCGAGAATGAAGCTGAGAGCCTACGGTTCATCTGTCGCGTCAGCAATAACCCAGTTCCAATTGTGTATGGCGCATTCGAACTCGACGGCGCTTATTTCGTGGTCACTGAATACATCGAGGGCTCTTCTATGTCTGAGCTCGAGGACGATTAGAAGGGAGTTGTGCGGCGCGAACTCGCCCAACACCTAGATGCCCTTCGCGAGATCAAATCAAACAAAACTGGCGGACACTCCGGAATAGTAGTTCCTCTTAGCCGCGTGGTTGAATGTACTAAAAATGAAGTCTGGTTTCAGCATACTGCTGATAGCCAGACGTATGTCTTCTGCCCCAATGATTTGTCTCAGCCTAATGTCATTTTGCACTCGCCCACATTAAAGATCAGGGCTATCTTAGATTGGGAGTATGCGGGATTCTTCCCGCAATTCCTTTTCTTTGAGGCCCCTTTTTTTACAAGTGACTTGGATATTTCTCTGCAATAGCCGATGGAGTTGATGACGTCCCGAGATTACTGCGATTTCCGGAGACGACTGAGCAGTGAAAAACATCAACTTGCCTGAATCCTTGTCCTATACCCAAATAGCATGGAAGCCCTACAATCACGTGTTGGAATTTTGGAAAAATGTATCAGGTACCAAAGGAATCTTTCTTGCTGGAATTACTTTTCCATGTCAGGTTGCCGCCGAATTAAAGATATGTTTTACTGAAAAGTATTCTACTAGCCTGGAGTCTCCAGGGAACTTCAAGTACGCTATTTAGCAGATCAGGTTGTTTTCTACGTTTTCGACTCTATTGCACTTTGGCTTGTTAGCCTTTTAGGTACGGAAGAATGAATCCAATAGGAAATGAGCGAATCATGATCAATAAATGGGTTCGCTATATGGACACACAAGCTGAACTAGGCAAGCATTCCGGAAAAATCCGTTGAACCAAGGAGGTGTATGTAAATTTGAATGAGATTTATCCTTCATCTGGCGCGAATTTTTAAATTTCAGTGGCCCTGACATGAGCCCTCAGCAATCTTAAGGCTATATAGAAGAAAGATTGGAGGTTGCATGGCATAAAGACTCAAAAGGAGACCTATTTGGTTGGTGAAGTTGGTAAGGTGACAGTAGGGCTATGCGGGCGCTTGTCGCAAAATGGACACCGCGTCTGTGTAGTAGAGACATTGTGCCAGTAATGCTGGCATATAATGATCTGAGCAGGCATCCCAAAGGCAACATCGACAGCCCTGTTTATTAGTTCTTTTCGTCGGTCTTCCAACGCACTTTCTCACCAATTCTTCAATGATTGGAAATATATACCGAAAGGCAGAAGGGTTCGTGATGTGGAATGATTAGGGAAAGGAGAGGCTTATATATTAATGGCTCATATACAGAATTTTTTTGGAAAATCATTTTTGCATTGAAATCCAATTGGGAAAATGGGCCCGCTTTAGAAGAACCTCGATGACGAAGAAGCAATATCGCTTTTGCTGGGAGATGCCACCACAGAACAAGTCCCAAAATGATATACACTAGACAGGTGTATGCAGATAACGTTCCATAAAGTCTTTTTCTGCGCCCTCACGGTGAAGAAGATATCTGCACCAATCGATTGCTTGGTGGGGCGAGGTTTTGCTTCTGGCGCTATCGTTACAACCCCTACAGTCGCCAACGTGCATCTGGGTGTACTGACCGTCTGCCCTGGGGTATGCTCTCCATTGTGTCTTGTCTATTCTGATTCAATCAATTAAGAGATCTCATCCGGAGGCTCAGGCAAAACCCGAGGTGGCATCCGGAACGGCCATGGTGAGCTCGACATCCAGCTTGATAATTTATGCGACAGGAGCGAATTGGATATAGCTAGCGATGCCACCAAGAATATATAGTCTCAGTCAAAGAGAAACGAAAAAGAAAACCAAGGAGGCTCTGGGGACGATTCTCGCACCATAAACCAAGAAGCAACACGTCCATACACGTGGATATGACGACGATGCCCGCATTGAAGTTGTACAGACGCCAGTACTTAGTCAGTCCACCGCTGATGAGTCGAGAGCCCATTTACGTATTCGAGCCTGGCGCTGGGAGGTCATGATCAAAGCGACCCGGTTGGCAATAATTTGTCGAATGGACTATAGTAACACTGGTATCACCTCTTCGTTAGTCCTGGCAAACGTGGGTAGTGGAAAGTGGGCGATAGCAGTGCCGAACAAGAACCCGAGACAATAAACACACACGTAGTTGATATCTCAATATTAAAGAAGAGATTGCAATATTAAAAGAAAAGGAAAAATAGGGGAGGGGGACCCACCTATTTGGGATCTCATTACTAAGGTAGAGAAATGTGATGATAGAAAATGTCAAATTGACGATCAACTCTGTCCAGATAATGTATAGATAGGGACTCACGAGTCTGTGAGATCGTTTTCGAAATACTACGAATCTGATATAGCACCTTCTTCGAGGCCCCCACAAAGTGGCCAAGGAAGAGGGCAAAAAAGGTCGCGAGATCGATCTTCATGATAAGCGCTGCTGCGGTGCAGTTTCGAGGGATCCCATCGATATAGGTTTGTGGATTATTTATTTCCAAATCTACCCAGCTAGATTTAACTTTGTAATCAAGCGTGGGCTTTGCAATAAAAGGGGGATTTAATAGCGAAACACACCAAGGATGAAGGATGACCGAAAAAAGTCCTTTGCTTTCTCCATGGTCCACCAGGAGCGGCATCTGTGGAGAATACCGTAGACCATCATGCTGTGGCTGCCATGGTAGGATTAGCAATTGCGGCTTCTTCCATACCGAGTCAAGTGTCGCATAGTCGCTTGGTTGGCACTGTGGGCATCGCTAATGCGACGATGAGCTTGGCGGTTTGGGGCTGCGTTTTCTGCTTTCTTTGCCTCGTCATTAACCAACCAAGAAGGGTGATCGACGCGATGACCGGCAGCTGCTTGACATTGTCTGCTCAGAAGAGGCGGGCCTGCTCTATCTTTAACGGGTCGAAGGTAGGAGTGGCTGCGTGTACGAGAACCGCCTGGCTTGGTCCTCTCAATCTGGTATTTTCGCCGAAGGCGTGGCGCCAGCACCTCGAAGAGAAGGAGTTTCGTGCGGTTTTGACGAGGCGTTTGATATGCTCCAGCCGTTCAACTTGGACGACGATGTCGCCGCTTGGCAGGATTGGCCGGTCGAAGCTGCAATATCTTGGCCAGCTTTCGACTGTAGGGCTTGGTTGACTTGCTGTGTGCTGAAGCTAATTGACAGCGATTTCATCGGTCGTATGATCTTGCGAATTTGTGGTGATTCGATGGTGATCGGGAGAAGAGAATCGTATAGTCCGAGATAATAGTTGCCCTCAGAGCCAGACGCGCAGTTCTCCGACACGTGGAGTAGCGCGTCTCCGGTCGTATTTCACTTCAAAATTAGATTCGCAATTCCACAACCACACGGATTATAAGTAGAAATTATAGAGAATCGAGCTGTTTCGTAGGCCTTGATTATATGATTCTGGTGGAACTTGTGGATCCTGGCATCGTTGGCATATATTTTAAAATTGGAAGTGAAGAACGAGACCATTGATGAAAATTGGGCCATCGATAGGTGACACTCTCGGTTTGGTGCTGACACCCGTAGAGTGTCTACCTTACTATAGTATATCTACAGATATCCGATATCTCGCTATGCTAGGCTTTGATCCAAGTATCATTTCAAAGTATCGAACATCCACATTGCCAGTTTCGACGACTTGATCCTCATATTATCTACAGGGAGTTTTTTTTTTTCCTAGACAGAAAAGATACAGGACGGGCAACGAGCACCGTGGCCAACAGTAGTTGTTACTCAGGTACACATCCTGCCCACCAAGCTAGCATTGAACATCGTCAAATCGCAACCCCAGAGCGGCAATCTAGGCGCAGACCGGAGGGTCGCTGCGCCCAAGCGTTTGGCTTTCTTTTGGTGCCTCACTCTTGGCCGCTGTCGCCCAGCTCTTGTTTCTCCGAGCTCGATGTTTGGCCTGGCATTGCATGGCTGGACTGGAGCTCTTGACGAGTGGCTTGCCGCTGAACAATCTGCCCTTCGACCTCGGAGTCTTTGGTCAACAGCCGGACCTGATAGACACGACGATTCATCTGACCAATTCGGCGAATCCGTCCAAATGCTTGCTCCTCGGTGGACTTGAGGAGGCTAGGCTCGAGGAGGACGGCATGGAAGGCGCGAACACAGGTAAAACCCAGGCCAAGTACACGGGTTGTGCTGACCAAAACACCAGGGCTTGTCACCCGATCGAACTGCCCGCGAGCGTTTTCCACGAACCGCTCGGACCCGGTGTTCATCTCATTAAACGCATCAATGTATCGCTGATTCCTCTGGGGCTGGCCCGACAGAAGAAGGACAGGGTGCTTCTCCGGAAACGCCTCGGCGAGGCCCTAGAATACATCGATCACTATCAGTCAGTGAACTACATCCAAAAATTCCCGGCTTGTGGGGCGACGGCTTACCAGGTACGTGATGATAGCGGCGACAGGAAACTCGGACATGACCAGTATCTTCGCGTGTTCACCATTGGAATCCCGCTGGAGCCCTTGGACTAGGGAGCAGAGCTGCTTAAACTTGGCGGATCCCTTGAGAATGGACCGGAGGTGTTGCTGGAACGGGGAAGTACGGAACGATCCCCCTTGATTGTGGGCCCAGGGCTGCTGGTTAATATCATCCAGGGTCAGCGGGAGGTGCTCTTGCCGCGACACTTGCGCTAGCGCGGGGAATGTGGTGAACAGCCGGAGTCGATGGAGGATATTTGTGGCCTTGCCGACGGTGCGTGTCTGGGTCTGCCTGTACTCTTGCTCGAGCTCCATTCGGAAGGCGCGGCGCATGGCTGGGTCGAGGGCGCAGGCGATGTCCTGCCTCTCGGCCTCGGGAAGGGTAAGGAGGTCACTGCCAAACCATTTGGAACTGACGGTGCGCCGAATAAAGCCCAGCGCCTGGAGCCGCCGCCGGAATTCCGACACGACCATAGCGGTGCGCCTGTGGTCGCGCGCGGAGATAAATTGCCGTCCCAGTTCTTCAAAGTCAGCGCGCGAGCAGCGCGCGAGCTCGGGGATGTCCTTCCACGCCTGGTCCCAGAGGCAGTCGACGTATCGGGCGAGGTCAGCGGGTGAGATTTCAAACGGCGTCCCGGACAGAAACCACAACCGGGTCCCCCCCTCGGAAGCCCTTAAGGACCTCGTATGTTTTGGCTTCATTGCGCTCCTGGTGGCACTCATCCCGAAAGGCACGTCCCCAGAGGGCACCGCACACCGATCCCGTCGCATTACTTCTATCGGATGCGTCCTCCACCGTGGCTTCGCAATTCAGGGCGTCGGCGACCTGGGTGCCATACGACTGAGGAGTGGTAAGGACCACGAGGCAATCCTTGCCCCAATTCCCCGTCCATAACTGGGATCGCTCGCGGGGGAACCGCCGATCCTTTGCGTCCATCCACTCCTGGATGAGCTCCTGGTCCCTTGGGCAGAGCTGACGGTCCCCTGTCCCCAACAACTTCTGCCACGCCAATGCGCCAGCTAACTCACGGGCACGCGCAAAGCGGAGGCTATGGTGGCTGGGATTGTTCTGCGCCAATGTCTCCCAAGACCGAACGTCGGACCGTTGCAATGCCCGATTGTCGCGGTGGCCAACAAGAAGGGTCATCTGCAGGCGAGGGTGACCTGTGTTCACCACCTTGTTCCACTCCTGCCCCCAGTTCCGGAGGAGCTGTGCGGGCACCAAGATCAGGGTCGGCCACGCGAGCGGCTTTATTGCAATCGAGGGCCCCATCTCGATACACGGACAACAGATGGGGAGGAGGTGGGCACTCGGGCAATCGGCTGGGTCACTGGAAAGGGTTCCTTCCGGTAGGTGAGGGGGATGGCCTCCAGCGGGATCCTCGCGGTATCGAGCCACCGCCTCGTGGGCGATAGTGAGCCACCGGGAGAGGACGCAGACGGCAAGCGTAGTAATGGTCTATATCATAGTCAGAGCTAGGGCACTCGACTCTTTGGGCTGCAGCTTACCTTTCCCAGACCCATTTCATCTGCAAGGAACCCCCCATGACGCCTTCTCTCCGACCGAAGCATGTAGAACGCAGCGAATGCCTGGTGCGGCTTGAGAGAGATATTGAGGCCATCGATTTCAATCTCCCGACTAGGGGTCTGGCCCTCCATGCCGCGGAGCTTATAGAAACGCTGGCACATCCGCCATAACTCGGGGTCGTTGAGCCGATCAAGCTCAAAGTTGGCAGTCACCTCATCGAGACTGGCGGCCACACAAAAGTCAGTCATGCCTTTGTTTGGTTCTCGAGGCGTCCAAATCAACGTACCGCGTGTTTTTCGCCTGTCCCGCCTGCGCGAGCAATGTCTGTACAAAATCGTGTGCCCCGTCATTATCTAGATCCTCGCTGTCATCCTCGTCCGAGTCATCGCCGGCATCGTCGGTGGTGTCGATGATGATTGGCGCGTCACGGGTGTCGCCAGTCATGTCTTGGTTCGGCAGACTGATGGTCTGGATTAGTGACTGCCCTTCTTTCAGGTTCGGTGCTCTTTACCTTGTCTCGCCAGGATGGCCACTTCGTGAGGTACTCATGATGAGGGGGTTGGGGTTGAGTGAGTTCTGTAGCGCTGGGGAGGTCTCTCTGCAGATGGTGATGGTCGGGGCAGGAGAGATAGCGTTGAATCCGGATGGGGTGGAGAGGTACTAAGTGAGAAGTATGAAACGGAGGCAGAGAGCACTCAGAATCAATGATGCCGGGATTCTCACGCCAGAGGTGAGGTAAATGACACGACTCGGTTCTGACTGGTGCCAATTATGCTCTATGTCTATCCGCTTCTCCTGCCGCCTCTCTCGCTTACTGTGGTCCGCAAATAGACGGTTTGCAGCTCTTGCGTATACATGCTTCATTTTTTGAAAGCTGTCTGCAAGATCTGCCAGTTCTCGGGGGTTGAATTCGGCGCAGATGCTGCGCTAAATCGGACTGGGTTTGTGCTGCAAGTTCAGTAGCTTCAATTTCAGCCTCAAAATACAACCCTCGCCGAGCTGCGGGCTCTGTTGTGTTTGGATCTTGACTTATGGATACTTCGACGAACACCACGATTCGACTGTGGCAGCGAGATTATAGAGCTTGAAAGGGGTAGAGGAGTATTTCCACCGAATATTTAAGGCAACGGCAAGAATGGCTTCGCGAAGTGGCCGTAGAGCATTCTTAGGATTGAATAGATAAATGTCACGGTTGGCGAGAGCACTGCGAATCGTACGCTGCGTCAAGGCATCGCGTCGAATTGTGAGATTCTCCATCGCGCGAACTCGTTGAATTGGCTTGAAAGTAGGATTCGTACTAAAAATACTTTCCTTTAGGGGGCTGGCACAAGTGGATTATATATCGGATAAAGCAGACCGGAAAATTCGAATATTCTTAATAGGATTCGAGAAATTTATACGTGAGATAGAAACCATACTCGTCTATCCACAGTAACCTTTTTTGGCACTTTTCGACGCAGTTTTTTTGATAAGACGATGGAGGTGTAAGAGGTACCTGAAAAATGAAACGAGAACGAAGCCATCAGCAGCGATACAATCAATAGCCATGAGCGATTCTCTATTCTCACTTAAAATATTGCCCCTCGAAACGAGCGAAGAATTACTGGTAACAGCCATGTGAGTCCTTTCTTCGCCAAGCTGAGAACCAGGTTCAGTTCTATCGAAGATGTAGATTCGTTTTGTTTTTGGTTGAACTTGGCGACATACGGTCGAAGGCAGTCGAACCCGTGTTGAACAAACCGATATTTTCTGCCTCTAGCCTATTTCACTTGGTCGGCTTCTGTTTCGTGGGCTGTAAGTCCGGTGGGATTCGACCGATGAAGCGGTATGCCCAGTTTTTCGACAAGCACGGCGACGCTCTCTAGTCGTGGGCTGTTTCGGAATTTGGTTCGCACGAGCTTCGTCTATGCGAGTTGCAGGTGGAATTGGTAAAATAATATTCAGAAGATTCAAAGATGGACATCCAGGTGTGTACCCAAGTACTTAGGTAGCATCTAGGGGCGATTTCAAGGTATGCCAAGGGGGGAGAGGGCAACGGTAACATTGCGGGGCCAAAGCAGCCCCAATCACCTGTCGCCATCCATGGGTGACCAGGTTTTATTGGCTGGCCATTTATATCAACCCTTGATGAGATTGGCTGCAAAGTGGAAAGGGGAAAAGAAAGAGATCTTATTCTCCCAAGGTCCCAACTCCCCGTCAAAATAATCACACAGTCACATGATCACCACAACAGTACGGAGTACCGCGCCATCCATCCGTGGACACCGCCCACCTTCCTTACATACGGAGTAAATCGCGGTAACTCGTCAAAGAAGAAAAAAAATTTCTCGTCATGGAACGTTGGTCAAATTCAATGCCAGTATTTCATGATTCGAGATATGATCTATCCCAAGCTGTGGACTAGGATCCTAAGTAAGGACTTCACGAAGTTTAATAAATGGCAGAATATTATTTGTGATCATGAAGACCTTCATTTCTTGTGTCTTGGGAAGGGTTCGATCCAAAAGGCCCGGTTTGCTTGTTTAAGATGAATCTCCGAGAGAAACACCTTAAGTGTGGTCTAGAACCGGTAGCGCAGGCAGATCCTCTCAGGGGCACCACCGAACCTCGTTCCTAGTGGCTACTGGGTGAGTGGTCAATCGTTAAAGGCGCAAACAAGTCTACTTGGGGAAATCCCATCTGCATTCCGATGCTCATTATAGCTAGGGTAAAGCAGGTAAAAGTCTTTCTACTGGGGTGCTATCTTAGGGCGGATGGCCGGGACTGATCAGATGTTTGCTGATCGACCTCGCGCCTTGGAGGTCAGTTCAATATACCTGCGACCGTGTCTTAATGTCTCTACACATCGACTCGATTGTGTACTTGGATGATAACTAGGTTTGCGATGCGATTAGCCTGGATGCATAGCTCTTCTAATACACCGGTGTCTAGTGAGTCTCTACCGGCCTGCCACGTCCAGAATGGGTAATAGAGGCCTTGTGCCATATAGCAGGCTAGTCCCCTCCCCCCAAAAGAAATTCGGTGCTTCTCCCTTGATTCCAGACTAGAGCCTCCTGCTTCACTACTCTATCATTCTCTCGGCCTAAAAACCGAAGATACAAGATCGCACCTCCGCGGCGCAATGGCGGACCTGACATCGAGTCGCTGCATAGATTCTGCGCGCGAGGACCTGGACGTCCCCAAGCAGGTTTTCATCCTTAATTACCGACGAGACTTGAACGGGCGGACCGCTGAGAATACAATCGGCCCGAACCAAAACCGCCCAGTACAACGCAACACCTTCAAGCCAACGGGCTATTCGCTTGATAGCATCTCGAAATCAAGCCACTCCCGCCCAATCCTCCCCCTACTCACGGGGATGCCCGGCCCGCTACCGATATCTGATTTAATTCAACGAACCCCACCGAATGGGTATATAGTGTTGGGACTGGGGTTCTGCCAGCAGTTCTCCACCGCCTCTCTGACCGCCCGCAGCGCACCTGTAGGTGGCAGTAGATAGCTTCTCTTCTCTCCTACAGACCTTACAGACAGACAATTTGATTCTCTCTCTCTCTCTTCTGCTCCCTTCCTCAGAGTTCTGCTCTCCCCAGCTTCCCCTAGTGCTCCCTGAGATATAGCACCACAAACCACTACCATTACCCACGGCGTCGACCAGCCCCCATTGTGTCCGCATTCCTCCGACTCGGACGTCTATAAGAGCCCCCACAAGTCTAACATGCAAACACCCTCGGCCTCGGTTTGCTCTTCGGGAACACACTCTGACATCGACCTTCTATTGATTCAGTTCCCCGACAACCGGCGAGAGTGTTACGAGAGATCCCCGGCACAAGATGATGATACATCGGGCACACCACCAGATCTCTCGCGAAAGCCCCAAGGTGCAGCTAAAAAACGCCATCTGCTATCCAGAAGGCACGTTTCAAGTGCCCAAAACCCGGGTGTAAGCTCTGGTTCAAGTACAACACAAGCCTATGGAGACATGAAGGGGCATGCCAATGAGTGGCCTTTTTTATATGCCGTGATTGCCACAGCACCTTTCAGAGCGGAGAGGGCCTTAAGCAACATCGGAGGATACATAGCAGTTGCCTCTACTGTGTTCCCAGCCTCGGCTCAATGGTCGCAGACTATGACTCTGCCTTATAGGGCCAGTTGACACGAGGAGGACACTTAACTCGACATTTCCAGTTGAAAGCAGAGACACAGGTCAGCTCTCCCTAAATAACGAAAACGCTTAAGTTAGGATGCCTCTAGTATCTATGCGTCTGCGACAAAATCCAGGGTTGTTATTTTATCCTAGTTTTCTCAGCCGACTAGTTTTACCAATTCGGAGAAGGGTTCAACTTGGGGCAAACTAATTCGTTGCCAGCGTGAGAAGGGGGACCAAACTCAGGTCAACTGCTTATTTTTTAGTGTACTCTTTACTTGCGAATACGATAAGCCAATACCCAGGATCTTCATATTAGGGAAACCATGCAAATAGGGTGATCTACAACGATGCACCCTATAGAGCACGGTTTGTGGTGACCTTGTACTTGAGTATACAAGCTTTTTTTTTGGACAAAGCAAATCCTACTATGCAAATAAAGCACACTAGGGCAGTTCCATAGGCAGGGTCCTCTCTGGCCGTTCAACAAGCACCCTCGTGGACGCCGACGGGTGCAAGTGACCACCAACACGTTATTACGGACGGACCCTCTGTTCAAAGATTTTCTTAGCCTCAGATGGACATGATGATAATAGGTGACGAGCCGAGGTTCGCCCGGAATAGCCTTTATTTGTTTCTTCTATTTTTTATATTCATTTTCCAGGTGTACACAGCTATCGCGCCTCGCCATGCGATTTCATCGTGTCCATATTCGAAGCCCTTCTATTCAATTCATCTGTCATTCGTTCGGCCGGTACGACGGTCTCGCTCTGCCCATGCACTTGGCTGGCCTCTTGCCCGGACAGACCTCGCGACTGAACGCAGTTGGGGTGGCCGCATATAACTAATGCCATCCTAACGGCTACTTGCCGAAGGACGACGCAGGCTTCTGCCGGCGAGGATCCTATTTCTCTACTTTCTTCCATCGGAATCCTTAGTAGATGGACAGCCTACATTCCAACATGAAAAGTTTCTCGAAGTTGTTAGAAATCGTTCGATCGTATAAAGGCAATCGAACCGGCGAAGTGGGTCGCAGAGCACCTGAAGCGTATTTCCAGGCTAGGTAATGCTGACATGATCGTATTTGCGAAAGCTGTATATACGGGCGCAGCCTGCCACCTATCTGCGCGTTTCCATCGAATTAATTCGCGAAAGCAAACCAATCGAACGAGACGACTAGCTCGGACCACAGTTCACAGGCCAATCATGGTGTTTACTCCTGACACACAGCTCCACTCTAGCTGTACCTGAGGTATCGCGGCACGAGAAGAGATTCGGACGGCGACGCTGGCTCATACTAGCCAACAGAGCGCGTTATCAGGATGACGAACGGAGGTGAACTCGAGAAACCCGAAATCTCCCCAGGAAGGCATATCACGTTACGACGCCCCTAACGACAAACTCGGCCGAGACTCTAGCGCAGCCATAGCCTCTACGAACGGAGGATACGGTGGCTCGTTAGTACGCCAGAACGGAGTGAGTCGGTCCAGCGCCCATGTCACAGGTGCCGTTGCAGGGATACAGCAGCCTCGCACGGCGGCTTTACTATGTATCTCCGAAACTTACAGTAATATTCGAAATCAGATATAACGAATTAGTTCCCGAGCCCCAATTTGAAACACGCTAATTTGTATATGGTATGGTCATAGACCCTCCGCTTTCCAGAGTAGACCTTATAAGTGAGTGAGATCTCGGATGATATATTTTATATGAAATGGCTATACACGTGCTAACTCTGTGCTTTTGGGACGAGCGATGCACTGGCAACGATGTTAATACGGTCACGTGTGTACAATTTTGGTGGAGAGTTGTCGGAAAGCCACTTGAATCCGCCTCGAGGTGGCGACCACGGATTCGGGTTTAAAACCTTATCCGGAACCAGAATAAATAAATATTCAAATGATACAAAAACCAAACGTCACAAAACTTTCCAGCAGCTTGAGACTCATCTTCGCCTCCTGGTAAAGGGAGCCTGTATTTTCTTGTCAAATAATGGCTGTATTTCCTTATTCAGATGCACATCGTTCCGAACCCATGAGCGTTCTCTTTGCTTTCAATAAATGAACTTCGCGCAATTCCGCGCAGCATTCCTTTAATAAGCAATTAATGTTCTATTTGAACATCCACGATCCAATGCTAGATGCGTACTCGGCGTTCGTAACTGCCAAAAGCCTTTCCTTGAGGACACCTTTGTCGCCATCCAAGTTATAGCCCCAAGCATAAGGATCAACCAAATTTGCAAACAGATGTTCAATGAGGTTGTCACCAATAGTGTTTGGAGACAATTCATTCATGATATCCATCAAGAATAAAGATATCCGCTGAGTATAATCCTCAGTTTTAAGTGAAAGCCGAGTTGCGTTATTGAAGATTACCAAATTCTTAGCTTCCCAGGCGCTAGCCCGTCGGTAATAGTTTCGCAGGCAACGAATTTCACGAGCGCCTCACTGGATGCCATCTGCCAGCATAAATACTCATCGGCATTTTTGGCCCAGTATCTCGCTAACTCGTCAATAGTAGAGCCCTAAATCGGGATTCCTTGTCAAGGAAGAGAAGCAAATCGCTGACTCTCAGTACTTGAGCGCCAATTTCCAATAATTTCGTTGTGTCAAAAATGGCGAAGCCACTCTCTTGTCCATCCTTTTGGTCTCCTTTTTTTTGGAAGGCTTTATGTAGCGTCCACCTCAAGTTTCCACTGAGGGACAAGAAAGGAGAAAAGTAATAATGTCCGCATTCAGGCGTTCGTCCTTTGTTAATTTGCGTTTTCAAAAGGTGTCTTCCTACTTCCGCTGACAATTCCGCGACTGTGGAGAGGCATTCTTCCATTCCAACCCTACTTATCCCGATCTCAGAATCGTATTCCCATTCGTCCCAAAGGTTATCGTCTGACGCGAATGTATCACATTACTTTCCTGTGCTATAATTGATGAAACGAGGGAATAGTTCACCATGCATATGGGCCCTATGCAAGAACAAGGGATATGGATTTTTGAGTCGTTGTGTTTCCATAAATATATGTACTTCAGAGCTTTGTTAGCCAGGAAAACTTAACTTTTAAAGCGTATTTTTGACACTCTGTCTAGTCAAGCGCATGTCCCATTTCCTCGATAATCTCGGGAACAGATGGCTTTCCACAGCCAGTAGATAATTCGATCTTATTGAGCGCCGACGAGAAAGAATGGGCAGTTTTGGAGGCTGCCTGGATCGATTGGCGTGAGACCCGATATTGATTAAGAAACTTTTTGAAATCTTCAATAAACGCTTCCCGAAGTGGCTGGGCATCAATATCTGCCATGGTAGGTGGATACGTTTTGGGGCCTCAAAGCTGAAGCTATCAAAGCCCGACCACTAGCATAGCCTTCTCTTGTAGGCAAGGTGGGCGTGGATGATGGCTGCGTATGGCGGGAAGGGAGCTGCTGAAGTGTAGCAGATCTTAAATCGGCGTATTCGCGAGACCGTTAAATAAACCTACTGAAGCTCCATAGCACCATGCAAAGCATCTATACCCGGCTGACACGTCACAGATGCCTGTAGACCAGCTCATACTTGCATTTCCCCACTTCTCGCCTTTTACCACTCACATAAATCAATGCCTATTGTGTACACAGACTTGCTTCTTGCTTTATGCACTGCTACCTGATATCCGCTTCATGGACATGATACCCGACATCAACATCCCATATATAACGAAATGGTTTCTAGAGTGGACTGGATGAACAAAGTATACCCTGATTTGCCAGCATTATCTATTCCCTTTGATGAAAATAGGTCGGACTTGAAGCAATATAATTCTTTCATAAACATGAGTGACTTCAAAAGGTAAGTCTCCACTGTGGATAGTACTGTACTCGACTGGGGACTGATATGTCAAGTATCATTCGGTCGCCCGTTTTTCACTTCCTCGTAGGAAGCGGAAAGACCCGTCTCGCAGTCCACACAGAAGTCACACGCAACCTGTCGTTTCCACTCTTCAATCTTATCAATAATGGTTTGATGAAAGAGTCCACCGAAGGACACGCCGTGTTAGAGGACGTGGAGGAGGATGCGTTCATCGGTTTCTGCGAATTCGCCTATCTTGGGGCATACAAGACCCCGCAACGCAGTGAGGAGACATATGACACGAACCTGGGAAACTCTACCGAAAGAGAGAGCGATCTGGCCGAGGAACGTCGTCTACAACCCGACCCTGAACCCGAGCTCGAACCCGAGCTCGAACCCGAGCCTGAGCCTGATGATGTGCCAGCACAAGAATGGGATCCAATGGACGGACCTGCACCAAATGGACGTGTCCCTATGAATAATTGGGACATGTATACAACCAGGAAAGATTGGATCAGCTTCCGAAGAAAGCTTGCCTACGGTATTCCACTTCCAGAAGAGAAGGAGTCCGCGAAACACGTTACTTACGTTCAGTATCCGTACGATGGACTGTGGGAGCAGTTCAGAGAGCTGCGTTTTACTGGTACGGAGGCCTCACAATCTACTATTCCTGACCTTGTGTTCCATGGGAAGCTTTACGTTTTCGCAACCCGTTATCTCGTCGACTCGTTGCGGACTCAGTGCCTCAAGTCACTACACCGTGACCTCTGCAAATTTTCACTGAATAAGCGAAATACCAATCATGTATTTGATTTAATTGAGTACGCATACCAGGAATCCGGGAGAGGAGAGCCTGAAGGAGAGAGCACTCTAAGAAATTTGGTGATACATTACGCTGCCTGTGAAGCTCGGACTCTGGCTGAGGATCCTCGTCTTCGCGATCTTTTGAATCAATTTTCTGAAATGGGGTCTGATATGGTCACGAAACTTGTTAATTAGGAATCATTAAGAGTTTTCATTTTTCATACCCGAGACCTCTCAGACGGTAGCTCGGACCACCATTACTCGAAACCTCCGACCACCATAAAGGTCACGTGTAGTCACGTTTTTGGTCACGTGTTGGGAGGTCAGACCACTATTAGATTCTAATGGTTAACCGAGCTCTATCGTTATGAAATCTGTTTACACCCTACCAAAACCAGTTACCAGCTCGTTACCAACTAGTTTTCAACAATAGACGCCTAGACTAATCCCGACTAATGGCTCACGCATGAGTATAATACTATCTACTCCCTTCTTTATCGGGACTGGGATAATAGGGAAGAAATAGAAGAATAAGTTCAGAACTAGTTAACTCACATTTTTCTTGACTTTCGCTATCTTGCTACCGTTTGTTGATCGAGGATTCGGGGGAAAGGGAACTGGATATTTCCTAGTTAGGAAGTAGGTTTAGAGAGGTAAGAAAATAGGTAAAAACACTGTATTCGTGGACTTGGAAATATAGGGGGAGATAGTAAGGTAAGGTAAGCTAAGTGGAGAATCTGAGAGGTGGGACCCCCATTAGAACTAGTCCCAAAACGGTTACGGGCCTACACGTGACCTTAATGGTGGTCTGAGGTTTCGAGTAATGGTGTTCCCAGCTGTAGTCACCAGAACCCAGATCAGATGAACATTTACCAAATGTTGAGTCCACATTCGGAGCGTAATTATAATATTCCGAATGCGGACTCAACATTTGTAATGTGGAATAAGCTTATGTAAGCGTATTATTATTGGCTAGCTATAATTAATCAAAAATTACTTCTTGGTATTACCATATAAATAGGATTCTTTTTGCTATAAGTTAGAGAGATTTAAAAGTCTTTAGCCTATAATATATTATCTTTAAGAAATTTATATATCTAGGGTTCAGAAACACTCTCTTCTTATAGAGATAGGAGAGCAAGCTACTACTTAAAGCGTTAAGTAGTATTAAGAGTATACGATGACACGGTGAGCGGGCCGCCAGAAACGGCTCCCATTGCACCGCTGTTCTGCTGTTCCCGACCGCCTGCCCGGCTCCGCCATCCCCCTGCCCCTTCCGGTATAGTGCCCTTATCTTTCCCCCTCTTCGGGTTTAGCGCCGTCTATGGCCGCTTTTATCGCCCCAGCCAGCTGCCGCTCATCTATAAAACACCGCCCTCCCTCTCCTCAACACATCGACGCACTTTCTCTTCTTATTCCTCCTCGACCACCTTCTTTCTGGCCCCCACCGACCCCTGCACATGGACCTCTGGTCTGATGCACTGCCCCCTCCTAATCCACCGCAGATGCCGCTCGATCAGGCGCTCAGGCCGTTCTGGCCTGGCGACGACGCAATCCCGGTGTTTAGGAGCCGAATCACTGAGATGGTCGAGCCCTGGGCCGTATTGAATTGACCCTTATAAAAGACTTGGCTATTGATCATGCTACGGAGCTATCTTTGGCGACCTCTGTTTATGAGCCCAGCTCGCTGAGCATCTCTCATTCTGCTAACATTCTTTGCGCGGTCTCAGGGTAGCGCCTCGGGCATCTTCGACTTCGCACGCCTCTCGTCCCGCCCTATCGGGGTTGCATTGCACAGCCCCCATGGTTGCGGATCTGTCTCCAGCTCCTTGTTCCCGAGCACCTTTGGCCAGCCGTTGTCGTCATCGTCGGTGTCTCCGTTCCCGCTTCTCTCAGGGGATGTGTCTTCGAAACCACCACGCGGTGATATGAGCCAATGGCGAAAATACCGCACTCGCGCGTGATATCGTCCGATGCGTCGTGATGAGTCCAATGATGGACTGACTGCGCGAAGTCGCCCATGACCATGCAGCCACATAGAGGATGGAGACCGAGCAAAGGGCTACAGTGGATCGGTATCACAGCTACCGCCGGTGGGTGCGACGGGAAAGTGTACCTGGTAACCTACATCCATTGTGCTTGCAGAGGCGCTGAAGCTGCATCTTGTCTTGGGTAGATGGGTGAACTGGTGTGAAATCTTCAGCACGCCCCAGGACAATCATCGCTTATAAAAGAGACTCATATCCCACTCAAATGGCAAGACTGGACTTTATTTTCCCATCCACTTCCCCTTCTCCCGTTCCCACTCCGTGTCCCATATCCCCATTCCCTGACTCTTTTTCCTCCATCCGTGTTGTATAAGTGTCTCCAATTGCTATCCCAGACAATCTTCCAGCCTTCTATTTCACTCTTGACATGGCAAACACTAGGTTCCGCCTGGGAACCTTTCGGCAATGGAATCCTTTCCAAGATAAAGCTCAGCCTCTGCATGATCTATCCAATATTTGTCGATACCCAAGTCCTGTCTCGATCACTGCCACTCCGCCTCCCTCCAACGCTAGTGACACAGTCTCGAGGGCCCCGAATGGTCATTCTCTCAAAGCTGGAAAACATCCCCTACCCGCCCGCCCGTCAGTCGAGGTTTGCATGGATAGTGGCCTACGGTCGGCTACTCAAGCTCCTGGTCTTGGACCAGCTGACTCAGAGCTAGTTAACCAGAGCTCTCCGACATCTAATTCCGACGATCCTACCCAGCCTCGAGAAGTCTGCGGCGGTGAAAATATCGACCCTGTAATCCTCTGCGATAAAGGTTTCACTGGTACGAAGCAGATCCGGGAATCAGAGAGCGTCTCTGGTGTTGGATCGGGCCAAGATCTTGCTCTTGCGCAAGGAGATTCCTTATCGGGATCTTGCGCCTCGGAGGTTGATTCGCCCTCTCGCCTAAGCCAAGGTGCGCAGGGTAGGGCGACCGGTTCCAATGAACAGAATACCCAGGTCGGGAAACGCCGAAGCCCTGGGAGGAAACATACTAAAAAGGTTTCCCGTCGGCTTCCCAATTCAGGAACCCGTCACCGCAAGCATCCGACTTTTTCCACTATTCACTCTCAATTCATGGCTATGTCAGTTGAAGGTCGACTGCAGTTTCTGTCTTGGCTGTTCGAGGGGGCTTTGTCACACTGTGTTTCTGTTTCCCCAAGTACAAATGCCGCTTCTTCCATCGGCTGCAGTCCATATATTGACACAGAAATGGCGTGTGACCGCGACCATCCAAACTTGGGTGCCGAGATTGCAGATGTGCAGAATGCACCATCCACGAGAAAGGGCCTACTATGGTCCGAGGAGGAAGGTCGCCTCTTAGTGAAGCTTAGGGATGAGCAAAAGCTCGCTTGGTCAGAGTTGACTGAGCATTTTACACGAGAATTTCCCGGGCGGAGTAAAGGGTCTATACAAGTGTACTGGAGCACTAAACTCAAGAAAGAACGGTTGTCCTGGTCTTTTCCTTCCGATTGATATGTCATTTTCGGTTGCTTTCTGAAGGGGAACTTTTAAGGCATACTAACTCGATCTTGTCTATGATCTCCCTCCTCCCATTGCTGTTTCTTATCACCCTCCCAGTGAAGAACGCATTCGGTCTGAGACTGTAGCTCTTCTTCCATAGGACTATCAAGTCTTCCGTAATTGTATGGGACTGCACCTTCATCGTACTAAATGCTTGACCGCGTGGGTCGGTGCAGCGTTGCCAAAAACCTTGCCTAATATCGATAAAGCCTTGCCATTGTGCCTATCTGGTTGGTGGGCAAATGCAAAGAACTTCCACCGGTCACGTATGGATGATATTCAGATCAGGGTGACAAAAGAATGGAGATGTGGATTGAACAATGTGAGCTATGCGAGAAAGACAGAGAGTCGAAGACAGGAAGATGAAAAATTCTAACACAGGGCTTGGCAAAGAGTATCCCAAGTGATCCGTATATTCAAACTCCAGGCGATAGTGTAATTCAAGGAAATGGGAACGCGGCTTGTCCAAGAAGAAAATACAGGAAGAAATTATAAAGAAAGACAGAAGCCCCGTGACGTCAGAAATGTTTTTCTTCCGACGATCAGCGTAAACGTTGCCAGGCCCAAGGCACCAATAATAGTCGTAATCGGCCGATTTCTCATAGAGTCCTTGATCGAAACCAGGAGGTGAGTGGTGTGTGATTGAGCGATTGAAGATGAGAAGCGTAGATCGACGGAATCCAAAGCTCGCAGTAGACTGTGGGCGCTGCGAAATTCTCCGTCCCAGCAGCCTTCGATGATCCAACCAAGCCAGATACCCTGTGTACTTGGCAGAGACTTCCTCTCTGGCCAATAAGCTCGACCGTCAGTGGGAGAGTTGTCTTTGTAGAGGTCGATTTCACACTTGTTGCCAGTCACAACTTCATACATGACTTTTCCCAGGAGGCCAATATCAATTTGGGTCGTGTATCCATTGTCATCCACAACGTCCATATTAGAATCCAATGGAAGGAGAGATGCTTCTGAGAAATCGCAGAATTTAAGGGATAGATCGGAATCAAGAAGGAAATTTCGACTGGCGATGTCTGCGACAAGCACACGCCGGTCATGGATATAACCAAGTGTGCGAGCCATCTCACGGAACCATGTGAGTTGGAGCTGATGAGAAGGTCGGCACTTTGCAAGATAAGCCTGAAGATCTCCATTGGCCATATAAGCAAGTTGCGTGGCTTCAGTTGAAAACCCAAGACAACGGACAACACCGTCAGAACGGTCATCTTCGGAGCTTTCCAAGCGACGATAAATATCTTGTTCACGTCTAACGACTCCGATGTTCACTTCGACGTCGGAGTCTGAGCTCCAAAGATATCTCAATGGGGTTTTGACGGCCACACCATTTCGAAGCAGAACTACTGCAGTACCTCCGCTCCCGAGAACCTGCTCCAGAGGAATCGGATCGCCTCGAATATCGAGAAATGGTGAGGACATGGCAAAAGGAAGAAAGGCAGTTGAATTGGATTGACCGTGAATATAGGGGTTGGCACGGATCTTAAATAGTCTGCTGATCACGTGATAATATCCTCGTATCGTTCCAGACTACTCCGTATCCCTTCGTCACACTTTAGCGTATATTTCTTCCTTCAAACCTGATTACGGAGGAGGGAAGAGAAGTCGGGCACTAGACTGCGATCAGAAGAGAAGAGAAGAGATAGATGTCTGATGGTGGTGAGAGAAGAAGCTATGAAGCTATCTACACAATATGGAAAGGCGGTGAGCGACGTGCTGGCAGAATCCTCAGGCACCTCTCTCAACAAAACCGTTCCGTCGACGAGCCAGGAATCGCTATCCGACTCAGTTCTTGCGATGCGCGGGGCAGTCACGACCGCGCTTCGTTGAGCTGGCTTGTGACGTCGGAGTCACGGGGTTGCAAATGCTGCCCCTTTCCTCGGCCGGTATACACCATTGAATATGGTCGTGGGTGGGATCGAACAGGATACAGTCTTGGCCCTTTCCCTTGCAGTCAGGAAATTTGGTGGGGGTTTTCCATCTCTGCCAGCACATTTTGCTATTTGACCGTCAGTTAATTCCCTCAAGGGTGAGTTGTGATGACAGTACCAGGTTTGATTTGATGCTTGTATCTCTCGAAAAATCTGATGAAAGCAGTCGGTTGGATCTGAAGATAGGAATACAACGCCTTTAAATACCCCGCGACATACATTCAGTCATCAGTCTACCTTCTTCCAGCTCCCTTAGGCGAATACGGATCTCCCTTAAAGGAACGAATCTTACCAAGAGAAGAGTATCGAACCCCGCAATGATTCCATACTCAAATTGGCAACGAAATGACCGATGGTGCAAAACCCAGCGAGTCATGTTATTGGGTATCAATTTTTGACTACTATCAATATTTGACGATTTATTATACTGTCACGTCACCTGCGGCAGCTAAGGGGCTGTTCAGAAATAGAAGAGCCAACCAAGTTCCCAGAAGCTACGCACTTGTTCAGGTCACATGCAGCATCCTATATACCATTTACCCCTACCTGTAATTCCTCCCCTTCTTACAAAAAACACGTTCTCGACTAGGACTCCGGATAAGAAATCATTTCAACCTGCTCGTATTGCGTCCTGCATGTTAGTGCATAGCTCCTAGGACGTGATTCTCCGTTAGTAAGATGTGGCCCCCCAGTTGACTAGTTGGCGGCTACAGCCTGCTGTCAATAATCCCTGCTAATCTTGGCGTTTTTCAGCTGGATGATGGTAGACGAACATGGTACTAGGTAGTGTAGGTGGCATGGCTGATCAAATGCAAATAAAGCGGGCAAATGCAGGCCATCATTGGCTAGGTACGTCATGTCCCGATGGTGTTTTCAAACTCACATAGAAGGCTGCAGTTTCCGTTCGATCGTTCAGCATCCAAAATCCTAACGCAGATTCTGGGCCACGCTCGCAGTAATCTGGACGTATGGAATGGTGTGGCTGAGCACAGCTAGATCAGCCCCGGAGTTAGCAAGCAAGTCATTGCTAAAATCTTTGGTGGTACATTCTGAATCCCTGGCAACGATACGTGAGTGGCGCATAGCCGGACAGTGATAGGCAGTTTGGTCTATGAGTGCTAGGCGCCCGCCCCAACTTTTGAGACCAGAAGACAACAGTAATGGCCCACTATGCGACTGAGATTCAGGGTTACATCGTGTGAGGCTCATTAAGGGACATAAATCTGATGTGGTCATTATTATAATAAGTCTCAAAAGTTTCTGTGTTGTCATATTTGAACTGTACATGAGAATCTTGCGGGATTTTCTGCGCGGGGCTGTACTGCATAAAAGCTATACCAAATCTGGATAGGCTACAATTGGTGTCAGCTTGATTTATTGCGGTTTACCCCCTTTGCTAACATAGTACTTCCCTTAATTTTTCTTCTTTGCCGCAAACTTTGCTTCACTTCAGAATGTCTGTCAGTGTCATACTCTCTCAATTTGAGGCCTTGGTGAACAAGATGGAATTGGTCGGCTCGAGGCTCTGCAATAAACGAATTCGTCCCACAGCAGATCAACTAAATGATTTCCAAAATCTGCATACGAGGTTCAAGGCAACATTGGCAAATTTTGACAACGGTGTTCAGAAATTGTTAGCTATCGGGTCTCCTGCTGCGGAAGACCTTTTGCTTGCGGATCGTATCCGGGCTGCCAAGGACTCCGCGCCGATCACTTCCCCGATTTTGACGACTTTGAAAAGGAACTTGATCCTTATCTTCATGGGACCAAAAACCTTTGAACTGGATTCCAAACAGGTGAAGGCGAGAAACAAACAGACTGAAGGTCGGTGTAAAACACTTCGGTCTCAGCATAGCCATGTTGTCCTTATGTGGGCAATGGCGCTTCAACCATCTATTTGGAAAACTTCAGTGGGTATGAACGAAAAGACCTTTGATTTCCTGATCAGAGACCTCAGCGATGAACGAATGAATCAAATTCCGCCGCATATATCTGAGATCATGCTATCTCTTGCAGGCGAAGAATCCATGAGCACGTCTGACTCTTTCGCATTGTTCGCCGAAAAGGTTTCGAAGGACACCGTTGAACTACAGCCGGCTTTAAAGCGGAGGCGTACAACAGGAATCGAAGCGCACTCAACCGTGTTTGAAGCAGTCAACGAAAAACACATGTTATCTTCAATGAATACCGAATCGCACGTGGAACAGCATACGGCCAATAACATACCAAAGATACAGCAAAACAGGCGTAAGGAAATCTAAGACCTCTTGATATCTACGAGTTATGCTGAACGCAATGAGTAGAAATCGATTACCGATGCTCTGCCTCGCCAATCGCAAATTTGCCAATACTAGGTGATAAGCTCTTCGACGCCCTCCAAAGCAGCCACCAATGGCAATGGGAACGCACAGTTGGGGGAACAGAAACTTCAGATTGTGTGAACGCGCTTGTACCTAAGTCTCGGACCCAGGATATATCTATAACTTTATTGGTTGGTCACGAAAGCGGACTCCAACTCATCTATGAGCTGGAGGCTATACGCGTTTGAATTTGACAATTGCTCCTATGACACGAACCTTACATCCCGCGGGAACCCTTGCCGTCTCTTCTTTCTCCGGATTTTCTCCATTTTCCCATAGTGAATCTGTATCGGTGCTTGGATCATATATCATGATCGACTCGCCTTTCCCAGTCACTTCCCTATCATAATGTGTCTCCCTAAACAAAATGGCTCCTCGTATGTTGTATTCCTCGCCTTCTATCGCCAGTGTCCCAACTGAAACCTGATTTAAATTAACTGTGGTTTTTCGAATCATGCTAGAGGGGCGACAAACATCATCCGGCATCGTGATAAGCCGACCGATCTGCGGTATGGAAGACCTCGTGAAAACTGCAGCGCATCGACTATTAGCTTCAGCGACAGATATGGGGGATTTGCATTTGTATGTACCACGCGCAGTTTGAAAGGGCCAAATTCAACCGTACATATGTGTAGCGGGCCAATATAAACTTGCGGTTAGGCTCTCGAGGTAGGGGGAAACGACGGTAGCGAGTACTGGTGACTTCAAAACCAAAAAGGAAAAGTGACAGACACAGAGACTGAAATTTGAAAGGCTATTGATATTCGTGGTAATGGTTCAATGTCTCTCAGTTGCCGCTCATTGTTGGATGAGAGAATCTTTAAGAGGGGTTGAAGAAAAGAGTGTCATGTGATGTGACGGTTGCCCCACTTCCTGACGAGGTGGAAACACATCGGGCACCAAGGGTAAATATTTGACTGGGCCACGAAACCACCTCAGGCCCGGTTTTCCCGTGACAACATTAGGGGTTTTATCAAATGTCAGCTCGTCTACGCAATTCCCAAGAATGGGTAATCTCCAGATCACAGTCTTATTTTGGGACTTCACACAAGGGCTTGTCAAGACACAGTGAGCCTGGACACTGAAGTACCTGAGAAGGAGATGGCTGTCTCGAACCGAAGCTGCAATATAAGCGCAACGTGATCTATCAGCAAGGTTCTTTGATCGGATAGTAGCGTTATAATTGGCCGACTGCCACACACTTCCTCCACATTGGAGACTTATATGGGTTTTCTTCCTATTCCCGTATTTGCTCTGTTTGTGCAGCTCAAGAATCCATACGATTCTCTATCGACGGTTCCCTCCATGGGCTTGAAATAAGTTTATTTCTAACTCTAGGGCCTAGGGGTACTACCGCACATAATTGAGACACAGAAAATGAAACTTCGTGAACCGTGATAAGAATTTCCCATCCCGCTATCAGGGTAACCAAGTAACCAAGGAAATTGATGGCCTAGACAACATAGCAGACATACCGTCAGCCTAGATCAATTGATCGTTTGTTACAAAGCATAAATAAATCAGGGATGGCGCTCACCTTCTGGGATCGGCTATATGTCTCAGGGCCAGGGTTTAATGTTGATGCAGAGCTAACCCATTTGTTCTGCGCTCTGAGGCTTAGAGGTGTAAATCGAAATGACAACCTTTCTTAGGCTTATTATGGCGATCTGGAGCTATCGAGGAATAAGTGACTGGGCTGCCAGTATAGTAAAGTACACACCGTCATAAGTTGGGTCCACAAACGTGGTATTATACACACGAGGATTATTGAACCCAGTGTATGTAGAAAAACCCCTATTGACCATATTGACGCTATCCACAAAGCTTTTTGATGCTTAGGTGCCGTGTGGTCTGGTTGCCGCCAGAATAATTTGAAAGTATTGGCTGGAATTGGCCTGGACTTCATGCAGACGGCCCAGGATTGGATGAACTGGGCATTAACGAAGCATACACTAGCCAGAATGTTTGCCGTAAATAACGGCAGCAGGGTATTTTGATACTGCTGAAACAAATATTAGAGATGAAAATCGTTGATGAAGCGGCTATTTGAAACTCACAGGCAGAAACATGGCCAATAAAAGTACGGTAATTGTACCGGCGAAGAACAAGCCAGCAACCATATGAGTTAAATCTGATTGCAAAGTAGACACACAAAGATACTATAAAAGTGTTAGGGTAGCCCTCCTTCTATGTCACTGCACTTACCTCGTTCAAAGCAAGCAAAAGCAGTACACTGCCGATCTCTGAACGAAATATGAAATCTGGAATCTGATTTAGAGTAAATAATGAAACTAATCTTGTTGGGCTACTCACCATTTTCGGAATTTGTTTCTTGAATTGCGAGTGGAATGGAGGCTATTGACCCAAGTAAAATAACTCCACCTATTATAACCTGGCTGAGAATGAGAACCTTCTTGCGCCACCCCGGCTGATTCAAAAGCTCATTCGATAGGAGCCAGAACGCAAGACTTGTCGCTGAACAAATCAATGCTATTGTTGATGCGATCAGTTGAAATATTAAGCCAAGATCCATATTTCTGGTTTTCAGTTCCCAAAGATCATTGAAGGTGGCACTAGCCATTCTTTAAATAGAGATAATGGTCCTTTCCTAATAGTCTCGTGACTCGCTCTTCTCTCTCTCCTACCATACGGACTATCTCGTGATGACTGGAATAATGCATGCATGAGAGGCCTTCTTCATCCAATCTTATGATTAATCGTGGTCGGTCGAACACGCTTGGTGTGGTGTTTTGACTATGAGGTTGAGGGATTTCGATTTGTGAATACGAAAGTGAGGCATCACTTACATGGTAAAAGATTAGGCAAGAAGCAACTTTCGTTAAAATTTTGAAAGTAATATACTTATGAGAGAGTGTGGTGGTCACTCGATTGCTGTTGGCTGAGTCGAATTCAGCTTATAATAATCCTAATAAGGTATGGCGGCTTACGTAGCTTTGGACTGAATATTGAAGGACGGAATCATAATGCAATCATCATTTGATGAATCTCAAAAAGATGCCACTTATCAGATTTTGCTCAATACGATGCATGATATGCAAGATGTAGCACATTCTAACGCAAAGCGATGCCAAATTTAGTGGATAGAGATAGACAATGCCCGAGAATCACTGAGGTCTCCGTTCGAGACTCTATCGCCCGTTCAATGGGATCCTCCGAGGGGGCACTATTATGCTTCTGTCTGAGTTCTCCGTATGGGGTACACTTGACAACGCGAGATGCCTTTGCATATGCAAGGTCTATGAGAGTTTACTTTCTTTGGTTGTTCATCCCATATCCCAGATATAAAGGAGCATGATGCTGCAAAGCGATTAGCTCTAATTATTCAAAATCCCTCTACCTTCCTGCACCCATATCATATCTTTCGGGATTATTTTTTTATCTGCAATGAACTTCATCAGTGGAGGTGGCTCCAGCCCTGCCCAGATGTCTCTTATAGATATCCTCTTTCCCGGTCTCAGTGTGGTCTCTGCCTCTGTGCAGCAGCTGCTTGCTGGTAACCTGGACAGCTACACTCGACTTTTTTGTACCTTGGGAGTGTTTGTCCTCTTCACCCGCTATGCAGTCCGCTATGTTTGGGACCTAGTGAGAAGCTACTTTAGTTCGTAAACCTCATGTTGAGATGGGATGAGTCTAACAGTCAGCAGTGTCGACACTTCATGTCTCATATTATGATGAAGCATACGATATGCTGGTCGATTGGATAGCTCAGCAACCATTCGTCCATAATGCCCAGTCATTAATAGCCCGTGTGAGATCTCCGCAGCGGACAACCATTCAAAACCAAGCAAAAAAAAAACCCTTGACCTTTTCTCCTTGGGATGGGTCTTTTCCTTTCTGGTATAAAGGACATCTGCTCATCCTTTACTGCATGGTTAAGGACCACCGAGAAGACATTTATATCTCCTCCATCGGGCTCTACCCAAACATTCTCAAAGAGCTTGTTGAAGAATGTCGAGGAAGATATCTCAACAACATCAACAAAAAAATCACCGTCTTTGAGCACCGTGAAGGGGAATGGAAGAAAACTAGGTTGAGAGCAATTCGACCCATCTCTACAGTCATCATGGACAAGCAAGTACAGGATGACCTTTTAGGAGATATGAAGGACTTTCTGGACGAAGATACACAAAAGTGGTACGCCGACCGCGGAATTCCATACCAACGAGGCTACCTTTTATATGGACCTCCTGGGACCGGAAAATCCAGCTTCAGTCTCTCACTGGCGGGAGAATTTGAACTGGATATTTATACGCTTCAATTGTCAGGTATTTCTGACAGCAAACTGATGAAGCTATTTGCTGAGCTTCCACCGCATTGTATCGTTCTCCTGGAAGATGTCGACGCTGCTGGAATGGGTCGCAGGGACGATGCCGATACAGACCAAGAGAACAATTCAGGCTCTGGAGTTACTCTATCCGGCCTTCTTAATGTCGTTGATGGTGTGTCTTCTCAAGAAGGTCGGGTGCTCATCATGACAACCAATCATATCGAACACCTTGATGAAGCACTTATTCGGCCTGGCCGTGCGGACAAAAGAGTGCATTTTAAGCTTGCCGATGGGAAAATTTCCGCTCAACTTTTTCACACGGTCTTCAAGCAGACGCCTGATCACAAGCAAGCCAAGAAACAATCTAGTGACGAGACGATCGAGAGGCTTGCTAAGGACTTTGCTTCAAAGGTACCAGATCAAATTTTCAGTCCAGCCGAGGTTTTGTCATTCCTATTGGAGCGGAAGAACTCTCCTTTTGATGCTGTTACTGCTGTGGAAGGCTGGGTGGCGAAAGCAAAGGAGACAGCCAGCCAACTGAAGAGGGAGGGTTCTTGGGTGCAAGAAAGCGGATGTTAAAGATGATGTGAACAAAATGGTGAAACCGGCGGTAACAGGTTGCCAGACTCGGTCACCTCGTCAATTCGCCGCTGGGCTGAAAGCCTCAATGACGTCACTCGTATTTTCTTAGGCCTTTACGGTACCTTGTTCCCTACTGATTATTTTGTTCGCCGATCTATAGGTCGCCGCAATGTTGCTTCCTCTGTTTTCGCTCATTAATCCTTGAACGCAATAATTGACTGCAGTTTTCCTTTATTAGTAAGCAATGGTCTGAAGTTCTGTATGCCTAATGCTAACACGCGTCGAGTTATAGCCAGTACACTGTCTAGTTGCAGAAACACTCCATGATAATGTATTATGCAATCGCTAAGCCAATGCTGGAAACAAGCAATCCTGCACACAGAACCTGTAAACGTTTTACACCTCTCGACTCTTTCCTGTACAGTCGTTTCTTTGCCTGTTCAAGGTGATAACGAGGCCGCTTGAAGTGCATTGTGCATTGTACCATTGTTATATACAGACAACGGCTGAACTGGACGGCCACTTTTGCTTATTTTTCTGCGCCCCGGCGATATAGGCGCCCCGTGTATTGCCAGATGTTGGTCGGAGGGGTCGAGGCCGCTTAAGCCATTTCATGTCCTCCAAGTCAATAACAACCAAACGGCCGGTCAATTCATCCCACAGCATATTGCGCCACTCACTGTCGCTGTGGACAACTCCGTGCGACCGGAGGATAGCCAGAGCTTTCTCACGCTCCTCACGGAAGAAACCCAAATTCTTGTCGTTGATCACCTGCTAAAGCCGAGTTCCAGACCAGCTTAAGATCATCATATAGGTCATCAATTCGCCATGGTACCAGTATGCAACACGCGGCTCAAAGTGTCCTAGACAGACCGGGATGTGATATCCTTGCAAGCTTCGGAGGTGGCGATAATTATCAACTTCCGCTTAAAGGATATACTGCTTCTCCGTAGTTGTGGCTTTGATAACTACTGTGTATCCGTAAGATAACAAAGTCGCTTTCACGAGGTAGCCCGTCCGACCACAGATATACAGCGGTTCAAACTCCTTGTTTCGATCCTGGACGAGTTGTTGGATAGTATGTTCAAAATAGTCACTAAGAGAAGAAGAATTGCTGACTGGCAAAGGCCTGAACAACACCCTGACTCAGTTTTATCGTTATTATGGGCGCGTTTTTAATCCAGAAGATTAGCTTGGTAGGAACCCCTACCATGAGGCATTCTTTGATGACAAGGAAGAGTGGATGGTCAAATAATATGCATGCTGGACTGCATGTCTTTAGTGGTTGAGCAGCAATTGCTGTACGAAAAACATCAACATCGATAGGCAGAACTCCAGCGTCATCTGTGACGACTAGGCCATGCCACTATGCTTGCTATTAATGTGTTGCCAAAATCGGGAACAAGGGCTCAGGGTTAGGGTTGGGGGCATCCTACTAGGCATCTAGCTTCCCAATCGGTCTCTTTCTTTCTTTCTTTCCTTCTTTTCCACTCCGTCTTGTTGTTCTTGTATGAATGCGCTTCTGCTAGGTCTTCTCCCTTTCCTGGTAGAACTTGGCGTGTCACATCATCTCTCTCAACATACATCTTGATACCCATGGAGGCGGTCTAGGCTTTTCGGATGGTAGAGAGACCCACAGTCATGTTGCCCAGTCTGCGATTCCAGGAAACTGACTAACTATTCGACCCATGGACACTATGGCCCCCACATGGCGACTCGCCCACAACCCACTAGCCTGATCTGGAAAGGCCCAGCCCGCCCTTCGAGGGCGATTCGCCCAGCCCCCGCCGTCTATATGGCAGTTCCTACGTAGGATGCCCCGAAGTTCCTACAGGATACCCGCTATTGAGAAGAGATGTATTTCAGGTTCTAATGCCATTACGGGGATGTATAATATGGTATATTCACATGAAGACTCACGACGGTATTTATGGGAAGGCATTGATGCCGTGCCGGCTGGCGAATAGGTAACGTACGTGATCTCTGGCGTATTTCTGCCCGTCGAACGATTGGCTCTCTAAGGCCTATCTGTGTAAGGTTGTTCACAGCGAAACGCCCGTGACTCCGATTTGACCCTTCCCCTGTGGATCCTTCGAACTTGCGCAGTTGAACAATTTTGACTAAAGCCTTCAAGAGGACCTGGAATTTGCAGTCGGAAACGTCTGAATTGGCCCTCATAATCATGACTCTGTTTAACCGTTTAGAACTCGGCTTAGTGCGAACCCTTCCCATAAGGTAAGCCATCCTTGTGGAACGGATAGCCATGAGGAATAATACCCCCACGGAAACTCCCCTACAAGGACGGATTGGGCATACGGGAATCTGTCCCCGTGGCCCTTTCTATTCCCCAATGTAGACGGGTATCCTACGTAGAGTCTCTATATAGCAGTCTCTATGTAGGATACCCGTCTATATGGTAGTCCCTACATTGGCGGACAAGAAATTTCTCTACGTAGCCATTTGAGCATCGATCCATTTCAGGAAGAATTCTTTCGACTCTCCATCCGCGTAGTCTGTCTTTGGACCGGCAAAGACAAATCTTACTTCTCGTCCTATTTCCCAAATATCATAATGTATAACTAACTAAAAAAGAGAACTTCTGGCGATGCGAAGTCGCCAGGTGGGGGGCATGGTGTCATGGATTCGAGCAACGCCAAGAGCAGCAAAAACAGCGAAAATGAGCAAAATATTCTTTACATCTGGGAATTCGAGAAAAAGCGCATTTTATTTAAATCTTATCTTCGGACCCATAGATCAGGACTAGCCTGGAATTACTTGCAACGGTCACATAGTATACGAGGACGGGTCGCCGAGGGATCAAGCGAGACACAGTAGTAGCTGTGGGCTTTTGCCGGTTGAGCAAAAATAATAACTAGACCTAGGGGTAGTATTGTGTGGTTGCTTGTGCTTGCTTATGCGATGCATTGATGGCGCTTCTTGGGCGGCTCGCTGCTGGAATAGTGTGGTGGGTGGTTCTCAGGGAAGCACAGGCCAGGACGAATAGCGACTGCCATCAGAATTTAATAGGTATCAAGCCCCTGAGGAGCTTATAGTATCTTCCTCCTAGGAATAGCTCGGCTTTCCTGGGAGCACTGGTCTTCCTAGGAGTATCGGTTATCGGCTCCTAGGAGCAAACCAATCTCCTGAGAGTGTATCTAAATAGCTCCCAGGGGCACCAATTGGGAATTAAAAAAGACCACGAAGACAGAGTTCCACCTGCCAAATCCATCCTTGTGGAGGATAGTCCCCTAGGGCTACTATCGCTTATGCCAATTCGACCCATAAGGGTGAAAGTTCTTGCGGGACCTCCCTCCCCAAGGCCAAAATCCCCTAGGGGAATCTTTGCATGGGGTAAACACTGCCGAGGGGTGTTATTACCCCCGGGATATTACTAGGGTACTACTAAAGGGTGGACTTTTATTTTGTCTTTCTGCCTTAGGAAGTTCTCTTGTGGTTATGCGGTAATTCGCACTGTCGATGGGACTTTTTACTGGCACAAAGCAGTAGGGCTTCCTATACTTCCTATTACAGACTCGAATTATTATAGGATTTGATGTTTCTCTCTTTGAGGAGAATAAAGCAAAAGCTATGGTCAACGAGTGAATAGGGTTATTGCTCATTTGTCTAGTTTAGAAATTGCTCTCGTCTTACCCTGTAGAGAAAGTTCCTTGAAGACAGATTATTATATCTTCCTGCGGCCATGAGCGTATATTTAGGTCGCAAAAAGCTCCTGAGACTCCCAGCAGTGGAATCATGAAGGGAAAGACTACCTAAAAGGAAAGGGATCTTCATGCTGCCGGAACAGTCAAATACTACAAATGGGCAAAGGCGGAATAGCGACTTGTGTAGTTAGTTACCCACTTGGGGCCACTGTTTCCGGGTTTCCGTTTCAAACCGTAACCAAAGGGGATAGAACAGCGTTGCGCTCCGAAAAAAAAAAGTCGCAAGAGCAGGGTATGAGTAACCATCTGAAACGGAACCCTTGGTAACTAACGAGTAGCCGAATGCACTGGGTTATCGGGCGTGGCTAGCTTATTGCCACGGCCATTTTGACGTGCAATGATAGCAATGGGTGAGTAAATCAATAGGCGGAAACTGCTATATGGAAAAAGTACTACGCCCATGGACGGGGAAAGACAGTGTCTTCGGGCTGATCAGCAGCTGGGTCGTGGGCGTGAATTTGTCTTGGCTTGGATACAGGGGCATTTCACCGACTAATCCCACTTAAGGAGCAGTGCGATGTTACAGATCATTACACGTGAATACCGTTCATTCCTTATTTCATAGTATTTAGACCGAGAAACTCCTGTTATGTATCAGTGTATATATCGTTCTGCGGCATCGTTTCGGGGTCGCAGCCCTACAGCCGGGCTCGGTCCCCATATTACGTTGGCAGTTCCCAACCACTAAGTGGAAACAGTTCTATAGCCAATAAAGGTACCGGTACCTTTCTAACGGTTGGGTCGTTGTGACCTTTAGTGCAGCTGGATATTATATGCTTTGCTAGACTATGGGCCTATTTAGGTATAAGTGGGTGAACACCAGTCTCCTACATTTCAACAACAGGGCCATCCTGTCCAATTATCGCAAGGTGGAAATGAACGAAGGAGCAATATCTTTTTCTAAACTTTTAGAGGGGGTTCATAGTCTAAGCCAATAATAGCCGAACATTATTATGATTGCGTACTGCTTTGGTGCTGCCAGGGAGGCTAGTAGGACCAGGAGGCCAGCAAGACCAGAGAGGCCAGGAGGACCGGAGAGGCTAGGAGGACTAGAGAGGCCAGCAAGGCCAGAGAGGCCAGGAGGACCGGAGAGGCCAGCAAGACTCGGAGGGACCCACCTCAGTGCGACAGTCAAGTCCCTAAGGCGTGGCGAGCCTTTCTAATCGGCACTAGGTAACAACCTAGATTTCTTATTGATACGTAGGCTCTACCCTCTTAGTTATACCAATATTATTGAAAAATGGTCTGACTTCCCGTGTCTTATGCAGACCACAGTCTCCACGGTGTTGGTCCAAGACAAGGAGCTGTTCGTGGGACCGGAACTATCCCACAACAGGCCACGGTTTCTGGGAACTGGTAATCTGTTTAGGACCAGCGAAGACCAGTCTGACCTCTTGCGCCACAAAACAATGGGTATCAACAGGAGGTCTGGCGATAAGGGTGGGCAACGAAAAATCGGGGAAGAATTAAAACGAGAAGCATGGGCAACTGAAACATGAGAGCAGCGATGAAGGCCCACAAGTAGATGGCTGGTATCTTCACAGCGAAACGCCCGCGACTCCCACTCGACCCCTCCCCCGAAGATCCCCTTCCGACGATTTGGAGATTGTCCTTTTCGAATTTGTGTAGTTGACCAATTGTCACTAAAGCCTTCGAGAGGACGTGAAATGTGCAATCGGAAACATCTGGATTGGCCCTCATAATCATAACCCCTGTTTAACCGTTTAGGCCTCGGTTCAGTGAGAATTCAATCCTTTTCAGGGGCTCATTCTTTTCACCACCTTCCTCATTTAATAGCTTCATTTTTGCTGGTCAACTTCTGAAGCTGGAAGATGAATCAATCAGACGGGTCTCTCTTTTCGGTGCGGCACAACGTTGAAATGCTGTGGCAATAACCTCGCTACACCCGTTTCGCGACCGTGATGCACTCTGGCTAACCTCCAAGCTGGGGGAGCCGTTTCAGTGGTTCACTCATAAACTGAAAAGGTGCGGCAGTTTTCTGCGACGCGGTATTTCTTGATCATCTTTGGCCATGCTTGCAACTCAGAAACCGTGGCCTGCTGCGAGTATAGATATTCGCTATTGCGCTTTTTGCCATTTGCAGCTATTAACAATCCTTGGAAGTCACTTACTCTGTCCACGAACCTGTGACTATTTAAAGGGCTGATTTCCTTAGCCTTTTTTTTTTATTTTTATTTTATTTTTATTTTATTTTAATTATATCCCTACAATCAGCTAAGAATATTTTGAGTCATCTCCTAATTCGTTGGGTCTCCGCTTAGAAATGGCTGCCACGCCGCCTTCTCGATCGAATCGATCTATTTCGAACAGAAAATTAATGCGCCAGAAACAAGGTCGTCGCAAATCAAGTTTGATGAAAAAGGCATGCGAATATAGCAAGATATGCGATGCAGATGTCTGTTTGGGCATACGTCTTCGGGAGACGGGCCAAGTTTTTGTCCTATCAGCGGATGCTACGGGATTTTGGGCTTTTCTTGGCTCGCAATTAGTATGTCGCCAATGCTTTCTCTGCCGGAAAGACGACTGACCTGTCTAGGCCTCTTATTACCCAACCCCGAATTTAGTAACAGATCGGGACCTACAGCAGGTTGAGGAAGGTACCATGTTCAACAATGTCACACTTGAACAATAGATTGCAATGATTGATTCATGCCATTTGCGCTAGCGAGTCAATACAGCCGTGCTGTTTCAATATTAAATTCATGCACTCCAAGCTGAGTAGTCCCACTGTAATCCCAGGCAAACCCCCATCTTTTGGCCCTCTTCATACACAGCATTTTCCTATATAGGATTTTCCAATCAATCCTGCAGAGAGTCTAAAAACACGATGTAGAGAGCTTTAGTTAGGTTTCAGGTTGATGATTAATATCCTCCGCCATCTCACGTCACGACACGATTTTCCTTGGCCTTAGTTAAACTCTGTTATCTTGTAAAGTCCGTGGCCTGGCATAGGAAACAAGCTATCACAAGCCTAATGGCTTTGGGAAGAACGGCTGGGCTAAGATAAGCCGAGATCAGGGAAACGTAATGTGACGTGAGAAACGAAGCCTGATGGCGTCAAAAGAATAAACCGTAGCCTGGCGTAGGAAACAAGCTATCGTAGGCTGTGGCCTGTCGTGGGATGGTTCTCATCTCACGATAACGCGAGTCGTAAGATACCCAGGGATATCTAGAACCGTGGCCTGCCGTAGGATAGTTCTCATCTCACGATAACGCGAGTCATGAGATACCCAGGGATATCCAGAAACCGTGGCCTGCCGTAGGATAGTTCTCATCTTACGATAACGCGAGTCGTGAGATACCTAGGGATATCCAGAAACCGTGGCCTGCCGTAGGATAGTTCTCATCTTACGATAACGCGAGTCGTAAGATACCTAGGGATATCCAGAAACCGTGGCCTGTCGTGGGATAGTTCTCATCTCACGGTAACACGAGCCGTGAGATACCTAAGGTCTAGTATGGGATAGATCTGATCCCTGATGGTGCCTCGAGAATATGCCCAATCTTGACTAATTTTAGCTATCTCATGACGTCATTAGGCTTACGATGGCTCATTTCCTACGCCAGGTCATGGTTTTCCCATTCTTTGAGATTCCATACGCTCTTCTCACGGCACCATTTATTTTATTTTTTTTAAAGAAAAGTATATCAAGAATAAAAGAAGTGGCACATCAAGAGAGGCCAAAAATGTCCCGCATCGGCCTCAAAATGGTCGGTGTTATAGCTAAGATTGAGACTACTACAAGGGCGTTCCTGAAATTGCTTCTTATCCGGTCCCTGCGGTAGGTTGAAAACATAGACAAACATTGCGTGCCACTTAGTCTCGCTGTGATGGAACGCAGAAATATGATCGCCCCTGTGGACAACCAAAAGACCGTGCAAATCATGGCTTTCCATAGGGTAACACAGCCCAAGTGGGCTACTGAGCCGCGTGGTAGACCAAAGATGACGCAAAACTATGGCCACCGCTAACGTACTATATCCCACGCGGGCTATCGAAAATGAACGATAAATGCAAAATTATGATCCTTTCTAAGGTCTTACAGCCCAAGCAAGTTATTTTGCTCTGGACACCAATCATGAGCTTCTAAGGGCCTATGCGTTATGACGGTCAGTGCTCCCTATATTTAGCTAGGTGTCTTATCCGGTGACAGCGCTATCGAATTTAGCGTTGGGTTAAGCGTCCCTTTGGTATTTAGTGTTCCCGTGCGTATTTCTATCGCTTCAACTTCTTGCTATTTTTCGCCCTTCTGCTCTTTCTCTTTTCCCTATCCTGATGCACGTCCTATTGCTGAGGCATTTTTGTCATTAATCTATATCATGAGCGGAGCTCTGTCACCCCTCCCCCTCTGCTCACTACCCAGCATGCGCCTTATACCCACCCCGGGCTCGAAGATTAACGCATTCCTAGGAGTAAATCGATTGCACAGTTGGTGGCTCTGCATATTAACCTATAGTGCATGAAAAGAATCAGATTGGCATTGTAAGTTATCATAAGAGACCAGCTCTACTAATGTACCAGCATGCAGCAATCATGAATCAAAATATAGAGGCCATAAGGGCAATTCCAAATCTCAACCATTTCTGTGAATCCCTGGCATAAATAGACAGAGCATGAGATGTGATCTAAATTGAGCCAAGTGCAGATGGAGGCAAGCGTGAGACAATCCCATGTGCTCTTTTCGCATGATTCATCAAAAGCGCCTTGCTCCCAAGTTCTTCTCCACAGATAGTACACTGGCTATGCATGTCTTTCGGGAAAGGTCTGATATGCCTGTTCACGAAGTGCCGGGTAAGGGAGCCAGGGTTCTTGAATACCTCCAATCGCTCTTTTCCCGGTAGCTTGGAATTCCCAAGGCAGAGAAAGCAAATCTTCGGTCTTTCACCTGGAGATTTGATGCAAACTGACGCGATCGCTTGGCGAAGAGCGCTCTCACTCTCGTCTTCAGGGGAGGACTTCTGTCGTTTAACAAAAGTAGTGGATGGTAAGGGTAGGGCATCCACAGCATCCGTGGCATCACGTTTTCTGGAGACGTAGGGCCGCGACGGAGCACCCTCCTCCACATCACAGAATGCAATCACAGCATTGATCGCAGCAATCCGACGCTGATATTCCTTTTCCACCGTGGTAGCCGGCATAGTTAGGACAGTGTCGATTAGCATCATATGCTGTGGGGTCATATATCCGGTATGCTCCAGAGCATCTATCACTTCTTCGTCCACTATCTTCCCGGAAAGTTGCCGTTCGCTGTCAATGACTGGCTGCTCATTCTTATATCGTTCCAGGTTCTCACGGATCAAACAGTTCCGTTGCCGTCCTTTCTCATTTCGTAACTCACGGAGGGCCCTTTGATACCGGCGCTCCGCACGTTTGAACTTTTTCTGGGATTTCTTCACGTTCTTGAGCGATGAATCATTTTGTGGAGAGTCGCCCTCAAACGCTTTTTGAAATATTTCGTTCAAATTCTTATAAGCCCGCTTGTTCCTATCCCGAATCTGCCTCCGTGCATCTACCGCCTCTTGCAGGGTACACACTCGTGGGATGGCATTGATAGAACTCGAGTCTTCCAGCTTGTAGGGTCTTCGGGGGTCAATAGACCGGCTCATGGAGCTTGCGAAGCGCATGAGCTGCTTCTGGGCTGGTAGGCCTCGGACAATCGCTTGCGCGTCAACATGGATGCCTACACTGTAGTGCCGGACGAAGGTGTCAATGTTGGTATGCTGTAGCATCACGTTCTGTAGTTCATTGGTCACATCGGCTGTTTCATACCGACCCAATAAGATTAACTTAGGAGCCCAGAGAGAAAATATGGAGATACTCACGATTATCATTGAACGCTTTAGCTGCTCCGTATCGCAGGCCATACGGCTTCGTGACCTCTGCAAAACCAGTGATCTCACCCCCTCGCTTCATCCGATATCGCAGTGATCCCTCCGACAGTTGCTCGTCCAGGGCAATTCGAAAGCCGTCTGCTTCCCGAATCGCCTGACAGAATACAAATTGATCGAGGATTTCGTCTTTCAACTTCAGTTCCTGCTCACCGAGCCCGTTCAAGACACCAAGACTATAAAGATTTTCCGGACAGTCCACGACGCGCCCGTCCTTCGAAAAATTCTTGAAAGCTCTAATGCGAAAGAGCATGCCCAGGAGAAAAACGTGTGGACTGAGGACGAGGGTCGGATCATAGATAATTTCCGGGATAGGGAACGTATTTCTGTAATAGGTAATTAGCCAGAGATCTGTGGAAAGGTCTTTATACGGTCACAAGACAAAGGGGAGGGAAAGAAATAAGCGGGAATAGGGAGAGGGAAGAGGGGGAAAGAAACATACGGCTCCTTCTTGCCAAGGAAAGTCTTCGTGAATTCTGGCGTCAGGTAAATGAATAACCGAGGGCACCCTCCATCCGGATCCCGGATCAGGGTCAACGAGAGGTCTCGATAACGAAGGTTCAGAAGCGCCCCAGGACGGCTACCAGTGATAGCGGCTAGCTGACAGAAAAGGAGGAGTTGGATTCGGAGCCAGCCATAAGGGAACGTCATCTCGGTTGTCGAAAGGATCACACGGGCGAACTCTGCGACGTCCTCGATATACATAGTCGCTTTCGGTCGGCACCCAAGACGGAGCTTCTTTTCTTCAGCAATAATCGCGAGTACCTACGAGCCATCAGCCAGGGTCTAACTTTCCTAGAACACTGACTAGTAACTCACATCTTCGATCTTAACAATGGTGTCTTTGCTGAGCCCGTGCCCAACTTCGGCCTTGTAAACCAAGTGCCACCACTTCCAGAATGTCTCCAGTGAGCTCTTATACTTGATACCCGGTGTGCGTCGACCATCCTTGCTCCGTCGCTGGCCACAGCGCCAAGAGAAAAGAGCTTTTAAGAATCGTACGGTCTCAGTTGAATCAGAAAGCCAGTGGAAGCATTTCACGGGATCTTGATTTCCACCCTGACAGAACCTAGTGGAATAAACTACTAGTCAGCGCTGAAGGTAGATTGCCTGATGGAAAATACTTACCGGTCCCAGTAATCCCGAGTCTCGTCCAGTTTATTCTGAGTCCTAGGACTGTATCTTTGTTGTCGGAGCTGCGACACATCGAGATTCTCAGCCTCTTGGAGGTAGTACTCCGGTGTAGGTTGTTCCTCTTCGTCACCTAGGATCGAGTCATCATCTGATTCATCATCTGATTCGATATCGACGCCTAGATCAGGGTCGCTAGAGGAGGAATCGTCCTCGGAGGCATCGTTTGAGAAGATATCAGGGAGATCCGTGCTGGCATCACTCTCATCACCCGACAAAACTGGTCGAGAAGGGCGAGGCATAGGGAGGGTTGTAAATAGATACAAAAGGAACGAGGAATGGGGTATGGAAATGATCAAAGCTTATGTTCTTTAGGAGCGAGCGGTCTGCTGGAGGAAAAAGTATAAGGTGGGAGAGTCGTTGGGGGAGTGAGGAAGGGCGAGCAACTGGACGCTATGGCAGCTGATCTTTATGGAATCGCAGCGAAAAGAAGGGAGCCATTTTTGGCTCCCCCTATGAGGGTGAATGAGGGTGACCGAGGACGGGGCCTGCGGCGGCTGCATCACGAGTGGACACCACAGACTAGGCACCACGCATGACCAACGAGATGAAGGGTGGAAGTAGGCTTGTTGGCCGTGGGCATTGGCACACGTGACACCAAGGCCCGTGCCGGTGAGCGAGACGCTTAAAACGGCGTCAAGAGCGGCCGATTTTGGCCTCCAACTCACCGTGTCATCGTTAAATAGAGAACTCTTAGTAAAAGTAGCTATAATTTACTATTTATAAAGTAAGGAGAGAAGTAAAGTAGTAAAGAGAAGAATAATATATTAAATAAAAATATATTCTTAATATATTATTTTAATTACAGTGTATAAAATTAAAAGTATTCGCTAGAATTGGTATTTAATCCAATTGTGGCCTGAACTTCTAAATGTGGACCGAGGTAAAATCAAATGTTCATCGACCCACTTTCAAATGTTCATTTGACCTGCAAGCTCGTAGTCACAGACCTCTGTGACTACAGCTGGGACCACCATTACTCGAAACCTCAGACCACCATTAAGGTCACGTGTCGGTCACGTGTAGACCCGTAACCGTTTTGGGACTAGTTCTAATGGGGGTCCCACCTCTCAGATTCTCCACTTAGCTTACCTTACCTTACTACCTCCCCCCATATTTCCAAGTCCACGAATACAGTGTTTTTACCTGTTTTCTTACCTCTCTAAACCTACTTCTTAACTAGGAAGTATCCAGTTCCCTTTCCCCCGAATCCTCGATCAACAAACGGTAGCAAGATGGCGAAAGTCAAGAAAAACGTGAGTTAACTAGTTCTGAACTTATTCTGGGACTTCAAAACTGAGAGATTCGCAGCTCAACTTCCAACGTTACCTCGACCTCAAGAAGGAAGACCTAGATCTCCCTTCCCTTGAAGAAGATGTTAGTTAACTAGTTGTGAATTATTTTAGGGCTTCGAAACTGAGAGATATTACAGACAAAGGGGTACTACACTGTTGAGGTCGGGGAACGTTATTGTCGGGTGGAGGACTGCGTCAACGACGTAAGTTCTTACTTTTCTTTCACTTTTCTTTATTCTAAACTAGTTACTAACTACTCCTAGACTCTCTTCACCTCCACCAACAACCTTCGCAAGCACATCCTGAAGCAGCATCCTGAGGTGCTTCTGACTGGCGAGGAATCGGGTGGTCGCCCTACGCAGACCGAGGAAGCTCGCGCTATCAGTAAGTGTGTAGATACCGATTAAATTAACTAGTTCTTGACTAGTTAATTTAATCGGGTTTTTTAATATTTCCTTTATTATTCTATGTTTATAGAACTATTTACTAACTAGTTTATAGAGTTCTACAACGACATCATGAAGGCCTACGACGATCGCGAGGCAGAGAAGGAGGAGGTTTTGCCTGATCTTCCCCTCAAGAATGATGGATCGGTAAATATTGTCCTATATCAGTTTCTAACTAGTTCTTTTGCTAATATTTTTAGGTGAATATTACCAAAATGCGTCGCGCTATCCGGGCTATGAAACTTCCTGTGCCTTGCGAGGTCTGCAAGGACAACGACCAGCCTAAGCGTAAGTACTCTAAAATATTGTAAACAAAAGAGGTTCAACTAGGTACTAACTAGTTTAGTCTGCTGCCACGACGACGTCAAGGACACTTGCGAACACTTTGATATGTTCGTCGACCCTCGCGATCAGGAGGATGATGGGGATGAGGCTTAGAGCAAGGAGCTAGTTTGTAACTAGTTTTCCTAGTGGTTTCTTTTTTTTGTTTTCTTTTTTTTGCTATGGTGGTCATTGAACTTACACGGCGGATTTTAAGAACTAGCTCTTAACTAGTTCTTGGACATACTATGACCTTTACGAATGCAAATGATAGTTACACGTCTAAGAACCAGCTCTTAACTAGTTCTTAAATTCCAAGAACTTTATGAATGCAATGATAGTTATATATCTAAGAACTAGCTCTTAACTAGTAAAATACTAGTAAGGCTTATTCAAGAAGTTCACCCTTATAATTCTTACTTTAAATTCTGCAAGCTTTTATATCTCTAGCTCCACGTTCAGAGTATAGGAAGGTAAGGCTATACTAGGAGCTCTAACTAGTTACGAACTAGTTAAAGCCTAGTTTTGTTCTTGTAGCTGCCTAAGCCGGATTTGCATCTCTGCACGCTCTAGTTGTAGTTGTATCTCCTCCCGTTCCAGACGTAATTGTCTCTCCCGATTATCCGCCTCTATCTTCGCTGTTTCGGCTTGGAATCGCTGCTCTCGGGCAGAGACGCTAATTTCCTCTCGTTGGCTTTCCGCATAGCTATTTGCAGCCGCTGTACGTCGAAGACCACCACTATCGGGTGTCGAACTAGCTCTGGTTGACCTTAATTTTATAGATTTAGTATATCGCCGAACTAGTTATATTCTAGTTATGAACTAGTTGCACTTACCTTGCGCGACTCTGTGAGCGTCTTGGTGTCACTGATCTTGATTGCGAGCGGCTTTGTCCTCTACCACGGCTTCGTGAGCGTGGCCTAATATGCCCTGAGGAATCAGCTTCCTGGAGGATACCCTCATCAATAGAATCCTCGCTCTGAAGTGTATCCTCGTATGCTTCGCGACGTCGTTTCTGTCGATTCGCGTCTAATCCGTATGTTAGGGAACTAGTTATTTACTAGCTGGAAACTAGTTCACTCACGGTCTCGCGCGAGATGATTCAAAAATCGGCCTATTTGCGAGGAATCTCGCCACGAGATACTCGTTCCAAACGTCTCTAGGGCTGACATTTGGTCAACATCGTGCTGGTCAAGGTCCCTAGATCTATTGAGAGCGAGTAAGCTTTAACTAGTTGACGACTAGTGATAAACTAGTTTAGCACTTACCCCCGGATAGCCCCTAACAATGAAGTATAAATCCCTGTGAAGTACGACTTCCAGTGGGTCTGTTCTACTGCATTTGTCGAATTCCGAAAGGTATCATAGAACTCCGGGTCTATCAAGGAGCAGGCCTTATTAAGCCCTGCTGCGATTACTGGGTGGGCTTTGTGTGTCGCCCAATCCTTAAACTTCTCATCTTCTTCGTGCTCTGTAACTAGTTAGTGACTAGTAGTCAACTAGTTCCTGGATAGATTTACCTATAATCAAATCGATAATCTCATAGTACTCCGCTTCTGATTTTGCACTAAGGATAGCGTTTAATCGCGTGCGTGATGACTGGAATATTTGGCCATGGTTCGCTGGGACGAGCCGACTAACTGTTCTTAGGAAGTGGACATGGCAGAACATAACAATATTACGACATTGCCAGTCCCATGGTCGTTTGCGAGGATCTTGTTTTTGGAGGAACAGTCCAAAACCTATAACTAGTTAGTGACTAGTTATATACTAGTTGGGAACACCGTATACCTTTGAACTGGGCCCAGTCCATATCAAACACAATAGCTTTTAGTCCCGTATTGTGAAGGTAATAAAACTGAGCCGGTCGTCCTGTTACCTCTCCAACTAACTCGTAGGCGTAGGTGAAGATCGCCTCATATGTATGGGCATCCTCTTTGCGATCTGTTAACACTCGAAGGAGTGTTATAACTTAAATACGTTAGCAAGACCTAGTTGAAAACTAGTTTATAACCAATATAAGGAGACTCACTCTTTCCTTGGCCTATCCTATCGACAAACGTAGCAAAAGTCACCTCGTTAAAGGGGCCTCTCACTCGTTTATAGGACATATCAACCTCGTATGATGGTAGAGTGGCCATAAAGCGTATCTGCGGGTCGAATCCACAGATAATTATATTGCCATATCTCTCATCTTGGTAGATTTTGCGAACGTATTCCTATTAATAGTTAATGGAACTAGTTAGAAACTAGTTGGAAGCTAGTTCCTACCTTGAAGTGCTCATGGTGATTGTATTGAAAGAGGACACCATTTAAGTCCCTTCCTTGAGGGAAATCCAAAGCACGTTGTTTAGCTATAAGCGCTGAAAAGCGGTCATACTTAACAAAGCTAGCATGGACCCCAGAAAGTGTTTCTGTCTCGAACTCTGCGCAGAACTCTTTAAGAGCAGGACTCTTAAGAAAGCTACCTAGGAACTAGTTAATACCTAGTTCCTAACTAGTTATACTAGAGCACACTTACTTAGTGTCATCTCAGGTGCTTGCATTCGTTTAATTAGAGCGAGTACGTCATCAAGAATCGTTTGTGGTGCTTTATCAGGCGGCGGTGGCGGATGGGTATGCTCTTCTCCTCTTGAATACCAGATAATATAGGGAGTTCGCACTAGATCAAGTGGGATATAGGTGCAGAATTGAACCTTACAAGGTAAAACCTCGAAATTCCCTTGGGCCTGTGGGTGAGGAACTCCTATTATATATTAGTTCCTAACTAGTTATCAACTAGTTCGGTGATAGACTTACTACATCGATTCTTTCGTCCTTTGCGTTGCTCGATTTCCGCGCACATCTCGAACGATCTCTCACTGGATCCCTGGATAATATCCCGAAGATGTTCTGTATCCATATCGTTCATTCGCTGTTGGAGGTTGTAGAAGAAATGTTCGTTAGAAGACGGCGTATCAGAAGATGGCGTCGAATTCCTGCATGCAATAAATGGAATAAAGACCCCAGGGATTGTCTAAACTAGTTAGTAACTAGCTCGGGAGTAGTTTGAGTATTTAAGTAAATATACCATTTCCTTATGGTAACCAAATATCAAAGCGCATGTGTCGTTAAAGCTGGTGCCGCAACAATTGCGTTTTTCAAACCTTCCGAGGCTAGCAAAATACATCCTAGGTAGCTATTAGTGAAGGAACTAGTTCGATACTAGTTGCAAACTAGTATGACTTACGCAAGAGCTGCTCTCTGTTTCTTTGTGACTGTTTCGACTCTTTGGAGATGGATTCTCTTTCGCTGTATAGCTCGCCAGGTGCTTTCACTAACGTGGTTGTGATACATATTGCGTAGCTCAGGGTCAAGATACTCGCAAGCTCGTACGCCAGTACAGTGAAACCTTCTTTTCTCGGTTTGGCAGTTAAGAAAGGAGTTAAAACACTGTATAATCGAGCCTTGCATCGAATAAGAGTATTGAACCTAGACAACTAGTTAATAACTGGTTCACAACTAGTTGTATTCGAGCTTTTACCTCTGTCATCCTCTTTATAATCCTATCTCTATCCTTCAGTGTTTCCTCATGCTCACCCGATAGATTGATGACTATTGCATAGCCAAACTCATGCGTTGGCGGGTACTCTGGTAGGAAGTCTTGATGGTCAATTACCATAGCAGACACTGCATCGTTATGACCATTAGTCAAAGGTATTGCACCGGGTGGCTAAGAACTAGTTAGTATATAGTTTCATACTAGTTGGCGGATAGATAATATGAATATATATTTTTGAAGGGGTAGTACCGGGCGGGGCCTTTCGGGGATCGATTCCTCCTCCACACGGCCTAGTGCCTCGTTAAACTCAACTCGCCAGCGTTCAAACTCTTCAATTTGGGCGGTTTCTCGTTCTATTTCTTCCCTATCATCCCAGTCCCGATAAAGAAGGGAGTAGATAGTATTATGCTCATGCGCGAGCCATTGGTCGGGATTAGTCTGGGCGTCCATTGTTGAAAACTAGTTGGTAACGAGCTGGTAACTGGTTTTGGTAGGGTGTAAACAGATTTCAGTTTGTGTGACAAGATAACGATAGAGCTCGGTTAACCATTAGAATCTAATGGTGGTCTGACCTCCCAACACGTGACCAAAAACGTGACTACACGTGACCTTTATGGTGGTCGGAGGTTTCGAGTAATGGTGGTCCGAGCTACCGTCTGAGACCTCTTAGCCCGAACCCCAAAGCTTATCTAATCATATATACACGTAGTATATACCATGTCTATTTGGACCCAAGCCGAGCTGTCGTATTAAAATGTTTGTTATATACGATATCATCATCAATACTCTGGAGGAACAAAACCTTTGCATATAATTCCAATCGGGTATTTAAATAGCAAACAGTTAGCAGCCTAACAAAGAATTGCTATGTGCAAATATTTACCATGAAACAAAATCGTCGAAAGAGTCTGAAGGATTTCTCACATTCTGCAGTCCTTATTTTGGGATCTCTCTTACATGTAGGAATGAGATCGAAATCCCTGGATTCAAAAGAAAGGATAGATCAACAAGGCATATACTGTAAATATGCATTCCTTGTCGCGGTGAGGGGGAAGGGCCGTGATGGTTCAGACGGTAAGGAATCTCGCCCCCTCGAAAGCGACCATACCAGAGTGCAAAGTATAAAAAGCTACAAGTAAGCACTGCGAACGGGCACACTGAGCCGCTCGCAGCCTGCCTGCCAACCACCCCTGTTACACAGTTAATTTGATTGAGTGGCTTCGACGTTCCCGACGATTGGAGGCTGGGTTTGTTTTCGACCCGGCGTGAGTTCATCGCAACTATAAGGGACCGGTTCGCTCCTTGTTTTATGTCTCCAAACTCTTTTTGAACCTGTAATATTAGGACCTGTGAATTCCCTTTTGTGGTTAGTTTTACCGTTTATAGTTTAGCGCCCTATTACGCCGTCTTGTCACCTCTCCCCGCCGTCGCTCCCAACATAAAAGAACACCTCCCCCTCCCTCTGGCCTCCCTTCTTCCTCCATCTTTTTTCTTTCCACCCCGTCTACTTTGCACTCACTGCTGCGCCCCTGCGATTTGTCTCGCCCAATCGGATTCCCCGCCAGCCCCGCCCGGTTTCTCCCCTTTTTTTTTCTTTTCGGTCGCAAACTGCGGCTGAGCTTTTTGCCTCCACCTTGAGCTCTTTGTGTCGGGATTATTTTCGCCTTTCTGCCTACGAAAGTGGCGCCGGGAAGAGGTCGCCCGGCTCTGGGGGAAGCCATGTCCTGAATGGCGCCTTACTTTTTCGCCAACCGCTCACTCATGTTCCGACCGATGCGGAATCAATCAATATTTTCTCTCACCGAGTGCTTCCTTAACGCAGTTCGCTCGTTCCACTATTTCCCGAATTTTCCCTCTGTCCCCTTCCCTCGATGGCCTTTCTGGCCTCCTCGATTCGCTGATTGACCACGCAACCTTGCCCGCCCTGCTGCTCCGCCCGTGTGACCGGCTTCTTTGCGTCCACCCTGTCCGTGTTCTCTACCTTGGTTCGCGGGTTGGTGGCGGCTGCAGGTGCTGCGCCCTGTTACAACTATCCAATGGCAAAAAAACCTCATCGATGATCCTCTCCGGCTCGTGTTTGAACCTGGTGGCCTAGAGCGAGCAGTCCACTGCCGATCAGCACCGTCGAGCTCTTGACCTTGAGAAGACTGTTTGGACCCGAGAACAACGAAAACGCTTGAGCCCATCGATCCAGCGACCCCGAAGCGTAATACTTGCACGGCCTCTAAACATAGTCCAAGCGGCAGAAGATATTGCTGGGTTTCTTGTCAGGCAAATACCCCTTCCAGTTTTTTTTCGCTTTCCCTGTGCTGCAGATCCACCCGCTTCAGCCTAGCCGACTTGATGTCAAGGACACGTTGACGCTTAATCGTCTGCGCTCGAGAACAGGGGCAGTAGACTGATCTGCAGCCTCGGGGCTGTGTGATGCAATCTCAGATGGGGCCGAGCGAAGCGAGGCATTCGGAGTCAAGCGCATCAGCGCCCGATTGTCGTCATCATCAGTCTCTCCAGCTTCTGCCGATGTGTCTTCGAATCCACCCCGGGTTGGCACCCGCCAATGGCGAAAAACAACGCAGACTCGCCTGATTTCAGCGCGGAGGTTTCTTACCAGGCCCAAGCTTACCCCCTTGATTCTGAACGAGCTCGACGAACGGTTTGAACCGGCTAAAATGTATGGTGAGCAGGAGAGCCGCTCCTCCTTTGAAGCGCCGTTCCAATCACCTTCCTCCGAGCCTTTCTGTCCCCATTCATGAACTGGGCTACTGGCTCAGCAGCATCGCGATGGGTCAGCAGCTCTTCGCAGCCAAGCGACATCGACACGTCCTTTTCGAAGAGATCGAACCGCAGGTCATGCCGCTCGTCCTCCCACCGACACATATGTTATTCTGGCCCCTTGTTCTTGTCTCATATTCCACCCTGGGTGCAGGGACGATTGGCTTGGAATGCTCAGTTCTCAGTGAAGGCGAAATGGGCGCAGCTGACGTGTAGGAACGGAGTGATTCATTAATAGAAACTTTTGCTTGCTATTCTTGGAACGATTGGACGACCAAGTCCGTGAATCATGCGGTCGTCCCTGCTCATCTTGGGCGTTGAGTAGATGATCGGCAGGCTGTCTTGTTTAGAAGCGATTTCGGTGTGTGAAGTCAAGGGGCGAGTCTCAAAATCCTAGGCTAGTCTCTATCTGATAAGTTATAAAGTCTCCTCTCTTCCACGTTCCTTCTCACAATCAACCTGCTCCGAATTCTCTCCCCGGCATTGTCATCTATTGAAATATCTGTCCCTGTTTCTGTAAATCGCAATGGAATCTCACCCAGACGAAATTCGAGGATCCTCCGGTAAGGCGCTGTCAGAGGCATCTATTATTTCGCTAACGTTCACGATAGCAGCACCATCTCCTGAGCATTTAGATGGCCGTTCGCCCTCCGCATACGACTTTAGTGTTCTCTTCCAGCTGGGCACAAAGGCCAACCCTATTGTGATTGACGACACTCCTCTCCCTGACCCAATCTCCGATGTCATTGCTAGCAATATTGACAGAGACCTCCGCTCTGATGCAGACACCGAGATCGTGTCTTCCCCGGAATTCTGGGATGCCTTTTTCGATGAACGCTCTTCCTCGCAAACGAGGCACATCTTGCCTCGGTCTCGGTCTCTGCGGAAGGCAATCCATCAGCATGCAGTCACTCAGAGGCACTTCAAGATGTTGGAAATCCAACCGCATCTCGAGTGGATGACCAAGGAGGAGTGGCAGAGAGCTCTTATGAGTCGGATCATTGCTTTGGCTGGGTAGATGGGAAACACGAAAAGGGCGCAGAGCATCAAACAGGCACGGAACCTTTTCGTTTCTTTCCTTCTCTTTACCACTCCGCTGATAAGCATTACCATATTTAGCTCAAGTCAGCCAAAAGGGCCCTCCCCAGGAATCCAAGGGTCCAACACCTGCTTGTGGCAATAATGCTTCATCGGCAACCGGGTTTGAGACAACACGGGAAGCCGAGCCTGCTACTTGCAACCAGCCACGGCGGAAACGAAAATTTTCGCACGGCAAAGAAATCCCTTCTAGCTTGAGACGATCGGGGCGTTTGATCAAGAGAGCGAGAAGCTGTTGATAGGGTGAACCCGGATACTCCTTGGTTTTCACGCCTTTTTGAGCCGGATGGTCTTTATGATTCAGGAAAAGGACTTGACGTTGGCTGTAGTACTTTTTGGGCATTTTTTGCATCGGAATTTGATTTTCTTTTGCGGATTGACTTCTCTCTGACCTGGGTACTACAAGACACGATGTTTGGCCCATCAACAAAATTACGTAACCGTAAAAAGGTGCGCTATTCCGAATCGAACAAGATTCGACTGATTTGGAATAGCGCTTCAGTACCAGAAATGATAAAATTTCGCTTCGTCTTTCAGCGCATGTCACGATTTGATTATTCGTCATCCTAAGAATCTGATGGATTACTTGTTCCGATTATGAATTTCGGGGTCTACATCCTGAGTTTCGTCTTCCGGCCCTACCACGCCCCCCGCCCTTCAAGAATCGACCAAAAGGACTATTAGGCGATGAATGCTAACTAGCATCTTAAAACAGATCACCGACATAGTCATGGTCAGTGCCGAAGGATGTGTACTTCATACAATACACCCGAGCGCGACCAGTCAAACAAGGAAGATGTCGACCAACCCGAACAGTGTCTATTACACGCACAGTCACCTCAAGCCTTCTTTAATTTTTGATATCGTTTTAACTCCCAAGAACTACAGACCGAGCGGCAACCGACAATATGGCGGTAAATGAGGCAGCAGGCGTACTCAAGAAAGCGGGTGTTCATACCTCAAGGAAAGGTGATCGTCAAGATGGCGTTGGTGTGCATGCCAATTCATTATTGGATGGCCCTGATCTCCCAATCACTAGCATCAATGGTGATACGAATACGATGGCTGGGAAGCCGCCAGCTAGCGCCTTTCCCGAAACACCTACATCCAATATGTCTAGCAGCCAATCGCTCGGAGAAGACCCAGGAAATACACCACATACCACGATTCCTCCACCTGAAGATGACGAATGTGGCATTCAGCATGACGCTGGCCCAAGATTGGCTTGTCAAGCCCCTTCAAGTGGAACTCCCACTGCTTTTCACTCGTCTACACTGGGCCAAGAAGAGAGACCGTCACCATGCATCTCAATCGCCACCTTGGCGGACCTGCCTCTGTCCACAGCAAATACAACCGATGCACCCGCTGATCAAACAGTCACTCCGTCCTTGAACTTTGTCCTTGTTGTATCGTGATTCGGTCCCTCCGCTGAGCCGCCGGCCGGCCCTGCCTCCTTCGAATCGCTGGTTTTCATCCCATCGCCGCGTCGTCGACCTCGCGGGATTGGCCCAGTAGGCCGGTTCTCACCATGAATCGAGCCACTGGCTCAGCGGCATCGCGATGGGTCAACAATTCGTCGCTGCCGCGCGACATCGACACGTCCCTCTCGAAGGAACCGAAGACCATGTCGTTCGTACTCCTACCGGTCACCTCCCATCAGAAAATTTTCGATTGTCTCTCGATCGAGGCCGCAGGCGCACCCTTCAGATCCCCTCACATTGATCTTGGCGAGATAGAAGGCCAATCTCTTGCCTGGTCGGAAGTGTTTAAGTGATTTGATCAGAGATTCCCGGGGAGTCTAGGTTCTATACAAGGATACTGGAGCACGTCACTCAAGAAACAGCCGCTGTCTTAACAGAGGACGTGGAATATGTGGTCTTTATCAAACAATACAAACAACGTCATGCTCTGTACAGGCTGCACTTTTATTTGTGGAAGGCAGAGGATTATTGGCTTCCAGTTATAGCATTTCTTGCTCAATCTACGAATCGCATAGCGAAGTACACCTCAGCTCTATCATGGCTGTATATTTGTCTCCCAAGCACATCCTTATCTGGTGCCTAGTGTTGACTAGACCCATTGGGAAAGAAGCATTATCAACAGGTAAAACGAACAAGCTCTTCATTCAAAAATAAAGTCTTCATCCACCGATCCAGTTAACCAGACTTGTAGGTCTTTGAAGGCGTCAAGGTCGTTTTTCTCGAGCGAAATATCGACGGTAGGGTCGTGCCAGTGGTGAGTTCTTTTCGTCCCAGTGTTGCGCAAAGATTCCCCGATATATCGGCAGCTATCGAAATCGATGAGAATAAGCGTACCGTCTTCGTCAAGCATAATGTTTGCGGGGTTGATGTCGTTATGGACAATTCCAAGCGAGTGAAGATGTTTAATGGCGGCCCGAATCCCTTCTAAACCACATTTCATGTTCTCTTTCACTAGATCGCGAGCACTTGAAAGGAAAGCAACCTTGCCAACACGTTGAGGATTGACCGCTTCGAGTAGCGTGGACGTATATCGTTTGAAGCATAGCCCAGAGACTCGACCGTGAGTCTCCTTGTATCCATAATAGGTCGCAATATTCGGATGGGGATTCTTGCGAAGAGTCTCACATGTTTCAATTTCGCGAGTGATTTGTTTTTCGAGATTTCCATCGACGTACGCGAGGAGACTTGGTATTTTCACATAGACCGCTGACCAAGTAGTATTCACCTCTGGGCCCCTGTCCTCGGTTGGAATTTGCTTGACTGCCTGGAGATCGTCCAGTGTCTTCGGCGAATCTAATCGGTTCGTCCATTTTCCAGAATATAATTTGCCGCCTTGCCGAACAAAAACCTGGACATAGGCAAATTTCATTTTGCCATCAATCCTTTTGAAGGCCTCATTTTTTTGGACAACCTCCATGTCGATGCGGGTTAACAGTTCTGGGGAGCGGCACTGACAGAAACAACGTTAAGTTGGCAAAGGGATGTGGTCTTTAAATATGCCCATGGTGCGAACTGCACGTGACTTCACCCAAGGCTGTTTCCGCCCTCGGAATGATTGGTTCTCGGTGTCGGTTGTCGCATTTGTCTCAACATACTATAGCTGCCGGCGCTGATGTGTAAGCCCTGCGTGCTATGGTTCGCATCGAAGCAGCCATGTTCTGACCCGATAACAACACAAATAAACTCTAAAATAAAAAATCTCCCCCTAGACACTCTTTCGTGGCAGCTAACATCTACGCCTTCTTTACTAATTCTACGACAAGTAGGTGAACGATTCATGGCCCATCAAGAACATCATCACTGTCGATCCATCACATGCTAGTCATTATTGGGGCTAGACGAACATGGAAAAATTTCAGCGGCTGCTCTTGACTAATTTTGGATGCTGCTCCACCTGTTCCACTGGATATCGAAAGAACCTTATCCTGATACATTTCTCCAGCTATCCAGAATCTATTCTCCTCTGCTCCCCTCTGCACTCCTTCCCGTGGACGAACGGCCCTTTGTCAACTTCGGCTCTCCTATTTAGGCCGGTATGCGATCGAGTCTTCACACTCTGAATCCATGCAATCCCAGGTCTTCTTGGGTGTATTATCGGACACTGAAGACCAATGGCAGAAAACCACGATTTGAATTGGCTCTCGAACAGTCATCTGCGTATTGAATCAATCTCACGCTATACTTCCTGGTGGCAACTGGCTTACCTTGGGGAGGTCTTAAGGTTGATGTTTGATCGCACAATCAGAACTTTCGTATATTTTGGCTCGGGTTTTTGAAGAGAGAAGTTATTCAGGACCAGAAAAACGCGACTTTCGTGTGATATTTATACCTTAGATTACGAACATCCGAACTAGTCCAGGTAGAGTTCAGAAGCAAGTCAAAAAAATTAAATATTGTTTTTCTTGTTTTCACTGGAGCCTCGCCAGAGCGTCACCGAAGCGGGGAACCCTGTCACAGTTGGGGTTATTCTGAGCATCATCTAGATGGGTAAAAGCATGTACCCTCTTTGGAGCTGCAAGATGAAGGGCTAAGAAAGCGAGAGCTGTGCATCACTCGTAATCCGTTACCATGAGGCAAAGAGCACTAATGCATTGACGGACGCTTCAAGGCTCCAGAGCCTCTTGATTGGGACCCTTTCCAGTCAGATAATAACGGGCGCTTATTGCGGTCAGATTATTGGCGTGTATAGCCGGCTGAACATTGACAACCATGTTCCATGTGACTTTATGTGACGTGATTATTCCACGGGGAGGCTATGCACCTCATGATAACCCAATACGAGGGGCGGCGCACAGCTCCAGATTTCTTAGCGCTGGGCCCACTTGTTTCAAGCTAACGACGACACCCGTGAAGTCGGTATTTTTGATCCACCAATAGAGTTCTCACATTTTCGTGATTCTCATGCGCACAGAGTCAGAATATGATTTCTCTTGATAAATGTGGTGTTATCAATGATTGCTTGGGACGAGGAGGAAACAGTAAACACCCACTATGCGACCGGAACTTGAGGCTACGTCGTGCCATGCACTGTTTGGGCCCGTCGCTCTATCCGATCGCCTTGGAATTTCTAGCCATCAAATAGTAACAATTTAGATACTCGATATGCGGCCGCCGACCCTTTCCACATTTGTCATTGGCCGTCGATCCTTCCTCGGGGCTTTAACTTGAGACAATTTGGCGCCTGTGTATGTGCCATGTCCCCTCCGGATGATCCATTAATGAGAGAATGAGCCTCCGACTCAAGCGTCTGTCCAATAATATCTCCAGTAATGGATGGTGCTGTATTTCAAAAATGGGGCAATTCCATCATGGAAGACCTGCCTCGTACAATTGAAATAGAACAGTTGTCACGGACCCAGCTGCAGCAGTGCTTTAGTGCAGGAGGAGATAATGATGAGCGCCGATCAACCATGCGGCGCACGTACACTCTGATGTGGCCTGACAAGGGTACGTATCATTTTTCCCTCCCTCCCTCTTTCCCTCCATCTTTCCCTCCATCTTTCCCTCCCTCTTTCCCTCCATCGCCTTCCCCTCCCTCCCTCGTCTTCCCCTCCCTCTTCCCCTCCATCTATTTTCCACCCCTTCTCATCATGGCCCAGCCTGCCAAACGACGGCGTTCTCGCAAATCACTCACCAGTGCAGAAGCATGGAAGCAAGTAGAGAGCGCTGCTCGCGGACTTGGCATTTCCTGGCATCTGGGAAAAAAGGCTTCCAGACAAGTTTCCGAGGCATTCTTTCTACTAAATCATACATCAGAGTCTACTAGTCATCACAAGTATCGACTCTTTCTCCACGAGGTGCGTCAAAAATGTGGGCTACAAGGCGTACGTTTGTGTGCCATTGCTCTTGGTCAAAACAAGGTTAGAGATATGAGTATTGCCCACCGGAATGCGCTCATCTGTAAGCTGGGTGAGGAGGAGTACCAGCCATTGATAAACAATCCATCATTTCCCAGCTTTGCGGACGATAATCAAGTAACAGGGCTCTTGGAGGGTAAGTATTTGGCCCCTAGAATCTTCTCACTGTCTTTGAAACAAGCCCAACTGATAAAGCCCAGAGCAACCATCCAAAGTAAAACGAACCATTCAAAGCGAAGATTGCGAGTCTTCGCCGTGTTCAACTTTAAGTGAAGCAACCAGCTCTCAACTTGGTTTTTCTACCAACAACGGCGAGGCCGATCGCTCTATTACTCCCATCGGACATCTAGTGAACTCTGACTCTGTGTTCTTTGATGATAATGGTGTCCATAAGGAAACCCCAAGAGATTACCGTTAGTTCAAAGCCCTAACTACTTGTTATTTATACCTCCTAACCGGAATTCAATAGCTCGCCAGGACAGTCTTGAAATCGAAAAGCACAAAGTGTCTGGTCCAAGCTGTCGCTCAGCCCCTTACCTTGCGACAATTGACTCCCGCTTTTTACCAGACGACTGCCAAAATGATACAGATATTACCAACACACAAGAAGTTTTTGAGCATGCCTCCCTTGGGGGCATTGCTGCTGTTTTCAAAGGACCTATATGTGGTGCTATCAGAACAACTTCTTTTCCGATAAATGGGAAGACATATTCGAAAGCATCAGTAACAACCGTTTTTCCTCCTTGGGGTGGACCCGTTGACTGTCTACTGAGTCTGGATATTTGTGAATCAAAGGTGCAATCTCTTGCAATGGCTCTATTCAATGCGACGGTGAAATGGGTAGAAAATTCTTTACATATTGGCTTTGAAGGAGGAACAATCCTGACCGTTCCCAACTCTGAAGTTACTTTGAAAGGTGTGGATGATGAGGCTATTGCCACAATGTTCGGTTCCGAAATACAGCACGCGATAAAGGAGAGCCGCATTCGTCTAAGGGAGTTGGAAGAAGGTAAACTGAAGACTGAATGTGTGTCGATGATAGTCACAGAGAAAGGCGCCATTGTTAGCCTATCACTTGGGCTGGTTCGAGGCTTAGAAATACAAAAGAAGCTATATACCTAGAATGCAAGTCACAATATAATGAATGAGAGGCTTCAGACGCCTTCTGTCACTTTCCCCTTTGTAACATAAAGTTTAACCCCTTCTCGAGCGACTCCTTGTCCATTCCGCATGCCAACAAGTTTCCTTATTTGTTCCTTCCCTTCCTCATCGACTTCGTAAACAGTGACATTGCTTCCTTGCCAGTACACCATTTGGCCTTTTCCAATAATCATCGTCACACGATTCTCGGGCACGTTACTGAAATCTGTGGAGGGATCGAGTGATTCTTCTTCGAAAGCCTGACAACATATTAATCTGGGAAATATCAAATGAGGTAAACGTAAACTAACCATTTAATCTTTGTAATAGTCAGCTTCAATGATAACAAGGTTTCTCTTGCGCAATAAAATAACGACGAGCCACAAAGAATACCTCCCAAGGGCGCTTTGTGTGGAGTAAAGAGCAGACTTTGCTAACTGCGACCAGAATGAGCTGCAAGCCAGTAGGGGAAGAGAAGCATGGGGTATGTTCACTGTTTTTGTCCAAAGGGCTCGTTTAGCGGATTTGCCTTGGTAGCCCAGTTTGGTGAATCAGCCATAGTTGTCGTTAAGAGAGTGGTGAAGAGTTCATGAGATCCGGAAATCGTGTGGGACGGGTTCACGTGACACCAATTTGGACAAGTGCCCCGCGTTGGGCAGCGACGGGAAGGTATGCAGGTGAAATTAAGATATGCCGATGCATAAAACTCCCCTTCCGGAGATTCTGAACAAAAATTTGGATAGAAGCCCATTTATACGTGCAGTTTAGGTCCGCTAATGCATACGGAGCAAGAAATATTCGACTATATTTATGCCGAATATTGCAGTGAAAAGGAATATCTCCAAGAGAATTGGCATACCATCTTTGGGAAGAACTTGGAGGATGGACCTGCTCTTCTCGTTCGAAAAATGACATTGGCTGCTAACCGTTTTTGATGCTCAACCGCTCTTTTAAGCAGGCAGATCTAGTGACAGAAAGTCAAGGTTCTACAGCATGTGATGACTAAACGGACATATCACTGATATTTTAAAAGCGCCTCGAGAAGTTGATTGAGACTGGCTGAGTATCTGAGTTCCTTTTTTTCCAGTGGCCTATCGCTGCTTTTTCAGGAACCTGGATGTCGAATAAACGAGGCTCAATGGTGTCTCCACTTTGACAATCTTGCGTAGAATGAACCGACTCTGCTCGAGAGGCATTTCCTAAAGAATTCATGGTTAGAATATAAAACAAATGGGTATTGCAACAGTGAGAGGATTACTGGAACTGGCTTCGAATGGCTGTAAGTAAGAATTCAGTTCTTTGGCTTGACCAGCATACTCCGTTTCGGTGCCCCAAAGAGAATCAGACGAAGAATTATCTTGAAAGAAATCACGATTCTGAAGCCAGCGTTGGATCAGCCCACGTAGCGAGGGAATAGGGAGGCAGTCCATCAGGAGCACTCTGTATGTAGAGAATAGTCTATCTTCTAAATCCAGGGAACCAAAGCCTTTATCAATGCTACATCTCATATCCCATTTCCTGGTACTGATCGCCTACGCTAATGCACAACATATGGTCAGCTACCTGCTAGGGAAATAGTCACAGCATTGCTGGTTAAATTAAAATTTCACGCAGTACAATTAGCTCGCTATTCCTGGAAAGACGGAGGCAAAGAGGGAGGGAAAGATGGAGGGAAAGATGGAGGGAAAGATGGAGGGAAATGGAACAAGGTGGTTAGGCGCACAAAGCTCCGCTGCCGTTGGAGCTGTGCTGGTCTCTGATTTGTCGATACTGCGGGGCACAATTGACAGGGCAGACAGACTAGCCCAGACATTTTTTCTACAGGACGGGGCTGCGCCCAGACACGGCTGATATGCACCACCTAAGTTGTGCTTCCAAGTTCATACTAAGCTCACAGTTCCACTATGACCAACTCCTACCTAAAACAGTATTTACAAAGGAACATCACGCGAATTAGCGCAGCCTTCTGTGATGTACGTATAGACAGGCCTGCATTGGTACTGGCTGACGACATTGAATCAGGTGGATTATTTGCCGCAGGCACAATCACTCCCTGGACATGCATCCAAGTTCACGCAGATACATGGACGACTAGGGTACAAAACATATAAGGAGCAATTCCTCTGGCTTTCGTCGACATTTCTTCATCCTTATAACAGCACCAATATTTCTCAGTCGTTCAATCGCAATGAATGCAATCAATGGGGCAGTTCTTACGACAGCCATTCTCCTCAAATTTCTCTTATTGATATATTTTTTCCCGGTCTCAGTCTGGCTTCTGCCCCGGTACAGCAGCTCCTTGCCGGCAACGTGGACAGCTACACTCGACTCCTATGTACCTTGGGAGTGTTTGTCCTCTTCACCCGCTACGCAATTCACTATTTTTGGGAACTAGTGAGAAGCTACTTCAGTTCGTATTTCTCCCCGTTGCTATGATATCAGTCTGACAGTCTGCAGCTTCAACACTTCATGTCTCATATTATGACGAAGCGTACGATATGCTGGTCGATTGGATAGCTCAGCAACCGTTCGTCCACAATGCCCAGTCATTAATAGCTCGTGTGCGATCTCCACAGCGGACAATCATCCAAAACCAAGCGAAGAAAAAACCTTTGACATTTTCTCCCTGGGATGGGTCTTTTCCTTTCTGGTATAAAGGGCATCTGCTCATCCTTCATTGCGCGGCCAAGGACCATCGAGAAGACATTTATATCTCCTCTATTGGCCTTTACCCAAACATTCTCAAAGAGCTTGTTGAAGAGTGTCGAGGAACATATCTCAACAACATTAACAAAAAAATCACCGTCTTTGAGCACCGTGAAGGGGACTGGAAGAAAACGAGGCTGAGAGCAATTCGACCCATCTCTACAGTTATCATGGACAAGAAAGTTCAGGATGATCTTCTGAGAGATGTGAAGGATTTTCTGGGTGAAGATACACAAAAATGGTACGCCGACCGCGGAATCCCCTACCAACGAGGCTACCTTTTACATGGACCTCCCGGGGCCGGAAAATCCAGCTTCAGTCTCTCACTGGCGGGGGAATATGAACTGGATACGCTTCAACTGTCAGGTATTTCCGACAGCAAGCTGATGAAGCTATTTGCTGAGCTTCCGCCGCACAGTATCGTTCTCCTGGAAGATGTCGATGTCGCCGGGATGGGCCGAAGAGACGATGTGGATACAGATCAGGAGAACAATCCAGGCCCTGGAGTTACCCTATCCGGCCTTCTCAATGTTCTTGATGGTGTGTCATCTCAAGAAGGTCGGGTGCTCATCATGACGACCAATCATATCGAACACCTTGACGAAGCACTTATTCGGCCTGGCCGGGCAGACAAAAAAGTGTATTTCAAGCTTGCCGATAGGAAAATTTCCGCTCAACTTTTTCAAACAGTCTTCAAGCAGACGCCTGACCACAAGCAAGCCAAGAAACAATTCGGCGGCGAGACAATTGAGAGGCTTGCTAACAACTTTGCTTCCAAGGTGCCAGATGAAGTTTTCAGTCCAGCCGATGTTTTGTCGTTTCTATTGGAGCAGAAAAACTCACCCTTTGATGCTGTTGCTGAAGTTGAAAACTGGGTGGCGAAGGCGAAGACAGCGAGCCCACTGAAGAGAGAGGGTTCTTGGGTAGAAGAAGGGCGCTAAGAACAAGCAAGAGAGGACAAGCGCAACGGAGAGGCAAACGAGCATTTTCCCAAGTATACCATCCCGACGGCATTTGGTTTGTGGACAGGACTTACCTCGCCAATTGGGTGTTGGTTGGAATGCTTTGAGGCGTTTCACTATTTTTCATGTCAGCGGGTTATTTCCCGGCCCATTAGTTATTTTGCTACCCTGCCAGTCTTGTTTCTTGCCCCGTTGATCTTCGACCGCCGCTTTTTCCAGTTGTTTCCTATACTTTCACTCCTTAAATTTGAACGCATTTATCAACTACAACCTTTATGTAAGCAATGGCTTGGAACTCTATCTAGCTAAAGCTCACCGAGTATAAAAGCATTACGGAAGACATTCTAGCAAACCGGATCAGCGTACGAAATTATATTTACAGAAACGCATTGTCATGCATTATGCGATGGCTAAAAATTATGCAAACCTAAGCAAACTCTCACAGAACGCGTTAACGTTTAACATCTCAGCTCTGACATAACCGTCTCTCTGTTCGTGATCGCTTTGAAGTTGGGGGACATTTCAATACAGAACGATAAAAGTCGATGATCAGCACCCGGTCAAGCTCCTCATTCCAAAGGATACTATGACGCCGAAGATTGTGGATGATTCCCAAGGCTTGATTCCTTTGTTCGATCTGAGAATCTCCTGGCGAAGCCAAGGCGCCAGCTCCATCGATACTGTGCTTTCCCATCCATCACGAGCATATGACGAATCTCTCCAGTCTGATGAAGGAAGTAAATTCTAGGATACCTGTCCTGCAGTCCGAGTAAACAGCGCTCAGCAGGGTGCAAAATCGAGCGTCGACGCGGTGGAACTGACTAGGCCCGTGTTGTCCAACGCCGACCACTTCACGGGCGGTATCCAATGAATTTGACACGTTAAGGGAAGAACATAGAAAATGAACAAAGGGGAATCGGCGCGATATCCCATCTTGCTAGGCGCCGAAGCATCGATGATGTTAATGATGTTAATTAAGCGGCAGTACCAAAATGAAAGAATAAACTTCTGGCCAATGATTTGATAGTACAGAAATAAACCGAATCAACTAATGGGTCATCCACGGGGCTGAGGTCTGAGGTCTGTCATTTGCAGACAGCAGACGAGCTAGACAGGAGCCTTTGTCTGCTTTTCTCCACCCCGACGCTATGAGCACGCCATATATTGCCCGACGCTGGCTCAAGGGCCCGAGGGCGCTTCAACCACTTCACGTCCTCCAAGTCGACGACGACCAAACGGCCACCGGGGTCATCCCACAGCATATTACGCCACTCACTGTCGCTGTGCACAACTCCGCGCGACCGAAGCACGGCCAGTGCTTTCTCGCGCTCCTGGTGAAAGAAGCTGGAATTCCGCTCATTGATGACATGCTGAAGACGCGTTCCAGACCAGCTCAAGACCATCATCTGCGCCATTAATTCGCCATGATACCAATATGCGATGCGAGGCATAAAAGCCCCGAGACAAACAGGGATGTGCTGTCCCTGTAGGCTCCGGAGATAGTAATAATTATCCACTTCCGCTTCAAGGCGGTGCTGCTTCTCCACAGTCGTGGCTTTAATGATCACAGTGTATCCGCGCGAAAGAAGGGTGGCTTTGATAAGATATCCTGTCCGACCACAGATATGGAGTTGTTCGAAACCGTGGTCTCGATTTCGGCTAAGCTGGCGATGAAGCTGGCGTGTGAACTCTCGCGGTCCTATGGAGTGTCTCTCACGACCGTGGAGTTCCCAGTTGGGGCACTTCTTATCCAGAGGGCGTCGGCTGACTATGCCATGAATGCAGGCAATGGTGCAGTATGGTCGTGTGGAATGCCCGTCTTTTCGAGAAGTCTGCTTGTTGTCTCGGCTAGATCGCGTCTTTCCGCTTTCCCTGCTTGATTGGGTTTTATTGCTGCGGTCGCGGCTCGATCGACTGCGCGATGCTGCTGCCGCGGATGGCGAATGTGATTCCTCTTCGCTGACGTTATCTTCAGTCGACGAGTGTTTCGGTGTAGAAACGCCTGGTTGACAACGAGTGCGAGAGCGTGTGTTGTGTATTTTCCGATCTCGCTTCCAGTGCGAGGGCCGATAATTAGAGGCTGGCGGGTCTTTGCGCAGGGTTTCGGGAATTTCTCTCAACACGTCCAAATATTCAACTTCCCAGGTTGTCAGGTTTTCGTGTGCCGCATCGTTCCACTCTTGAGAAGGAGCGTCGGCAGTCAGCGCTTGCAGGGTGAACGCAAGTACCTGGCCGATGGCGGTCCGGTGAAGGCGAAATTCATCGTCCGCCTGCACGTCTTGATTCGGGATACACAAGTAATATTGAACAATGGTGGGATCATTCTTCGGGATTTGGAGGAAAACAAAAGCCTCTCCTGTGCAAATGTAACCGTATCGAACTCCACTGTCGATCATGTATGAGAATATTTGAGTGACCACGGCGGCAACGAGGCGGGTAGCGTAGAATTCAAAAGTGTCACCCTCCTGGTCAATGACATCCCTGGCCAGATCAATCTGGCGTAGACCCGCCACTAATTCGGGGATCGTTACTTTATGTGGCGCTTTGAACTCCACTGCATGCACCGGTATGTGTCGTTCATTGGCCACAATATGCACGCAGAATTGGTCGGCGCGGCGATTGCGTCTTCGTCCAGTGCCTTCCATTTTCTGCCCCTGCGCTGCGCCTCTCGCTCTTCCTCTGGCTCTTCTGGACCTTGTGTTCGCCGGCCTTTGAGGTGTCCGCGTATCCCGAAGATTCATTTGCCCCAGACTGTTCTCTAACAAAGTTTCCGATGAGTTCGCGCGATCGTAGAAAGCAACTCGGCCTTGGATTCCAAACTCATGGCGAAGAGCTCCATCGTCTCGCAAAGCATGAATGACTTTTTCGACGAAGTTATCCACAGTATCTCGCTCAAAGTTCCGAAGCGACGTCTCTGAATAGATTGGGTTGTTCTGGATATTCGTGGCGACATAATCGATTTGAGTATCGGAAGGGAATAGTGGGCGCGAGGTAAAGGCAGCAGTGCGGTCGAGTTTGCTCCAGACTTGTTGTTGGAGCCGGGGGAAGTCAGGCCAAGGGACTATGCGCTTGGGGTAAAGTCGGTTCACTGGGTCGGTCGCGTCGCCCTGGGTCGTGAGGGTAGCATCCGTCTCGACTCGGATCGCTTGAGAGAGAGATTTATGGCAGCGATCAAGAAGGCGAAGTAGGGTATTTGGTTGAAGTCGTCGTTCTGCCTCTTCTTGGAGTCGCTCTGCCTCTTCTCGCGCCCATCTCTCCTCTTCAAGCTGACGTCGGAGCTCTTCAATGGTTTCGTCCATCGATTGTTGAAATCAGTATTCAGTAGGTAGTAGAATGATGCAAATCAAAGTCAACATGATTTGGGTTCGCTGTCTGACGCGGAGAGTGGCCCTCCAAAGCGAAAGACGTCCAGTTGTTTACTGGCTTACTCACCCCTCTTGGCGCAGTCCTCAGCTCTCAGGCATCAAGTTGGGTATTTTGACCAATCATAATTCTTGATGAGAGATGCTGATATCATTGGTTGGCGCTACTCCTTTCTCCACCTTGGAGAAGCAAAACGCTCGGATAAGATCGGATTAGATTGGGTCGGGCCGGCCATGCTGAACCAGATCATCCTCTCACACTCAGGCTAAGACCGAGAGATACAGAAAGGAGAGTGTGACGAATGTTGTGATCTAGAACATAGGACAGATCAGGAAGGAATACGCATGGAGGGAAGTATCGCTCCTAGAGGGCTAGTAGTTCCTAGAAATGAACAGCGCTATCCAGGAGGCGAGGCAAATGTTTCTGGTACAGGAGGGGGGTATTCATTCAGGTGAATTATTACCGCATAAACGCACTTATACTACATCTCTTTGTCCGTCCAATTAAAGCATATCGAGGTATGAAAGCGGGTCACTTATTCAAACCTCAAAGATAATAAGTGGGCTCCATCCGGGTAGCTGTCTAACTTGAGGTCGCACGTTACCTGAGTACAGCTATTATTCGAATATCCACAGCAACAAATACGGTCCAGCGTTTTGTCAGTCAGCTTCACAAACTTCGAGAAAGCCCCTCTTTGCATTCTCAGAGGATGAATGCAACACATATTGCGCTTGATGAGCAGCGACACGAACGAAAGGGTCAAACGGCATTATTGACTTAGTGGCTTTCACAGAAACTTTCCATGAGGTGCAGCTCTCTGTCCTAATATCATCATGGATTACTTCCCACTGGAGGCGGACGTTTGCAGGACCATCAGGTTCTGAGACCAGCATTTGGTTCAGCGTACCAGTGACTTGTGAGTAGTCTAGCCACAGATTGTCGATAGGATCGCGGATACCGTAGGTGGTACTCCAGTCGTCCGAAAAACGAATCTTGCCAGCAAACATGCCTAGAAAGTCTCCCTCACGCACAGGGACGATGGAACAGACGAACAAAGAGCTGTCATCTTTAGGTAGGAGAAAAGTGAATGCGGACTTATCTCCCCTAAATTCTGATGCTAATTGGGTGTCGTAGGGTGCGCATATCACATCAGGAGTGAAAGTCTGCAGACCATTCCCTTGAAGCTTTCTTCTTCGCTAGTGAAGGCCCATTCATTTTTAGCATTATTCCAAGAGGGCTCGTGAACTTTCAGCCTTTCCAGAACTTGGGGGTTCTCAAGATCAGATAAGCGCATGAAATCACCTTTCGCGAGTTTGAGAGCCCGTGTTTCCAGTTGTTCGATGTGAGGTCTATGTTGGGCCTCCCACTTCATCATTGCATCCACAAGGGAGATTTCTGACGTCTTCGGATATCCCTTGCAGTAGCTGTCGAATTCCTTGGTGCGGTAATAAAGGACTTTGTCAATACCGGCTTCGCGCATTTGGAATAGGTTTTTCCAGAAAATACGGCATTGCCGTTGGTTTTCTGAACCCAACCCGTATCCAGCATCTTCCATGAACTTCTTGGTTGCAGCTTTTTCCGCCATAGTGAATCCATCGGCGGGTCCTTTTGCGGGCGGCAGCTTCGTATGATCGAGCAACGCAGCACCCTTGAGAATTATTTTCCAGAAAACCGTTTCGTTGTATCGATTTTGCAGACCCTTTCCTGTTGCCAAAGCATTGTCTCTGCGGATGACGTCAATTGCCTTCTCATAATCATATTCCGAAATCTCATCAACATATTTCTGGATCTTGTCAGGCTTGGTTGTTGTTGGGGCACCGCTCGTTCGATGTCCGTAAAGTGCAATTGTGAAATTGACCCTCGCGCATTCGAACAATATTGATGACATTGCTTTCACTGTATACGCGGAGTCTGCTTGATAGGAGGAGGAAATGTCGACGGGGATATCCAAATGGTGGGTACTTTTCATATGGCCGTCGTCAGGCTAGATCAAAGGACGTTAGCCTCGGGTCAAGGACGTAAACAAGTTCGTCAAATGGCAGAAGTGGTATACCTGTTGACCTATATTCTGACAACCCACCTCAATAGATTCATCGGCAATTCTGTCGGAGGGAGACTTATCACCACCTTTTCTCGAAAGCTTCGAAATGGGCCGCTTTCTTCTCTTCCTTGGTTCTACGCCTGCGAGACTTGTATAGTTCCTTTTCGGTGCATTCATAATCCGATAGGAGCCACGCTCTCTATGTGGTGAAGCCGGAGGCGTTTGTAAAGCTGAGCCGGTTGTTCGTAACGGGGACTCTGTGGTGTTGCCGTCCTGGCTCGCCAGATGAGCTAGGAGGACTAGAATTACGGTCAACACTCATTCCATTAGCCAATCGAGTGTCTTAACGTACCGTCATTATCGACTTTAGAAATCAAGGAATCAATATACTGTTCGTTATGATCGACGCCAGAAGACGTGAATGCGTCCCGGATAGCCTGGGCTAGAAAGCCTCGGGTGGTCTCGTCCATGATCTTTGAAGACTACGCTGCGATCGAGGACGTGCACGACTCCTGCACATTAAATACCAGCCCCTTCATTTGCTCTGGAACTTTCGAGCAGACTGATCGACGAGCCAAGTCCATCTGGGTGGGGTTGTTGACAGGTATAAGCCAATCATGTATCCACACCGTCTCCTTATCCAGATTTAGCAGTCCTGGGCCGTAGATCTAGACCACATTGTGAGGTGACGTCATTTCCTGGTCTGAAAAAGTCCCCTCCCGGGGGGATCTACGCCGTGTCCAGTTCACGGTTTTCAATATCACATCGCAGCTTCGTGTTGGTAGCTTGAAAGAACGTTGGTTTTGCAGGTAAGATTGAATTGACTGTGGTTGAGCAGTGGCCTGCTTGGTGCGCCGAGGAACGAAATCATCTTTTTACGGGACCCATAGGCGCAAATTTCGGAAAGACAATAGGGAATGAGATGAACAGGGCTGGTAGAAGAAAACATTACCCATAGCCTAGTGTATAAGACCACGAGCTGAAAATAAATGTCTACCCATCGGCTTGTTGAAGCCATCACATTCGTTGGTATTGATTGAATGCGAAAAAACGTGGCCCAGCAAGGAAGTAGTGAAAAGCGTTGAAGGATGAAAGTGACACGGGACTGTTTTAAACGGTGACTCAACTTGGGATGAGGTTCTAGCCCCCATTTCTTCGTCGTGCTGATCTGCATCACGTGCGTTTCCTAATAGTCGAGGGCCTCCCATGTTGTATCACGTGACGGGATACGTTTAAGGAACCCTTGAATTCCAAATTGCTGGTTCAGACTCTTTTTCATGGCACCTCCAAAATGTTGTCATATCTCTGGCGATTTTACTCAGAAGCACTCGCTGCATTGCGATACTTCGGTTGTCTCGGTTATCACGCATTTTTGAGGCTAATGGTCTGGTCGGTGTCGCCTCAACATCTAACTGCGACACATACACTATACAGCTGCACCCTCAACGTGACTTGAAAATAATGGGAGTTGGAGCTTCTGCTCAGGTCTACGAAGTTGATGACCAGATAGTTCTCAAGACTTCTTGGGTATTCGAACAACCTGGGAGTAGTGCCCCTGGCAACGATCGATGGCACTACGCCTCAGACACCCTCTTTCGGTCCAACTTGTTACAAAACGAACGAACTGTACTACGACTGTTTCAACGACGGCCACACCCTCACATTATAGAAGCCATCGATGCCGATCAACCTGAGGGAATTTATCTCCGCAGATATCACTCGTTGTCTGAAAATAAAATTCCCGCTCAGCTTCATCGGATTCGCTGGTACCGTGATCTTACCGACGCACTTTGCCATATCCACAGCCTTGGCATAGCCCATGCAGATGTACGGATCGACAATGTCCTCTTTGATGAACATGACCGTTCCATTCTTTGCGATTTTAGCGCCGCCAGCCCTCTTGGTCAGCCAAATCCCGTTTTTCCGGATCTTCCACTTCCAATCAACGGTCCCTCGCCGACTTTATCTGAGGCGACGGATATGTTTGCAATGGGGTCGCTTATTTTTCAGGTGGAGCATGGAGCCAAGCCTGGGCTGTCTGTTGACAGTCATGGTACATTGGTTCTGCCCAAAATACGAACCGATCATCAAATCCTTGATACGATCATTCGAAAAGCTTGGCTCGGGCACTATAGCCGCACCTCAGAGATGCTAGAACACCTTAATTCTATTGATACGAACGGTGCTCGCCGTGCTCATAGTATCCAAATTTGTTCGGGATCAACGGAATCGTTGAGAGATCGCATCAGAAAATGGAGGGAGTGCCGTGAGAATAAGTTTGGTAAGGGTTATCCGTTATATGATGTCTACCCTCTTGGTGGCTAACGGGATCTCTAGGTTGTGTCCTCGATGGTATACTCTCAGAAGATCAATTGCAGGGCCTAGTTGACTGCTATGGTTTGGATAAAGATGCGGATTTACGTTTCACTGGTTATCGGGCACATTTGTAGCTAAGCGAATGTATAAGTTAAAGGGCTAATAGCATGGCAAGGCCCTAACATCAGAGGATCCGGAGAGTTCGGAAAAACCATGGACCGCGATCGACTTCCGTCAGGTCGGAGACGAACTTGGTCTCCAATCCTCGAGAACGTCCCAGCGACTCAATCAAATCGACCGTGTCCGCGCCAAAGGGGTTGGCGATCATGTTGCGCTACCTCAGATAGTGGTATGCGGAGATCGATCTGCTGGCAAAAGCTCTGTACTGGAAGGAATTAGCGGGATCCCTTTCCCTAGACAGGATGGTTTATGCACCAGATTCGCGACGGAAACTGTCCTGAGACATACGCTGCAAGCGATTCGCATGACTGCAACTATAAACTCTCATTCTTCGCGAGATGATGAGGAGAGGAGGCGCTTAGCCTCCTTCCAAATGGAATTCCGTGAATTCGCTGAGCTTCCCGGGATCATCGAAGCTGCAGGTCAGTTTATGGGTATTCGTACCTCGGAAGATCATGCCGACGCTCCCGCTTTTGCCGCCGATGTTCTACGACTGGAGTTAGTGGGCAATACCGGACTGCATTTGACGATTGTTGATCTACCCGGCTTGATATCGGTTTCCGAGAATGAGCGCAACATGCAGCTTGTTAATGATCTAGTTTATTCTTACCTCGAAAGCTCGCGGACAATCGTACTTGCGGTTGTTCCAGCAAGTAGTGATGTTGATACGCAAGGCATTATCCAACGAGTCCGTCGCTACGATAAAGATGGGGTTTGAACAGTTGGGATCATCACAAAACCGGGCCTGATCAATGCCGGAACGGAACAGCGGGTTGCACGTCTAGCGAAAAATATGGATCGTACCAAGCTCAACCTGGGATTTTTTCTGCTCAAGAACCCGGCTCCTGCCGAGTTGCGGGAGGGCCTGTCTCCCGCTGCCAGGAAGCGCGCAGAGCAAGCTTTCTTCTCCTGTGAACCATGGAGTAGCCTAGGACTTGATCCCTTGCGTGTTGGCATCGAGAACCTTCAAGTGCTCCTCCAAGACCTTTTGGATAGTCATATTGAACGTGAGCTCCCGAAAGTACGGAAGGAACTACGGGAGCTCCTCGAACGAAATAGCCAGGAACTTGCTGGTCTTGGAATGGAGCGAAATACTGCTGGCCAGATCCGGATATATCTGACGCAGATTAGCGCCGACTTCCATGGGCTGGTGCGAGCTGGAATCGACGGCGACTATGGTGGTCGGGATGCGAGTTTTTTCGACGTCTCAGATAAGGACTTTACCAATCGGCTGCGCGCTGTCGTCCATCTCGAGAATGAGAAATTTGCGAATCACATGAGGGAATACGGTCAGACACGGAAAGTTGTCTGTCGAAAAGACGACCAGTCCCTCGAGTCAACTTCTTCTGATGAGGATATGGAGCCCTCTCTAAACAAAGAGGGCCAGATCCTTGTTAATAAGGAAGAAATGGCCGCATGGGTCAAGCAAGTAAGTGTGAAGCCCATCGGGCGTTGATCAACTCTTAATGATATCAGGTTTATCACCGGACACACGGCAGGGAATTACCGGGAAACTATAATCACGCCCTACCTGCGGAGCTTTTCCATTCGCAATCCATGCGCTGGGGCAAGATCGCTCGTGGGCATGTTGACGCCGTCGCGAACTTGGTCTCCACGTTCTTACAAGCAGCAATGAAGTACGTGATCAAGGATTCCAAAGTCCGCCAAAATGTCAAAAACTGCGTTGAGAAGTCTGTTCAAGGGAATGTCAAGATTGCGATCGATGAATTGAACATGTTGCTTGAGGACGAGGCGCGCCAGCCTATCACGGACAATATCCAGAAGGCTCGAGGTGATCAGTCAAAGAACCAAATTCAAGATTCAATGTACAATGCCATCCGAACCGACTGGAACGGGAATTTCCGTGTGAGCAAATCGTCAGACGAAATAGAAAAGCTCGTCACTTCACTTCAGCAAAGGGTGGTTGTCGATATGACGATGCAGGCCTGCTCCGAAGCGCAGAACGATCTTACTGCATACTACAAAGTCGGTATACCCTTGGAGCAATGTTATTCTGCTCTAATATTAATCTTTTCAGGTTGCCATGAAAACGTTCGTCGACAATGTTTGTAGACAGGTCATTGAACGACATATCATCGCGAAACTCTCGAGTGTTTTCGAACCCATTCTTGTGAGCGGATATGAGACTGACGAATTGCTTCGGATGGCTGCAGAATCCGCGCAGGTCAGTGTTCGCCGGGATGAAGCACGTCACTTCCAGGAAGTGCTAGAAAGAACTCTGGAGGATCTGAGTGTTTGATTGGGCAGTTGCGGGCTCTGGGTGAGGTTTTTTCTCACATGGTTTTTACCTTTACCCTTTTGCGAATGTGGGGGCCTATATATGTCATTCCATTTCTCATACTTTACTTGCTTTGCAATCTTTAATATTTATATTATGCTTATTTTCCATTTGAGCACTTAGTGGCATTATTGATATTATAGGTCAACCGGCTGTGGTTACTCACCGATTTTGACAGACCCCAAGAGATCCAAGAAGACGTTCTTATATAGGTGCCCTGCATATGTGACGTGCAAGACATCATGAATATACAAGAGACCTTGCAAAACCTGCGATTCTCTCAGTGGAAAACGAGTCGTGTCTGTACGGAAACTGACCTCTTTGCATATAGTGGCAATGTGAGCCTTCCCAAGCTGAGCATCGGAGCGCAAACATGGTAGAGATATTTCCATTAGCTCGTATACCATGTAAACAAAATTGGAGTCCACAAAGGCGTCCCTTAGTTTCACCACATTCGGATGGCTCGTTGATATCAAGTTTCGAGTAATCTTTGTCTTAGGGATTCTCTGTTCTCGAATCACGACGAGATCAGGAGACAAGACAGGTGCTTGGGCAAGGAAAGTTGTTTCTGATGCACCTAAAGTAACGAATCTTTTTTAGATAGCCCAAGGAGAGCTTATCTTGCAGAATGCATTGCCTTGTCGTTTCCCTTGAAGATCCTTTTCCTCTGAAGACCTCTTTGGTGGAGGTATTTTCAACTGGTTCGGGAAATTTCTAGCCAATTCACTATTGGCAGCACTTTGAACGTCGTTGCTATGCGGAAGCATTGTACATCGGGTAGCTGTAGGAAGCCGAGACATGTTATTTTTGGTCATGGATATAAAGGGGAAATATTAGAACGTGTGAAAAGTTCAAAACCTCATTACTTGAAACTGGCCGGGGCTGCAATTTGTAAAGTGAGAGCCAGAGGTAGGGACAGTGGAAGTATCATCTTGTCCGCTAAATACCCTAACACGGCGGCTCGCCCTCGAAGAGCTCCGCTACTTGGGTGCGGCTTGATCTCATAGTGGGGGTCCGTAGGGTGTGTTCGTGGGCGAGTCGCTGCTGCCATGGAACGGTTGTGGCTCAGCCACATACAGACACCGATGGCACATCAAGGCAGAAAGTAAATAAAGTATGAGCTTTTTGCTTGCTCACGAAGATATGAGGGAACGTTGAGAAGAATAAAAAACTCCATAAGTACATTATAGAACGATTTTTCGCCACATCTTAAGGTCTTTCACCTGCTTTTGCAACTGTCATCGCTTTCTCCGTACCGATATTTCTTCTCTGGTAATTTGTTCAAATTCCTCGGGTGAAAGGTGGTATGTATAGGTCGGAGAGAATGGTGTCGTCGGTGCTGCCGGTCCACTGGTGGCTAATGTAGTATCATTCGATGGCCAGTGTTTCAATTCCTTGTAGGAAACGGAAAGGCTGGTCTCACAGTCCACACCGAAGTTTTACACAATCTGTCTTCTCTTCTCTACAACCGGATCAATAATAGGTTGATGAAAGAGTCCATCGAAGAACATGCCGTGTTATAAGACGTGGAGGAGACGTTTATCGGGTTCTGCTTCAAGTGATGGTCACGTCCGAATGGCACTCATCGCAGTGAATATTGACTGAGATTGGCTTCCACAGGGCCATGTTCTCCAACCGTCGCAATCAAAGGGGCAAAACGTAAAAATGGACAAATGGCTAAAGGTGCAATGCCCTTTCCTACACTTATACACTTTCAGTGGGACAAAGTATTAGCCAATCATAGCCGAACATTGTTGCGATCAAATAACAGTCACAAGTCTATTACCACAGCATCTTATGAGCGAACCCCTGAAACCGACTCCTTAACGTAATCGGTAAGCGAGTGGGACATGTACATACATTAGCTTTACCTCAGGTGACCTAGATCAAGTCAGCTCATCCTAAATTTGCAGGTCTGGGGTTGCATACCATGGGTATGGGACCTCATCTAGTGATGCAGAAAAAGCTTTATCACTCCTCGACCCATATCGGGTGCTTATCGCGGAAATCGGCTTTTCTATTATTATTAATCTGCGACCGATAACTAATCTTAACTCCTAATGATTTAAAGAGCTAGAGATCGGTGTTCGGCCGCTGCTTGAGATCCGCGTCTAATCCCATTCTAGCGTCGGATTTCTCCCGTGTTTGCGAACAAGCACACATACCATCCGACTCCACGTCGCCAGAGCTCGAGACCGAGATTGCTTAGACGCCGCAACACCTCGTGGTCCACTCTATTTAAGACTATCCGCGAGATGACCTATTACATCGACGTCTTTGCCTTCCTCAACCAAATCTGTGCTATAGACGCGATTAAAGGGGCCGATGTCGTGAGAACTAATATCCAGTCTTGTCTACGCGAGGGGTGCACTAGAGTGGTACACGGCAGAGCTGGAACGCCACGCTCTTCGATCCCTATCTCTTACCGACGGCTGGTACAAGTCCCTGGAAAAGCGCTTTAAACCTCGTTTTATGTCCGCAGCCGCTCCGTTTGGTCTGGAGCCGCATAAATGCTAGACTCCAGCGGGATATGGCCGAGCCAAACGCTAGTTAGCACACGGTCGTATTATTAATACAGGATATGGATCTTCGCCACGGCTAAACTAGTACCGGCACTACCCAACGCGACCGGGCCCTGAATTGGAACTATCCTGCTAAGAAAAGCGCCGCGATCATGCTAACCTTCCTCACTAGAAAGCTAACGCAAATACGAGCGGCGGACGACAGCCGCGGGACCGAAATTATAGAGCAGTAGCGAACCCAACCCGCTCCAAAGAGAACGGCGGTCAGTTCCAGGATCTGCTCGTGGAAATGGTGATGGGACCGCCGCGCCAGCCATGGAACAGTAACAATCAGCTCCAGCGCGCCACAGCTTACTACGCCGAACCGGACGTTCCTATCTACAACGCCCCGCCGCCCCCTCCATCCGCTCCTCCTGATGCCTTCTGGGCGGAGGGTTTCGAGGGTACCGAGTCCGACGGCTATGAAGGCAATAACGCTGACCACGGCGATGACTAGGCCCAGGTGCCTCTCGGTGTCGATATCCTCACGTACGAAGGTCCCCGCCTAGACTTTGGTATTAAGGAGGCCCGTATTACGTCCTGTACGGGCCTGGAGTTCGCGATCTCCGTCTATACGAAGCAGTATCATACTTCTGAGCGACCCGTGTACGCAACAAAAGCGTATCGTGACTCCTCCGTATTCAGTTGGCGCCGTTCACTCCCGCGTCCTGTCAGAACTCCCCTTCGAGTGGGATTACCTCTTCGACGGCTGTCACGACGCCATGATTTTCTACTCCCACTTCTTCGACGCTAACTTTTGCTTCGTCCGTGCGGGGAACGACACGACACGCTTTTTTCCCCAGTGATCACTCGACACGCCCGCATCGGCGCGTTATCTGAACTGGGCAGTGTAATCGCGCACGAAGCCGAGCCCGAAGTCGAAAAGCTCGCCTACATGTCGCCTAGGGGACCTCCACCTGCGCCCCTACACCACTCCGCGAATGAGACGACCCTTTCCAACGGGGCCACGGTATATGGCAGGCGTAAAGTAGACGCAGTGCGGCCCATCGCCGAGATCGTGGGCAAGCATAAGACCGGGGGTGAGCACTTCGGCGTCTTCAATGTCCCCGGGGGTCACTGGACGCAGATTCCGCTCGCGGACGATTGGGGAGGGCGCATGCCTCGCGCGAAAATCTACTTACTCAGTCCGAAGAATCGGGAGGTTTTGGGCACTACGTTTGATCAGCTACTTCGGAAAGAAAAGCTAAGTCCCGCCACTAACCACACGCCGGTGGCACACCCTGTCTCCGTCGTCTGACGGACGGTGGCAACATCTAAGGGCAGATCTCGAAAAGGTCGCATGGTCGTGGACATCCGCGGTCTAACCAAGGGGCCCCAGCCCAACAACCACCTGATGAAGTCGCAAGTCTATCCTCCACTTAGCCCGTGGCAAGCGCTACGTTACGGTTACCGACCTATATATGTCCTTCTACTACTGGCGCGTCTGGCCTGGGCACCAAAACTGGCTTGCCGTCATCACGCATCGCAGACAAGAATCTTCAGCGTCTCCATGATGGGCCAATGCAACTCCCCAACATACATGCAGCGCCAGCTTGGTATTGAGTCAAGGCCATTGAGGACCTCTTCCAGGCGTATCCTGACAACATCGTCATTGTGTCCGAGATGCTAGAGGACAGTCTTAGACATCTGGATGCCTTGTTTACCCGCCTGGAGGAGTTCTGGGGCCCTCCAAAGCCTACCTCGGCTTCTCGTCTGTGTCGCTGCTTGGCCAGTGCGTTAAGGGTTACACTCAGAAGGCCGAGCCGTTACAGTTACGGAAAACGGAGCTACTACGAGAAATTCCTGTTAAGGATCGCCGGCAGTAGTGGAGCTTATGCACATAGGTCCATATACCCGATGTCGAAGAGCAGCTTCCAGTCTGTTATGGATTCAAACTTATAGAACGTTGCATCCAGATGCGCATGGAAAGCTACTGGCTATAGGCTATGTCAGCAAAATTTGACAGCGTGCAGAGCCACAAGCCAACCAATTCATCATTTCATGAGCCTATCAATCATCCATACAAGACCGTGCATGCATAAGCAGGAAATAGGCTTGCAGGATGTAACTACTCTACGGACGCAAATGCAGGTACTATAGTCATTGTTATTGGTGAAACTCTATATATTCGCATGAGGCTGTGCCATGGTTCTCACACTAGAAACACACCATATTCCCATTGATTCTATATAGCCAAGATGCTGACACCAGTGGGAAAATACAGAACAAATTTGAATGAACACAGACTGAACTAGATCTAGGCCATGCGGGAGGATATCAATGATAAGGAACAAATCACAGAGCTTAGGACATTGTCTAGTGTCTTTACGGTATCTCTGGTGGCGTTTCTCTTTTGTATATAGGGCAATTTTCGTTGTCCTTATCCTCTTGCTAGTCGTGGGCATCTTCACGCTTATAGGGAGGATAACTTACTTTAGCTTCGATGGGCAGATGGACATCTCGCGATATAAACAGTTGCGTCATGACCACATAGTCCAAAGATTCCTTGTATATTTTCATATATCTAATTTATTTAGTATTGAATTTTTCCCTCGATTGCTGAATTATATCATTCTTACTGCTCAGTTTTCTCGAATTTTGACCTGAGATCTTTAACACTTGATCTGAAAAATATATCATTTTCTAATTATAGAATCGTTTTAGCTTCAGTTAATTATAAGTATGGTACATAGGTACGCAAGAAGTCTTCTTTTAATTTAAGGTCAAAGATTCTTTAATTTTGTTTTGTGTATATCCCTAATATAGGATAGATGATCTAGATAGTGAGGCATGGCTATTACTAGTGATTCCTATAAGTATCATTACCATAGAAGATTTTTTGCCATTAAAGACTTGAGGACCATGTTCAAGGGGTTTGGCAGCACGTACCGAAACGATTCATTTAGTGAGGTGTCAATTGATGATTATTGGTGTGATGTTATTGCCTTTCCAAAGCTTTGATGAACGAGTCATGCAATTCAAGACGCCATATTTAAGAGGGGCCATGGGGGAATAGGGATCCTAGCCCCCCGCCCCTATACGTAGTCGAACCTATAGCACTTCAGCTCTTGAGCCTTTATCTCTCAAGGTATTTTCTGATCTCAAAAAAACAGCCCCAAATAAAGGCGAGGGACTTCAGTGTAGGGGAAATGTACGCGACAGGGGTGGGTGGGTATATTTCTTACTGGCCGGCTCCTTTTGCCGGAGTTTATTACCCACCACGAGCTCCTGGGGGCTCATGTAATTCCCAAGGCTACTTTAGCCTCTTGTGTTTGGTGGCTACGCCTGATTTCCAAACCGCTCCGAGGCTAGAGGTGATGGTGGTTGCATAGCCCGGGGTGTTCCACGAGTGAATTCACACAAATAAGCAGGGATAACCGCTCCTATTATCCCTAATATGTTGTCCTCTATCACTATATCTCAACGAGAGAATATACCTTTGTCGGATCTTGCGTATAAGCTGACGGTAGCTATGACAGATACCAATATACCTAGATATTTCAGCTAGAGATACGATCGAATCAAGTGAAATCGAAATATAGCCATTTGAGCCCAGCTTCCAAGGACAGTCAGTTGATATGACCCATCTTAAGATACATTGAACTCATGTACCACAGCAGCGTGTTACCGAATAGCAGCATGGGCTTTGACTGTGCCTTGTCCAGCTTCCCTCGTGTTGAGGATACCAACTTTCCACCAAATAATCTCCTTATTGGCGCGATAGAAGACGCATACCAAGCGGCACAAGACGAAACAAAGAAAGAAACCGCGGTTCGGAGTTCGATACCACAAACATAAAGTTGTCCATTAAACAGAACTTGATACACCCTAATTGCCTGAAGCCCCTGTGGTATATCAGCAAGAAGCTGTTGGAATGCGTACAAGTGTTCCACCCAGCCAAATAGGTCACATGGGTTCACACTTGGTGCGGGAAGACATTCGACCGTGAGCAAATCCACGATTTTGGCGCGGCGTAATACACTAGAGATAAGCTCCCATCTTCGATCGAATGATGTATATTGGGTTGGAGTAAACGTCGTAAAAACCTTTTGGATCATGGCGGGCCATTTGTTCTGCGGGCAGCTTTCGACATTAAGGCATCCATAAAATTGCGGTAATTTGAGACACAATCCACTTGAATATTCCAGCGCTTGTGGGTCGGAGCAGAAAAAATTGATCAAACTTGATGGCGGAAGCATTTTGAGAATCGTGAGAATAATCTCAGGAGGCAGCCGCAACAGAGGCGCCTTTGCAGAGGTGCATTTGGGCAGTTGCCCCGAGTTTTCCTGGCCTGAGAAAGAAACAACCGGTTCTTGTGGGTCAAAGCAATCTGATGAACACTTAGCTTTAAGGTTATAGATCATTCATGAGTCGTGAGTCGACTTACCAACAAGGTCAAAAGGTTCCCACGCACCAAACCTCTCCCGATCAGCCTGGAGCGCCTGGCACAGCTTGAAAAGACAGGATGGGTTAATATCTAGATCGACTTGATCACTTAAGAGGCGATAGCAAGACGAGTGAATCAGAAAAATAGTCGAGTTCGTCATTTTAGAGCTTGTAAACGATATCAACGCCATGTCCTCGGTAGCTGCCGGATCAACGATCTTTGGTCGACGATATTCAGCATTTCCTATCTTTATCTCGCCTCGCTGCAAAAAGACTATTCGGTTGTCAGCTATCATTTAAGGTGAGGTTGAGTGATGGTCCTTGTCCATACCAGCGACGCAGCTTTTGGTCCATTGTTGGGAACCTGTATTCCCAGAACAGGGCATACATACACCAAAGGAAGGCCTCAAAATGATCGAGATCAGCCATCGCGTTGCAAGGCTCACCCAGTCAAAAGGGTTATGTTGGTAGCCAGGTCCGCTCGCTCCCCCTTTAGCACAACGATCAAAGTTTATCTCGTTTGCATGATAATTTGCTCTGTTTACAACTTTTACAACAACTTGCATCAGGGATACCGTTGCCAGACAGTCGTCTATGTAACACGGCCTTGGGCACTGCATATATCCATGGGTGGGGTTTTGTTCGAAGGCAGGTTGATAAACCAGACGGATCGATAACTAACTAACTAGTTAACCCTCCCGGGCTACCCGACTGTAGGCACACAGCTTAACGTAACGGGCCCAATAATGCCAACAGGGCCCCAGAGATCAGTGGAATATTTCACCGTTGTTGGGCCTATGTTGTATGCAAAAGTAAAAATTTCTCATCTAGTCTTTTACCCATCTATATTCTGTGTTCTATCTACCCCCTTCTATCATCTTCTCCTAGTCTAGTCTAGTCTGGGTTTCAATATCTGGCCCTGTTCTTTGAACGACACGTGACTCTCCCTCATTTGAACGAGCGGCGCAAGCGCAGCCTAAAATCCTTGTTTTTACTAACCATAGTCGCCCTTTCGAAGCCGAGCCCCCAGCATTGGCAGCTATTGGTCCTCCACATATATACACAATTTACCATAGCTACATCTATACTCAGCCTCCCGTTCTCATGGTCCCCAGCTTCAAGAGAAAGGGAGGACGCAGGGACAGAGGCCCAGTCTCAGAGAAGAGAAGAAAGGGGGCGAAAAAGCATCTGCTTCAAGCCCCACCGGCACCCGAACCAAAGAAGCTTCCAGAGTGGATATTCACGCCGTACCGATGCTCCCTGGTACAAGGTAGTTGGCAGGTCATCGGGGTGGACCCGCCCGCAACCCACAAGCACCGGACCTTCTCCATATGTCGAAGAGGAGCCACTCGTGAAAGACGACATGCCAAGACCTCCCACGCAGAGACAAAAGGAAGGCGAATCAGATTGATAACCTTACCAGGCAAGCCCCAAACCAACCGCAAAAGACTCGTCGTCACTTCGGAAGGATGCCGCCAACGAAGAGATTCATCGACAACCACTACGACTGGGATGGCGAGGGGCAGACGCGCTAGGGCGCGAACAGCGCGGGGAACGCAACATCCAATCGAGAGTGAAACATAGGCAATAGCCTCACCGTCCCCGAAAACGACGCCCACATTAGGCCTGGACACGGCAACCCCAGGACAACCCCAGCAAGACGACCTGGGTTCTCCAATCTAATGCCTGGGCTTCAATGAACATCGCCATGGCAGTCACGCTCCGAGACCGTGCTATCCAACGATACGAGTGGTGGCAGTGCAGGAACACTGGGTGAATGATAGCCTATGGTCGAAGCCACCTACTTCCCCCAGAGACGACGGCGCAGTTCAACCATATATGGCCTGGCTGGTCCGGGGGGAGGCCTGTCCGTCAAGAAGATGCTGACATGGTAACCGGTGTACATTTCCAAGGTTTGGCCCACTCTATCTCGATATACATATTGGGGAAGTGTGACGCAACTATCTCTGTCCACAATATCTACAACCCGCCCACAACGATCGACACTACCGGCGTCAGAGAACTAAATAATCCCCCATGCTGTCGGACGTGGTACAAAGGCCTGGGCCCTGTAAGCAGTGTATGATCGTTGGGGACTTCAACATTTATGACCCGCTCTGGGCGGGCCACCAGCCGAGGCCCGAACCACGCGGGAACACTGAGAAGGAAGAGCAGCTGAAGTCGGTCAGCGAACAGCACCCGCTTGAGGGGTCACACTAGTCGGCATGACCACTCGCCCTGCGAGAATCAGAGGGGCAAAGGGACCCCCAACAGACCCGATTAGGTACCCAGGAGACATCCTTGCCAGCCTATCGCAGCCGACGTGGCGCGAGGGCCACATGGAGCAGCGACGGTAGGAACACATCCAAGAAAATCAACAACCCCACAAAAAACATCGTGCAGGCAATGCAGGCAGGCATCGAGGCGTGAACAATGATCATGAGGGTCTCCCCGTTCTCCCGGGCTGGCTACACCACAACATGCCGGCACATCCAGAAGCAAGCGAGGTGAATGCGGTGTGGCATCATCAAAACCGTCAGGAACAGCGGTGCTACAGAATTGAATGGACCGGTCCTAGAAGGCACCTCGCGCCAGCAAGCGCAGTATCGCCCGCATACGCCGCCTGAACCATCGAGACAAAGTGGCGGAGGCGGCAGAAGATATATCAAAAATATAGGGAATGGTACGGTAGATGAAGAACCGCGGCACCTACCAAGCCTGCACGCCACCAATACAGGACACCCGGGGCACCCAAGTTGTGCTAGAAGAGAAAACCCAGGCCCTCTCCGACAGCTTCTTTTTGGTACCCGGCGGAAGGAGACCTTGGAGATACCATAGGCTCGCGCTATCGGACCTTGCCGGACCTACCAGAGATCACACAGCGAGGAGTCATCACGGCAGTCAAATGGCCTAAGCCTGACAATGCATCAGGGCTAGGAGGGGTGCCGAACCGAGTGCTACAGGCGCTGATGCCAGACGGGCAGGGCGGGCAGCCCGAAACACAGCCCCTCGCCTCACTCCTCACGATCCTCTTCAATCAATACCTCCGGGTCGACCACTGCCTGCCACACTTCCGCGAAGCCACCACAACTGTACTCCGCAAACCCGACAAGGACGACTACGGCGAATATGAAGCAACCAGTCAATCGCCCTCCTTAACATCTTCGGAAAGGCGCCAAAAAAAGCCCCATCGCCACCCTAATCAGCTACAGCGCGGAAGACTACGGCCTGCTACTAGATAGCAGCTTCGGGGGGCGCCGCGGCCGCGGCACCGGCCTTGCATGCTCATACCGGCGGCGAACAAAGCCGGGAAGGGAGAAACCCCACAAAATCGAGGGCGGGTCAAGCAAGGGCCCCGAAAAGTAGATCCCTCGGCAGACGGCAGGGTAGGGGCTCCGAGGCTTCATTCCACCGGAGTATCCTGGCAGGGATGACGACAGCAAAGACCCCGACTGGCAAGAACGTCGACCCGGCATTCGTCACGGGGGTCGGGACGTCTACCCCGGAAACCACGCCCCGAGCGGCACAGGCACAACAACAATAAACCCCCACCTCCCCACCAACTTATTCAGCCAACCGCCCTCGACCTTGAACAAGGTCGAATCGTCCCAGCCAACATGTCAGCCATGCTACTCGGCATCATCCTCGATGAGCACCTCCGCGGCGACAAACACCTCGAACATGTCAAGACGCGCGCTTCGCGATGCCTCCAAGCCATCAATTCCCTCGGTGACTCCAATTTGGGGCTTTAGTGTAGCCTACCGGCGCCACATTTACAACGCCTGCATCGCCGCCATCATGACCTATTATGAAGCAGCATGACAAGCAGGTGGCGGCGTTGAAGAGCATGCAAAAGAGCAGGCAAGGCAAGTTCCCCCGGAACTTGCCTTACTTGCCTTACTGGGAAAGACGCGTTCAATGCGGAGCTGCAGCTACTACCTATTCACCTCCGAATGCGGAAGGTCCAGCAGCAGACGGTCATTCGTCTAGCCCGACCTGGCAGACTTCACGCAACGCAGGCTGTTCTACCGGAATGTACAGCTCGGGATGTACAGCTCCGTACGGCCATGGAACTTGCCACAGACGTCATTGCCCTCGTCGGATTCGACGCCCTCGAGACCCGCTTCCCCTTCCGCCGCCCATTCGAGTTAAAGACAGCAAGATCAGCGCCATGGTCGACCACGAAATCCGACTCATCGGCATGCCCAGCACTCAACGTATCTACACTGAGGGCTCTAGCATCCAGACAGGCAGCGACATGAAACAAATCGGCGCGGTGGCAGGCATACGGGGGCAAAAAATGAGTGTACAGCGCCAGGGGCTGAGCTGGCAGGCTTGGTGTTGGCACTGCGGATGACGGAGGAGCGCGCCTGGCACTTCTTGGAGATCTGGGCGTACAACCAAGGCGCGATGCGGACGCTACAGTCCCCCGGGATAGTTATCAACCTGCTGGCAAAACGCCGCAGGCAGAAGAGCGTCACGGCGTTCCACTTGATCCCAGCCCATCTCGACATCATCCGCAACGGATTTGCCGACGACGTGGTCAAGCAGGCCAGCGGCTGGCGCCCCAATAAGCGACCCACCGACGCGGCAGCACGACTCGCCGACACCACCTTACACTCTTTGATCCACCATCATCGCAGCCCTCGCCGCGCCTATCGGCCGGTGATGCGTCTCCCCAGCTACCTCCTGCGTCCAGCCGACCACCTACACTACTTCTCTCGTCGTTGCGGCGTCTTTCGATCGGCGACACGCCTCCACGAACTCGGCCGCATACACCTATCCATCCTCTATCCCAATCGTCCCCACCCCCATCCGTCACCGAGCAGTGGGACACTGGGACCGAGCCTACCACTCTCGAACCTCCGCCCCTCGACCTATTGGACACTCACATACTCTGGAGACCGGCGCTGGCGTCTGGGGATTGGGCACTCGTGCAGTCTGATCCGAGTCAATGGAGACTTGCCAACGCTGCCAAAAGCGATGGTTCAGCATGCACATCAAAGACGACATCTGCCGCCGTTGCCGGCATGCCGACACAAACCAGGACATCTTCCTATTCAGCGAGATCAAAAATATGCAGCCCGATCCTATGTCAGACCTACCGCCTTTGACCCAGACTGAAGAGATGCTGATCTCACGCGTCCACGTATTCATCGAGGTCCGGCAAGTAAGCTGAGTTTGTCCTTCCGCGCGTCCGAGCGGTCAAGTATGCGGACTACATCAAGCACCTCCTGAAATATAAGGACGGCCGATTCGGGTGTCATCCCCGCTTTCGGTATGTCGCCTTCAACACCCTGATGCGACCCCACGCGTCCGCTCGCTCTGGCTTCTATGTCAAGCAGCGAGGCCAGCAGCAGTAACCGACAGTGGAGGAGCTCCGGTTGGCTTTCGAGTCCGATGACCCAGATAGTGATGATGCTCTGCTCCGGTCGATCATCCGCTTCTCCGGTACTCTCCGCGATACTCGCCCCTTCTGGGGGGTCCATATCAACGGTATGAACCCTAGCCCCAACACCGGCCCCCTATCCCGACCGAAAGGCCCGCGATTCAGCTATCCGCCGAGGAGCAGACCAATACGATCGGCCACCTATCCTGTATCGTCAATCGCGTACAGCGGCACAAGTGCTCTGCGCGATATTGCCTTCGTGTGCATAAGGCGACCAAAGAACTGGGATGTCGGTTCCACTTCCCTCACAAGTTACAGGATGAAGCTACTCTCGGCAAACCTATCAGCTCATCCTATTACCGGCTGTTCCCTCAACGAAACGACGCCTATCTGAATGCCTACAACCGACTTATCAGTATGGCCTGACTTGCGAACGTCGACATCGCCGCCTGCACTGGCGCTAAAGCCCTTCTCGAATACCTCGCCAAATACATCACCAAGACCGAGACCAAGACCGATTCCTACCAGACCATGATGAGAGGTCTCATCGGTAGCCTGAACCGACAGCATCCTCTCCTCTCCGCCGTGAATAAGCCTATGAATGCGTTGGTCGGCGAATGCGATTGGTCTGCGCAGGAGGTCTGCCATATTCTTCTCGATATCCCTCTCCAGCATGGCAGTCGTCCTGTCATGGTCGTCGACTGCCGGCCTCCGTCCGACCAGAGTATTCCGTTTGTCATTATGGAGCAAGAAGGCGAGACCTCGGCCGTTCGGCGCGGTCAGTCGCTTCTGCAGAAGTATCAAAGTCGCATCCAATCCCTGGACAGTGCTACTTATCTAGAGTTTCTTCGTCGGTGCGATCGTAAGCGCCGATCGGCGTCCGTTCGGCAGCGCGACCGCGTGTTTAGCTTCTACCCAGTATACGATCCCGAGCGAGACCCCGAAAACTTTGGCCGAGTAAAAGTCATGCCTCATCATCCTTTTCGGTCCCTCACTGATCTCCTTTCACTTGACGGTCAGCTATTCGAATCGTTCGCCGCCGCCGCCTTCAACTACTACGCCCAGGCCCATATTCACGAGCCCGACCCATATGGTGAGGTAGACAACCCTCTCCCCGAGCAGCTCTTTGAGGAAATCGACCTGGATGATGATGATGATGACGACGACGACGTGACGCCGTCCTGGGAGCTACTGGCACGCCAGCTACCACGAGAGGACGATAACCTTATCCGCGTCGAGGACCCGGATCTCCTGGGCGAGCGCGATATTGACCGCGAGTATGATTGGACCCGGCATATCGGTAAATACCCAGATATTGACCCCGATTACTGGCGACAGATGAAGGCGCAGTATCCAGCCGACCTCGCCGGTAGGTCCGACGCCTCTGTCGCGGACCTGAATGAGAAACAGCGCCAGCTATACGATATCATCATCGACCACTATCGGCAAGTCCTCGCTGTCTCCCCCGATCGAGATCCTATGCCATCTTACCTATCGGATCTTCTTTATCCCCCGTCGCCATTCTACCCTATCTATCCAGCCCAGCTACTTATCAACCTCGACGGCAAGGCGGGCACCGGCAAGTCCTTCGTAATCATGCTCATCTCCGCTACCCTCGATCGGATGGCAGAGGCCGCCGGTAGAAGATCGCCAGTACTCCGTGCAGCCCCCACCGGCGTCGCCGTGTACTATCAGTGGCAGGACTCTTCATGCGCTGTTTCGGTTACCGTTCAAGTCCTTAGGCGAGTATGCGAAGCTGACCCCGGAAAACCTCAGCTCACTACAGGCGACCTTTCGCGGCGTACACTACATGATCATCGATGAGAAGTCGATGATTGGCTTACGCCAGATCTTTTGGATCGACCATCGCGGCCGGGAGATCTGCCCGAGGTGCGGCGATCAACCGTTCGGCGGGCTCAATATCGTCCTGGCAGGGGACTACTTCCAGTTCCCCCCAGTCCTCCAGCGCCCGCTCTATTTCAACGAGCCGTTGTCCCATGACTTCGACCTACGGGGACGGGTCTTCTACCATGGTTTTAAGACTACTATCGAGCTAGCGACTATTTTCCGCCGGGAAGGTAATGACCCGACCTCAGTTGCCTTTCGTGACGCGTTGAATCATCTCCGCGAGGAGTGCCTATCGGCCGATAATTGGAAGCTTCTCACGTCGCGTATCCAAAACAACATCCCTTCGGAGATCCCTCGCTTCGCCGATACGACCCGGATTTACCCCAAGCGAGAGCAAGTCCGCCAGTATAACCACAATCGGCTCCGCGACCTACAGCAACCGGTTCTCCGGGTGACCGCGACACACACTGGGCTGAAAGCAGACGAGGCGTCTACCGACGAAGCAGGCAACCCACTGAAAGAGCTCCATATCTCGATCGGCTGCCGCGTCATGCTGACGGAGAACGTCTGGACCGAGCAAGGGTTGGTGAATGGCGCGTTCGGTACGGTAAGGGACATCGTCTGGCCAGCCTCTACTGTCGATCATGCTCAAGAACAACTGTCCGCGCTCTTGATCGAGTTCGACAACTACACTGGGCCTACCTTTCGGTCGGAGCCACGCTATATCCCTATCCTTCCGTACAAGCGCGAGTATTCCTATGGCAATATCACCTGCACCCGTACCCAGTTCCCCCTGACCCTAGCGTATGGCATCACCATCCACAAGTCGCAAGGCCTAACGGTCAACCAGGCTGTCCTCAATATCTCGGCCCCCGATTTCGCTGCAGGACTGAGCTACGTCGCAGTCTCGCGGGTCAAGAGGCTCGACGGCATCCTCTTTGAGGAGCCCTTTGATTACGAGTGCTTTCGGCGAACCCGCCTCTCGGCGACGATGAAGATGAGAATGGCTGATCGGGAGCGTAGGGAGTCCCAGCACTACGAGCCCGTCGATCTGCCTCCTATATCGTCGATCCGCCGGCCGACGTTCTCATCTCGCATCCCGATTCGATCCTCCCCGATCCCAACATCCTCATCCCGATGGTCTACCCCGCGACGCGATAGGAACGGCCGATAGGTGGCCGATAGGTCGTCAACCACAGTAGTAGCAGCTTAGCTATCATTCACTTCAGACTGAATTCAACCTTCTTTCATTCACTTCGCCTATTCACCACCTCTCCTCCAGTATAAATAGCCCTCTCCTATTTCTTACCTTTTTCCCTCCTTCATCTACCCACTCAGGGCACCTCGGTCGAGTCCCGGCCGAGGTGCCAATAAACGGTGGTGTGTTCAACTGCCACCGATCGGCGTCGAGAAGACGACAAGGAGTATTCGGTGAATACCATCTACTTCTCTGCCCTTTTTACAGTGAAGAAAAGCTGACCTTACCAGTATAAATAGGCCTCTACGACTCTTCTTATTCTTTCCTTCATCTGTCCCTCCCCTCCCCTATCCGACTGGGCCGAAATAGCCCAGTCTCCAGTGGTACGGAGGCTCCGAAGACATATCACAGCCTACTATAAGGGGTTGGATTACCTCCGATCGGCGAAAGTTCTCAAATCAAATATGCGTCGGGCAAAGTGGTATATTCAGCTGCGTCCGATCGGCGTCGATAGGTCGACGGACAGTCTTCTTACCAATTAGCTCTTCTTACCAATTAGCTCTTCTTACCAATTAGCATACAGTCAATATCATCAATATAAAGAGAATAGATGCAAATTTGGACCTATAATCACCTTTTGGCCATAGGATTAAGGCTATGCTCCGCATCTCTTCGGCGTTTTACCGGCCAGCTAAGGCAAGGGGTCTGCGTATTTTCTTTTCTTGTTACTCATACTTTCATTCAATATATCCATAATTATGTGAATTTATATAGACTTAAATAAATATTTATAAATATTTATATTTTCAATTTATTATGATAATAAAATATTTATTATTTTTTTTAATGAATTTTTTTATTATATATATAAATATTTATATATCTCTATTAATATATTAACATGTAACTTTTTTTTAGTTATCCTAGGAAAAAATTAATTATAACTAGTTTTGCTAGTTAATAATTCTATAACCAATTACTCGCAGGAAAGTAGTTCTTCCTATCAAAGTAACGAAGAGGATGAGTTTATAGAGGTTGATTCTTATATAGTTCCTGAAAGTGACTTAGAAGGTCAATTCAGAATATTAGTGGATAGCAGAGTTATTATACCTAAATTAACTCACATAAGATTTGTAATTTCATCTGCGGATGTTATACATTCTTATGCTTGTCCATCTTTAAGCATATCCAGGTAGATTAAATCAATCTTCTGTGTATATAAATCATCCTGGAACATTCTTTGGGCAATGTTCAGAGATTTGTGGAATACTAGACTTATTTATGATAAGGATAGTTTACGCTTCACTTACATATGTGAAAGTGCAGATACTGTAGAAGGGACCATTACTATAAAATAACATTCCCTGATGCTAGTAATGTAGTAATTTACAATAGACTAACAGTTATGAAATAAGGTTAGATTATTCAGTTCAACCAAAATATTTCTATGTTAATTATTATAAAGAACATTTTGAAGGTTTTAGAAAAAATAAAATTAATTCATTAATAGCGGAATATAAAAAAATTAATGATTCTAGAACTATATATAGAAAATGATATTATAACTAAATCTAAGTTATAATATCAAAATAGATGTTCTTTAATACATAAATAATGATAATTCTTGAGGGGTATTAAATAAGAATAACACGAAATTTTTATTTATAACAAACAAACATAACTTTTATTTTTAACAATTTAAATGTCATAATTTAAGCATTCAAATTATTATTTCTCACAGGGTTTACAATATTAAATTTATTAGAATTTAATAGCGAAAATATGTATATACTTTTATTATCTCCTATAGATATTAATAGTGATTCTGGTATTAATGGAGATTATATTAATAATCAAGGTTCTGGTGGTTCTAAAGGTAATGGACCAATAGAATCAAATATAGGAACTCCAAATGGTACAGACAAGCTACCTCTCATAATCCAGAAAGAGATGGTATATTAGGGCAAGGTATTACCGAAGGCCCCCGTCCTCTGTCTCCAACCTCTACTAGAGAGAATGACAGTACAATATTAGGGGAAGGTTTAACAGAGAGTCCCCGTCCTATGTCTCTAGTAGAGGATATGCCTAATGGGCATCTTGAGGATGGTGATCCTCAAATAAATGGTGATAACTTAATAATAGATAATTTTTAGAGTTCTATACTGTAGTATAACTTACGGTTAAGGTAATTAGGCTTATTGTGGGTTCAAAAAATCAATTATATATTAATGTAAACGTGTTAATCTAATAGTAAAATGATGTACTATGGACACGTAATATAAATTCAACTCTTATACACGTTTATAATAGTATATTGATGTATTATAATATATATATATATATATATATTTACATGTAGTATAGATAAATCAAATAAAATTATACTTATATATAATGAATTTTTCAATATTTTTATTCCTTTGGGGAATATTAGGATTTGTTTTAAATAGAAACAAAATATTATACTAATGTTAATTCCAGTTAAAATTATACTATTCTCTGTAACATTTTTAATATTAATTAGCTCACTTATTTTTGATGATATTTTAGGACAAACTTTTGCTATTTATATTTTAACAATAGCAGGGGCAGAATCTGCAATAGGTTTAGGTATATTAGTAGCATAGTATAGATTAAGAGGAAGTATATCAGTACAATATAAATAATATACTTAACTTCGATACGTTTACCTTTATTAGGTTCAATAGTTTCAGATTTTCTTTTTGAAGGAAAAGTAGGTGTAAATGGAGTACATTTAATAACATATACTTTAGTAATAACTACAACACTTCTAGCAATAGTAGCTTTTCTGAAGTAGGATTTAATAGTATACCTACAACAATAAATATAGCAGGGTGAGTAGATACCGAATCAATATATATGTTATGAAACTTTAGATTTGATTTATTAACACTATCTATATTGATACCTATACTGGTTTTATACTACTTATGCTTTATATATATTAATAGGTTTAATTTTCTATGTTTCTCTATTATATTTTTTATATAATGATAACAGTTTATTAATATTAGTATTCTTTAATTCATTTGCTTTATTAAATGATAATTTATCATCTACTAAATAATCTATTTTTATATTATTTAATTTGTTTAATTAAATTTATCTATTTTTTGAGTATGCTTTTATCCTCAATATTCTGTTTATTATTATCTAATGCTTTGTCTTCTAGACGTGATAAAGCAATATTATACGCTAGAACAAGTATAATAATATTGTTCTATTGTATCTATTTATCTTATAGTAATTTATTCTATATATTTAGATAATAGTATTGGGTTATTTAGTGGTTTATTTTTTCCATCTTCTATAACACAATCATTTCATATATTAATATTTATTATAAGTTTATTAATATTGAATATGACAGGATGTTGTCCTAGAAAACTTATATCTTGTGAGAGTGAGTATATGAGTATATACAAATTATTATTTACAAAATTACAATTTGTTAAAAATATGGCTGTTTCTAATATAATATTAAAAAAAGGAGAACAATATACAATATTAGAACACACATTAACGTTATTATTTATTAAAACAGGAAGCATGTTATTAATATCTAGTAGTGATTTAGTATCTAATTTTTTATCTATTGAATTACAAAGTTATGGTTTATATTTATTATGTACTATGTACAGAAATTCCGAGTCTTCTACTTCTGCAGGTTTACCTTACTTCTTGTTGGGTGGATTATCATCTTGTTTTATTTTGTTAGGTATTGCATTGATATATGCTAATTTAGGTGTTACATATTTAGATAGTTTTTATGTTATAAATAATTTAGATGGTATATTAAATGAACAAGTTATAATAACATATATACCTTATTGCTTATTATCAATATCTATAGGATTTTTATTTAAAATTTCAGCTGCACCATTTCATTTTTGACCTCCTGATGTTTATGATGGTATTCCTACAATAGTTACTACTTTTGTAGCAATAATTGCAAAAATATCAATTTTAATATTATTTTTACAATTAGTTCATTATGATCATAATATTTATATTACAATACAATATACTTCAACAACAAGTTTATTATTAAGTTCATTATTATCTTTAATTATCGGTACTGTATTAGGTTTAACTCTATAGAATTAAAAAGTTATTTACTTATAGTACTATATCTCATTTAGGTTTTATGTTATTAGCATTAACTATAAATAGTATAGAATCTATACAATTATTTATTTTTTATTTAGTTCGATATAGTTTATCTAATTTAAATGCCTTTATTTTATTATTGGCTATAGGTTATACCTTATATGCCTATAATAATAAAAATATAAATCATACTAATTTAATAGATGAAAACAATTCTCCAATACAGCTTATAAGTCAGCCTAAAGGATATTTCTATATTAATAGTCTTTTAGCTTTAAGTTTATGTAAAGGGTCTACCAAGATGGTGAGGCATGAGGTTATTCCCAACTGACGGAAGGGGTGAATCAGGTGACATCACATGATCCTGAAGGAAGTCGAAACTCGTTACTTGATCCACTCTACAGTGGAATAATCACGACACACAACAGAGACCCAGTCGTTTACATCATCGATGATGCGTGGAGTTACGAAGATGTTGCATGATAAATCGATACTCTCGCATCAAGCTGGCAAGACAAGATTCAGTCTTGACAGTAATGAAGATATACTGTTTCTCCTACTCCTTCCCCTTGTTTCTTTACCTGATCGACAGGTCTTATACCCTGCCAAGTATATTCTTTACAGTTTAGCTATTACTTTATTTTCATTTACAGGAATTCCGCCTTTAATGGGGTTTTTTTGCAAAACAGATGGTATCCTCCGCTGCTTTACAAGAAGGATCTATGTTTTTAACACTTATAGGAGTTTTAACTGGTGTAATCAGTGCTCCTTAATACTTATTTATTGTTAAAACAATGTTCTTTGATGGTAATTCTTGTTCTTATTTTAGTAATTTAAGAAATTTAAGAATACCTGCTCTAGTATTATAAAACAACAAAGCAATTAATAAAATATATTTTGATTCTAAATTTGCTTTATCTAGTTCTTTAACTATAACCATTTCTATATTAACTTTAATATTCTTTTATTTATACTTATGTCTAACGAATGATTATATGTGTCTAATTTATTAGCTATTCTATTATTTATGCTCAATAGTATTTGTAAAAATTTATAAATATATTAAATCAAAATAATAACTTAAATAATTAAATTAAATATATATATATTTATGTATATATATTTATGTATATATTATATACAAATAATATATATAAATTAATAAATAAAAATGAGAAATTTAAAAGTCATCCCTTATTAAGGATATTAAATACATATTTAATCGATGTACCAACACTAGCCAACACTAGCTAATATAAGTTACTTGTGAAATTTTGGATTATTATTAGGTTTATGTTTAATTATACAAATAGTAATAGGTGTTATATTAGCTATGCACTATACACCTAGTGTATTAGAAGCATTTAATTCTGTAGAGCATATTATGAGAGATATTAATAATGGTTGATTAGTATTTTATCTACACTCTAATACAGCTTCAGCCTTTTTCTTCTTAGTGTACTTACACATAGGTAGAGGTTTATATTACGGATCTTACAAATCACCTAGAACCTTAACATGAGCTATAGGTACAGTAATACTTATTATAATGATGGCTACAGCTTTCTTAGGTTATGTATTACCTCATCGTCAAATGAGTTTATGAGGAACAACAGTTATTACTAACCTTATGAGTGCTATACCTTGAATGGGTAAAGATATAGTGGAATTTATATGAAGAGGTTTCTCTGTTAATAATGCTACATTAAATAGATTCTTTGCTTTACACTTTTTATTACCTTTTGTATTAGCTGCTTTAGTAATGATGCATTTAATAGCTTACCACGATACAGTAGGATCTGGTAATCCTTTAGGCATTTCAGGTAATTATGATAGTAGCTCCTCCTCTGCTGTTTCGAGTGCTGTCTGCATTGCCTGCTTGCGGTGGTGGCTGCGTCGATCCCGGATGGTTTTGTAGACCTTTGATGTGGCGATACAAGTAACTGCTCTGAAGCGACTCTCCCGCAGCCGGTGTGCCATTGGTTGGAGATATAGCTGGGCGTTGTGGGCCGTCCCGCTGACCCTGCGGAATGCGCCAGAGATGCTATGGACTGCGCGGCGTTGGATAGTGTTGCGTTAAGGGTCTTGATTTGGTTGTCGTGAGTGCTCTTTTTCCCCCACACCGGGGGTGCGCGCCATACTGACGAGGCGTACATGGCTTTGAGGGCGATACAGGCGTTGTAGATGAGTCGATTTTGTTCGATGCTGAAGCCCCATTTGGACCTGCCGAGCGCCCCGACTGACTGCAGCCCCTTGCTGCATTTCTTGTCGATTTGCTGTAAAGGTCCTTGAATGATAGGCGGCTCTCGAGCAGGACGCCCAGTAGCTTTGCTGATGCCGAATGCCTGATGTTTCGCCCATTGCCGAGGTTGACGTCCGCTGAGCTGCCTTGTGGCGATGCAGACCCTTCGGTGGTGCTGGAGTTGTCGTTCTGTGACTCCTGGTAGTGATTTTGGTGGGGAAAGTGGACCAGGGCGAATTTGTCTGGCGCAAAGACTGATGCGTGCGTTTTGGCCCAGGTATCGCACTCCCGGAAGCTTTTCTGCAGCGAGCGGCAGTTCTCTGCCTCCGAGTTGCCCACAGCTATCATGATTGTATCGTCGACGTACCCAAAGTTGCTCGTGTACTGCTTATCTCCCATTAGGTCCGCATTGTAGAAGAGGTAGAGTATCGGAGATAGCGGCGAGCCCTGCGGGATGCCAGTTTGGACTCGGGCCCGTGGTTTGGTGTATTCGGATAGTACTAGGGTAGTAAATCGTTCTGAGAGAAAGGAAGCCACCCAGTCGACGATTATAGCGGAGATGCGACGTTTGCGGAGGTTGTGTAGTAGCCGTTGATGCGAAACATTGTCAAATGCGCCTGATATATCGTAGGAGCGCGGTGGCCACCTTGCGCCGCTTCCATGCATCCTGAATGGTTTCTACCACGGCATGGAGTGCTGTGTCCGTTCCCTGGCCTTTTCGCCCTCCAAAGTGGTTTCGGGGCAGTAGGTTATGTTCCTCAGCGAGATAGCTGAGTCGTAGCGCGAGCACCCCTTCAAGGGCTTTGCCGATAGTGTTTAGTAGGGCGATTGGTCGGTATGACTTTGGCTTGCTGTAGTCGTCTTTTCCGGGCTTTCGGAGGGTAACGGTTTTTGAATCGCGGAAGTGCTGCGAGCAGTAGCCAATGCTTAGACAGCTGTTGAAGAGGTTTGCGAGCATAGGGGATAGTGGGTCTAGCGTATGCTGGTCCGTTGGTGCCGCTGCTTGTAGAACTCGGTTCGGGATATCATCAGGCTCAGCCGCTTTGAATGTCCCGGGGAGGTGGATTGCTCGCTGGACTTCGGTTGCTGTGATTAGCGGAACTAGCACCGGCTCCGGGTAGCTAAAGCCGTCGATATCGACTATCGATGCTGTTCGGGGCGACGGGAAGAAGGCCTCAGTGAGTAGGGCGGCTTTCTGTTCTGGGCGAAAGCGCAGGTGCCCCGTTCGTTCCATAGAGAGGCGGTGTGAAGGCCTGATAGGGGGACCGATCCCTTGCCCACCTCGAGAGGTTCCAGGTCTGTCGCGTAGAGCTTGACTCTGCGGCCTCCGTGATCTTGTTTGGTGGGCCTGGTTCATGTAACGCTTAATGCGCTTGCGGGCCACCGCCTTCTTGTGGCGGAACGCCCGTAGCATTGGTTCCGGTGCAGGCCTGTTGTGTGTTTCCTGGAACCGCAGGATCTGCTTCTGAGCCTGGTGGGCCTCTTTTTGCAGCAGGCGGCACTCTTTGGTGAACCCGGGGCGAGAGAGGGTTGTTGGCTTTGACCATGGCGTTGAAGCGTCTATCGCTGTGTGAATCGCTTCGACTAGTTGTAGCGCTGTTGTGTCGATAGCGTTTGCTGCCCACTGGTTGTCAATGGATCTTGTAGCATACTAGTCGAGGGGAATGCCAGCCAATAGCGGGGTAAACGTGCTGCGGAGCTTATCGGCGTCGAGTTCCTTCCAGTTCCGCTTCGGTGTTGTCTCTTTGGTAGTAAGGAGTGTGTTGAACTCGCTTGCGATTGGCAGGTGGTCCGAGAGGCCTGATATCTCCACTACTCGTACATGTCGTAGTTGCTCTTGGAGTTCCCATGACGAGAGGGTGAGGTCGAGGGTTGTTCCAGGGCTTCCTCCTATGCCGGCCCTGGAAGGCCTTGGTGACGACGCCTCGTGGGGTAAGGACTGTAAGAGGCGCGTTTTCAATTAGTTCTTTGAAATCCTGCGCTCGTTCTGAGTTGTTGGCAGGGTGGGGAAATCCTGCTGCACTCCAAAGGTTGTCATGTATACTAAAGTCCCCGACGACGATGTGGTGATCTGTCCGGGTACGTTGTCTGCCTTTTGGATGGCTTCTCGGAGATCCCTGATGCCGTAGTTCTCGATGACGCCTGGTGGGTTGTAGACATTATGGATGAAGAAGTTAGGCTCGCCTTCGGAGACGTATATTGACAGGGCATGCTGGATGTAGTGTACCAACTGTTTTGAGAGACTTCTGCGGACGAAGATGCACAATCGGGAGATATCGGGGCGTGAGATCGATGGCCACAAGAGATCGAAATGGTCCCTGATCTCTGTGGGGTAGTGTATTAGCTATAGATCCATAGTCCTGGACCCATGGCTCCTGAATCGCTAAGGCTGCATAATCGAGAACCCCTTCGTCACGTAGCAGTGTAGCCATCACATTGTCGAGCGAGAGGCCCGCGTTATATTGCAGGATGCGAAGTGTCATTAGTTCGGTGGCGGCCTGGTCACGCTGCGGCCGGGGCAAGTTCTGCTGCAGCATGCTCCCGGGCGAGGTTGGCGGCGTGGTGGGAGTCTTTCCATCCTTTGTTGTAGTCGATGGCCTGTCCTTCTGCCCTTTTCCCCTTCTGGGCATCTTCCCATCCGTTGATATAGTCCCGGAGCTGTTGCTCTTGCGTCGGCGTCTGTGGGGTTCGCCTATTGCCGAAGAGGCCGTTCTTCGCTTGTCGGTATTTGTTCTCCGCTTTGCGTTTCCCGTTCCACTTCGCCCTTTGTGTTGGGTGTTTGCTGGTGCTTTGGTTTAGTGGTGGAGATCGGTGGCCACTGGATTTCCGGGGCTTGCTGGGTGGTTCCGGCGCATGTTCAGGCTCGGATTTGCTGATTCTGGCAGAACTGCGGCGCTTACGGGGGGAGCTGCACAGGGAATGGATGGGAGGAGGGGGGGATGTCGGAGTCTGAGGCAGCGGACTGAGATGCTGCGTCTGACGGGTGGGGCGGGGACGATGGGAGTTACTGCCCGAGTTCTGGTTCGGATGCGGACTGCTCCGGGCCTGATAGGGCTTCGTTCGTTGATTCCTGGCTGCTGGGGGCTGTATCGTCTGTTGACTGTAGGTCCAGGAACCGGACTCTCGATGTCGTGCTATGGTATTCGCTCTCATCGACCGTGATGTCGTGGGCGAGGGTGGATGATCTGCCTGTTGACACTGCTTTCCGGGTAGGGCCGGTGCCTTCGCCTTGTATCAACGGCATTGGGGTCGTGGGGGGATGGGTGCTGAGTCTCTGTTTCTTCTGCTGGTCCTGTTGCTGCTTCAGGGGGCGTCCCCTCTTTTTGGCAGTAGAATAGCTCGATGTGGCGCTTTCTGAGTCCGTAGCTGGTTGTGACGGTGATAGCAGAGCATGAGGCTCTAATTGGGCCTTTCGGGGGGCCTGTTGGGGGGCTTGCTGACGGAGTTCTGGGGGCTCTTCAAAATATTTGGGCTTTTGGGCGACGGCGTGGCGTGCTTTGGCGACGGCGTCAATGCACTGCTGGCGGGGTGATTTGCCCCGCAATTCGCGCAATGTCTCTTCTCAGGGTCCTTCTGGTGTGCGCAGTTAGCTTCGTGTGGTCCTCAGCGCAGAGGATGCAGCGGGGCTGATGCTGGCAGCCACGCTGGATGTGTCCGAAGTGTTGACAGCGATGGCACTGGGACACTTGTCCCTCCGGGGTATAGAGCTCAGTGTGGGGTGGGGTGCCGTTGAGGATGAAAGGTTCCCGCAGGAGCTTATTTGCATCAGATGCTCGGTGGAATCCTACCACCAGCGAGCCCTTTGGCTTCTGGGCTTTTAACACGAAGCGGCCTCCGGTCCAGCTGACATACACGATGCATGCATCTGGGATTCGGGCCGCGTTGGCTTAGAGAATGATGTCTTTTTCCTGGCCGGTTTCGAAGCTCTTGCGGGAGAATGTCTTTCGTGGCACCCCGTGGACCATAATCGAGAACATATTGGGGATGATGCGGGCCCTTGCTCCGTGGGGGAGCCGCGAGAGCCACGCGGGTGGTGTTTCGGTCAGGCTGACGATATCCGACGCCTAAGGGGCATGGATTTCGACATCTCCACTTCTATGCACGCGCACTGCGTCCAATTGGTTTGGTTTGCAGCCCTCCCTTCCTTGGTTAACGAGCTGTTGGAGTTCCTTGACAACGCGGGGATTCTGCTTGCTGAGATAGGGAGAGGTGCAGTTGTCCCATCGGATTTTCACGAAGGAGTCCTTCCTGTCTTTGCTCGTGTCGGAGGATACCGAGGGCGAGGGGGCGTCGGGGGACTGCTGTAGTAGCTGCGGCGGAGGTGATGGTACTGGTAGGGCAGGGAATGTGCTCATAAGGGTCGTGCGTTGGTATGACTCCATTGCTCGCCGGAATTGCTCTTGGAAGATATCTGTAAAGCGCTATTTGAGGAACGACTCCTCCGCCATTCGGCTCAGGAGAACGTCATATGTGTCATATAGCTCCCTGACTTGCCCAACTCGGACCTTTTGCCTCTTCCCGTCCCCCGCATAGGCTGATACCTTTCGGGTGTATTCGCGAAAACGGTAGATACTTTCGGCAATAGGTTTATCCAGAATAGGAGGCATAGCCGGCCATTGTGACGCCATGACTCACCAAATGGTACTGAGGCTGCTCACGAGATAGGTGTCAGTAGGTGTAGATTCCAAGAAGGGAGAGGGTTGGCCAAGGGGTGACGTCGAAGAGAATCCACGACCTCACCGCCCACAGGTGTCCTACCGGGGACATAAAGTTCGAGAACGGTAGTGCTCAGCCGACAGTGTGTCCAGCAGGGGGTGCGGCGAGGGGTAGTGCAGAAGTGGCAGAGGGTGAAGAGAAAAGGCGAGGTAGGAGGCTGGTGTAGGGAAAAGTCTTACACCAGACCTACACCAGGCTTACACCAGATATATGTCTTCCGGTTTCTGATCTGATCTTATGCGCCCCCTTTCTTGCCTGACACCCGAAACTTCCGCTCCCTTCTCAGAACCCAGATCGGATGAACATTTGCCAAATGTTGAGTCCACATTCGGAGCGGAATTTTAATGTTCAAAATGTTGGAACGAGCTTATGTAAGCGTATTATGATTGGCTAGCTATAATTAATTAAAAATTACTTCTTGGCATTACCACACCAAACCCAATTTACCTGCTCAATCTACCTATCTAACCTACCTATCGATAAAAAATCGATTTTTTATCGAATATTATCAAAATAGCTTGTTTCTTGAAGGGCAATACTACTTATAAACGGTATTTAGAGGAGATGCCTAAAGATGAGCTAGAGCTGCCTAAGTACGATAAGGTGTAAAGGGTCTACAAAGATGGTGAGGCATGAGGTTATTCCCAACTGACGGAAGGGGTGGATCAGATGACATTATATGATCCTGAAGGAAGTTGGAACATATTACTTAACCTATCCTATAGTCAAATAATCACGATACTCAATAGAGACCTAGTCGTTTATATTATCGATGATACGTGGAGCTACGAAGATATTATACGATAAATTGATACTCTTGTATCTAGCTAGTAAGATAAGATTTAGTCTTCACAATAATAAAGATATACTATTTTTCCTTACTTCTTCTTTTTATTTCTTTACTTAATCGATAGGCCTTATACCTTATTAAGTATAATCTTTACAATTCTAAATCTTCTTCTTCGATTATCTAAAAAAATAAAATAACCCTATAAACCTAATCTATTATAATATATTATAGTAATATACCTAAAGAGATATTATAAACCTCTTTATCCGAAACTAACTAGACCTAATTAGATAAAGATCTATAGACTGTCTAAGAAATAATTATAAAAACTTTAATATCTATAAGAATTATAATGAATAGCCTAATAAATAAGAAGTTAGATCGAATAAAGGAATACTACCGAACTCTAAAGATTATACTTGGCAGGGTATAAGGCCTATCGATTAGGTAAAAAAATAAGGGGAAGGAGTGAGGGAAAGCAGTATCTCTTTATTGCTGTTAAGACTGAATCTTGTCTTACTAGCTAGATACGAGAGTATCAATTTATCGTATAATATCTTTGCAGCTCTACGTATTATCACTAATATAAACGACTAGGTCTCTGTTGAGTATCGTGATTATTCTACTACAGGGAGTTTCTTAATTATCTATTATTCTAAGTAGTATTAATAATAGCTTCGCCCTCTATAATTTGTACTTTTCCGCGAATTTGATACTAATAATATTAATTTTAGCGTAGGTATCTATATCCGTGTATATTTCGACTTCGTTCTATAGTAGTACTAGAATATAAAAGTGAGTTATAATTCCTATTTAGAGTAATAGAGTTAGCCACGTGGGATTTAGACTAACTCGTTGTTATTTTCCGACTCGATCCGAGTAGCTACTTATATATTAATTTTTTTACTTAATTTATTAAAGTAATAATTAGCGAGATAGGTTTCGCTTTAATAAATATAATATCAAAGGGTTTTTTTATCTTTTTTAATTAGGTTCCTTTTCTTTTCCTAGGTCCTTCCCTTAGGTCTTTAAGGTTTATAGGTTAGTTAATACTAATTTATCTAAAATTACTTATTTATAGGTCCTTTAAGGGTTTCGGGGCCTTTTTGTTTTTGTGTCGATTATAGTAATCCATAGTAATAAATAGCTAGGGATATTATCCTATCTCGGTTTTTAGATAGTTTATATATATATTCTTATATATATCGCCTAAGGTTATAGGTGAATTCTAAGAATATCGTAAATACTCTCTCTTTCTTATTTTAGCGAGGGAAATATCGCTCTAATAAGTCTAAAAAGGTATAAAACTCTCGCGGATCCTACTCTAGGCGTTAAAAGGCTCTTTATAGTTACCCTATAATATCGATTTTAAGAGTCGTAGTATCTTTAATAAAAGAGAGAGTCTAATTCTTAAAATAAGTCTACGAAATATTAATATTTCGTTATTCTTTCTTAGGTTTCTCGGTAATATACTAATACTATCTCTGCTAGTAAATAGGTTCTATATATAATAGAGCTATAATAATTTATTATTCCTTATTACGATATTTCTATAGCGCTCCTTTAAAAATAAGAGAGAGGTCTAAGATCTACTCTTCTCTCTACTAAAGAGAGGAATAAATCGAGAATATTAGAATATTTCGAATTTTAATCTTATCTTTATCTTCTATAGGAGATAAACCCTAGTTTCGTTATTAATTTATTAAAGATTTAATAATATTCCCTTATTCGATCTAACTTCTTATTTATTAAGTTATTTATTATAATTCTTGTAGATATTAAAGTTTTTCGATTGTTTCTTAGGTAGTTTATAGGTCTTTATCTAGTTAAATCTAATTAGTTTCGGATAGAGGGGTTTACGATATCTTTTTAGGAGTATTACTCTAATATATTATAATAGATTAGGTCTGTGGGGTTATCTTATTTCTTTAGGTGATCGAAGAGGAAGATTTAGAATTATAAAGAATATACTTAGTAGGGTATAAGATCTATCGATTAGGTAAAGAAATAAAAGAAAGAAGTAAAAGAAATAGTATATCTTTATTACTATTAAGACTAAATCTTGTCTTACTAGCTAGATACGAGAGTATTAATTTATTATATAATATCTTCGTAACTCCACGTATTATCGATAATATAAACGACTGGGTCTCTATTGTATATCGTGATTATTCCACTATAGAGTAGATCAAGTAACGAGTTCCGACTTCCTTCAGGATCATATGATGTCACCTAATTCACCCCTTCTGTCAGTTGGGAATAACCTCATGCCTCACCATCTTGGTAGACCCTTTACAATACCGACTTTTGGCGTTAGTTTAGTAGCCGTTTCTATCGTTTTTAGTAACCTACTACCTTAACCTCTGGTAATTATAGCCGTTGTGTAAGTTTATCCTTCGGAAATACTAAATATATACTAACATTTTATAACGTGGACGTGATCCCTCTTCTAATCCTATACCTTTCCCTAGCCTAACTACTGCTTCGGAGCCTATTGGCACCCCTAATGCTAGCGATTATAGTAATAATAAAGAGGAGCAGGAGGAGGAGGAGGAAACTAATATAGGTATTTTTACCGAGAATACTCTTAGAGATAAGGAGGAGGGACTTAAGTCGATAGACCTAGATATAAAGGAGTTTATATATAGATTATAATAGTTAACGATACACGTAGATTATATATAGAATATATACCTAAATCGCCGAATTTTTTTTATTTTAATTTTTATTTTAAATATTTCTAGTAAAAAAATTAGATATTATATAGTATAATTTTATTCTATATTATATTATTTATTTATTTATATACTTAATATATACTAAATATATATCGAACTTACTATTCTTATATATAGAAAATACGTAAAAAATAATTTATAACTAAGCTAAACTCCTAAATAACTCCTTTTTTTATCTCTTTAGCTCCTTAATTTAATTTAACCTCCGTAGATAATCAATTTTAGTTTAAAGGGCTTTAAGCTAAGATTATAATTAACCTTCGATAGTAGATCTTAGAGCCGGTAAGTTTACCTGTAGATATAAAATATATAACTAAACACGTCGTTAAGATAAAGTTAATACGCTAGCTCTTACTCGTAAAGATTGTGCTTTTATATTTAGTATAGCTTATATATTTAGTATAGCTTATATATTTAGTATTAACAATCCTTGAGTCTCTAGGGTATTAACTTAAGGTATTAATTATATTAAATCCTAGATAGATAAAATATCCTCTTTATTATTTTTATATAGATTCGTAATATCTTAAGCTTATGCTAGATTTCTTTCTCGTCGAAATATAGTAGCCGGGCAATATTTATCTAGATTAAGGTTAATATAGATTTAATATATACTTTGTATAGTTACTAATCCTTCTTTTGATTCTACTTTGCTATATAGATCACGATATTATTTAAACGTTAGGTAAAATTAATCTTATACTAAGTCTTGAATTTATTCTTTTAAAATATCTTATAAATATATCTTTTTGTCCTAAATAATATTAGTAATATTTCTTAAAAAAGAATATTAAAAATACCTTAGAATTATTATATAAAGTATCTATTTTCAATTAATAGCTTTATTATTAATAAAATAACTACTCTCGTAGATCCTTATATAATAAGAGGCTTAAATCTACTAATTAATAGGAATCTTAGATACTTTAGGTATAATACTAGAGAGAGTCTAATCAACCTATTTATTTTTAATCTAATTTTCTATATTAGGAAACTATAAAATTATCTTATCTATTAGGCTTAGAATAGCCTACTTTAAATCTACTTCTTAGATATAGTTAATTATTATAGTAATAGAATAATCACCAAACTTTTTACAAAAAGTATATTTAATATAGGTTTAATAGAAAATTAATAT